TTATAAATATTACAGAGACTCTCACAGAGATCTGTGAAGATTAGATAAAGTTATTCTTTAAAATCTTCTTTATATAAGTTTATAAGATCTCTGTCTTATAATAAGAGAGTTTATAGATTAATTCTCAGAAGAGTTTCTACTCTTTTATTAAATTTATTATTAGATTCTTCTTATAGTAAGATAAAAGCTCAGCTGTCTTTACTAAGTTAAATATCTCTGTAAAATCTCAGTATTTCTCTAATATCTGAAGCTCAGTTTTCATGATTACAAAGTTCTCACATATTTATAAAGTTATTATATAAATGAGCTTATCTTCTTTAATTAACTCTGTAGAATTAACTGATTCTATCTCTGTAACACTGATTAGAAGTATAAACCTGACTTATAAGTAACTATATCTAAATTATATCTTTAAAGTTATATAAGTCTTAAGTATATATTATCTATAATATCTGTGATAATTACAGTTTCTATAAATCTTTTTCAAATTTCAGAGAGATTTTATAATTTAAAGATAACTCTTATAAGTTTCTTAGCTCTTAGATCTGAGTTTTCATACTCTGCTTATTATAAGAGTAGATTCTTAGTTTTCATTACTTAGCTTATTCACTTTACAAGCTTTAAAAATACTATAGTGATCTGAAACTCTAAGTCTATTAATACTTTCTATACTTATAAAATAGTAGTACTGCAGTACAGTCTCTTTTTATAAGTATATATTTTTATTAAAGAAGTAACAGATTCAGATATTAACTTTAAATCTTTTAAAAAAACTATTACTGACTCTGTTTATAACTTCTTAAATTTCTATTTTAATTTATCTGAATATTTTATATAAAGACATTTTAATTTAAAATAGATAAAGCAGAGATTCTTTTTCTTAATCTCTCTATTATATATTCTATTTATAAGAGCTTATAAAGCTCTCTCTCTTTACTTAGTAGTCAGATATAAATCTCTCTATATCTTATTATTTTTTCTCAGTAAATATATTCTCTGTTATTCTAACTCTTATAGAGTTAATTAGTAATTTACTCTCTACAGATTTATAACTCTCACAGTAATTTATAAATAAAGAATAAAAGTTATTAATTTCTTCAGAGTTAAGAGATTAGAGTCTTACTTAATAAGCTTATCTATATATCTTTATTCAGTTTCTTTATAAATATTATTATTCAGATCTTATTTCAGAGCTCTGTTTTCATAGATTTTAATTTATATTATAATTTTATAAAATACTATAAGTAGTCTTTATCAGATTTCTCATCTCTTTTTCTAATATTAATAATTAAAGTTTAGATATTCTTTATTAAACTTATAGAATCTTTTAACTTATTCTCTAAATAAATTTTAAGAATAGATTAGTAAGATTTTTTATAATTATTTTTAAATAATTTAATTAGTTTTTAACTTCAGTATAGTAGAGATCTGTTATTATATAAATAATAACTTCTTTATCTTTTATATTACACAGCTAAGCTTGTGAGTTAATTTTAAATATAAACTTATACAAGCTTTTATAGATTATAATTCAGTAGATAATCTTAAATAATTATAACTTAAGAAAGTTTCTTTTTAGTTTATAAATATCTCTGAAGATTATATCTAGAGACTTGATTTAGAAGTATTTATAAATAGTAAGTATTTCTTATAGAAAAATAACTTAATTTTATAGAAAATACTTAAGAATATTCTTTACTAAGATTAATTTAATTATAAGTTTAAAGAGTTTCTCTATTATAGATATAGAAAATAATATTCTATAAGTAATTAATAAGTTCTCTGAGACTTCTTTTATAAGAGTTATTCATGATTTAAGTGACTACTTCTAAATATCTATAGTAGAATTTATAGAGATTAAAGTATACAAGTTTCTAGTTCTTTCAGTTATAATAAGTGATTGCTGATTGATAGAGCTTGAAATATAAGAATAAGTACTCACAGATGATTATTCAGGTGTTTACAGCTTAATATGATATATACTGTTAATTAGACTGGCCGCTGGGATCATGAATTTCATGTTTGGTCTCATTTGATCTGGTCTCATACATTTCTTGGTGTGAATCCTGCTGGGACTGGCTATCAAAAAAACAGATAAAGTGACTATATATCAGATCTTAGAATGAAACCATGACTTGAAAAAAATGAGAAAGTGGTTTCATTTGATCTCATTTAGTCTCATTCTTAGCATAAAGTTACTATTTTTAGACATTTTAAGGTTTTTTTTAGACTATTTTTAATTTTTTAAAAAGTAACACTTTTTGATAATACTCAAATGAGATTTAAAGTCATTTAAAGCAATAAAAATAATTTAAATTGAGAAGTGGAAATCATGGTCTTATTTGGAAAATGTGACAAGAGTAGACAGTAAGTCCCACTGGAACAGTATGAGACTACTATCTAATGTTAAAACCATGTAATGGGATCAGTCGAATTGGTAATGAGACTATCAAAAAATCTGGTCCTGGTCCCAGACACGGTCACACGGTCAGTCTACTGTTAATTACTAGAAGTATTCATAGTAGAAAGATAAAATATAGAAATCAATATATAATAGTATTCAAGCTGAGTTATGAATAGTATCCATGAATTCCAGTCTATATAGTTGTGTGTAGCCAAGGGCCGCTAACCCTATTGATTACATGAGAGATAGGAATAGGGGTAAAGGATCCGCGAGGAGCGGGATTTCTTACACAGAGATAATTTTAAGTAACAGAGTAAAGATACTACAGAATCACTGAATAAGGCAATTTAAAGCTGAATAATAGCTTATGCATGCAATGATAGCATGTAGTGAAAGAATATAGCAAATTAGAGCAGATTCTTATGCATAAAAGAGACACAATCTGATGAAGGTGATATAATAGAGTAGTTAGTTGTATATTGAGATCTAGCTATTATGCGGCCTTTTATGTGTAGTGGGCGTTCGCTGAGCGATCGGCGAACGAATCCGACAATAGAAGAACCAACTTTTCCATGCAAAAAACCCTGTAATGTGATGTGCTCTCCGGCTCATACAGCTCAGATCAATCTTCAAATCTTCATTCTTTTTTTCATTCTGCTCTTTTCATACATTCTCTACAAGTATTTACATTCCTTATACTCTTCTCTATGTTCATTTTTGATCTCTGTGTTCATGGCATACACTGCTAAATGCCCTGTAACATAATCTCATGTGATGTCATGTGCACCTCTTTGAATTCATGGATGGGATTGAACAGCTGGCTCTGCAGCCTGTGTGGCTCTGATTAATCTGATAAGGTGATAGAGGTGATACGGGGTGGAAGGGAGTGGTCGGGGGAGAACGTGATAGAGGGGGTAGAGGGGGTAGAGAGTGAAAGGGGTGAAAGAGGGTGGTAGGGGGAGAGGGGTGGTAGAGGGGGTAGGTAGGGGCAAAGCGAGCGTACGCGAGCGTTTGATGCTTGTGAGTAAAAAAAATAAAAATAAAACAGGTTTATGAAAAGCAGAGTTTCTTACATTTTAGCAGCATATATAGTTATAGTGTGAGTTAAAGAATATCAAATTCTTTGAATTACAAATTGAATGAATATTTAAAAACATCAAAAATACTCATTTAACTCAAATGTCCCTATAGACTGTACACATCAATCACAGATATAGAGAAGCAAAGGCATGAGTAATAGCTTAGTTGTTTCACTAATGATATGATATTGCGCTAATTGTGGCCTCGCGGCCAAATAAGGAGATAATCTACTTAGCAAGATTCAAAACAACAGATGTTCTCTGTCCTGCTATTGATAAGATGATATTATTCAAATCTATTTAGCAGTTTAGTTCTTCTCAAAAAGAAAATGTGTTCCGCTGGGCCATAATCTGTGGGATGGTTAATCTCATGTGCAAGTGAGGTGATCAGGCTTCTTTCAATTCCTCTCGTTTACTCTACCGAGAAAGGTGGAGACAAGAGGGGAATGGAAAACAAAAAAAAAAAAAAAAAAAAATATCATCTTTTATATAGAAAATGAAATTTTAGAAACGTCGATTTCTTTCTAATAATATATGTACTGTGCAGCGCAATGACTGGCTGAGGCCCTCTACCAGCTTTGCAAAGCTATATCCAACAAATAATCATCATCTTTACTCTTCATCTCCACCCTCCGCCAATCGTCCGGGCTTGGAGTTCAAATATTCGTTCCTGCAGGCAAGTATATGTTAGTTGGCAACTACACCACAAGCACATAACGCGCAAGATAGGTACAACAATGCACATCACAGAAAGCCGTGTGGACCAGAACACAAACCTCTCTTGAGCCCAGTTAATTATCGCATACGCGGCGACGAACGGGGGAATAACATAAAGCGCTTGGTTGCGGGTTCTTCTCCATGTGTTGAAAATGGCGTTGTAGAGAGCACCGGCGAAGGGGCGTTGTCGGTTGGGGGACAGAGCGTAGGTCGAGATCTTTTGAGGGGTCGGGCAACCTATTTAGTACTCAGCATGAGGTAACCATTAGCATGACATGTGCTGCTGTGGATTGGATAGAGGCGGAGGGATAATCGAACAACCCCGTTATTAGGTGTGGCGGGGCGATGGCGATTGGAGTCGCTCAAGTTGTGGCAATGGGATAGGCCTCAAAACGTACCGAAGTTTCCAAAGGTTCCGATATAGCTGCCAAATTGTCAGTCTCCGTCTATTGCTTCAATTCTTCATGATGTGAACGGCGGTATGCCTCGAATTGATTCAATGCATGGTCAGCCGGGGAGAGGGACTTACATTCCGCGCTTGGGATCTGGGTGTCCGCCGCCCATTGTGCCGGATAAACGACGAGAGGAATTCGTAGACGATTGACTTGATTCTTTCCAATAATAGACAGAAAGGCTGCCTACGCAACAATAGTGCGTATGTGTGTATGTGTATGGGTTATGGATATGCGTGATGTCGCCGGTTTGTTTGAAGTTGAGTGTTGGAAGTTGAGCCTCCAAAATCATCCGGCACTAGTCCCGATGCAGCCTAGCGCAATTAAAAGCACCATCTTGAGCAAGCTTCGTAAACCAATTCAATGCTGTTGATAACCCCCCAGAACTCCAAGAGCAACGTTTTTCAGCATCCATCCCCGGCTTTTTCAAAATGGCGAATGCTCTTACTGCAATTTACAAATGGGGTGTCCCCGTAGCCATCGGGGCGTCCTTCGTCCAGGCATCTCTGTACGATGTCAAGGGAGGAACCCGGGCAGTCATCTTCGACAGGCTCACGGGAGTGCAGGAAAAGGTTGTCAATGAGGGCACTCACTTCCTCATCCCCTGGTTGCAGAAGAGCATTATCTACGATGTCAGAACGAAACCTAGGAATATCTCAACGACCACCGGAAGTAAGGACTTGCAGATGGTCAGCTTGACCCTACGAGTCTTGCATCGCCCCGAGGTGCAGCAATTGCCAAAGATCTATCAGGTATGTGCATTCGCATTTTAACACCCCTTTCGTCTATAATATATGTATGAAGCTAACCATACCATCCATGTAGTCCCTCGGCCAAGACTACGATGAAAGAGTTCTCCCCTCCATCGGCAACGAAGTCCTAAAGTCCATCGTCGCCCAATTCGATGCTGCGGAACTTATCACCCAGCGTGAAGCCGTCTCCAACAGAATCCGCAACGACCTTATGCGCCGCGCCATGGAGTTTAACATTGCTCTCGAAGACGTCTCCATAACTCACATGACTTTCGGTCGCGAATTCACCCGTGCCGTCGAGCAGAAGCAGATCGCCCAACAGGACGCCGAGCGGGCGAGATTCATTGTCGAGAAGGCCGAGCAGGAACGACAGGCCAATGTCATCCGTGCGGAGGGAGAGGCCGAGAGTGCTGAGATCATTAGCAAGGCTGTTATGAAGGCTGGTGATGGCTTGATTCAGATCCGAAGAATCGATGCTAGCCGGGAGATTGCACAGACGCTTGCCACAAATCCCAACGTTACATATCTTCCGGGTGGTGGTGAGGGGAAGGAGGGCGGCAAGAGCACTGGCCTCCTGCTTGGGTTGAGAAGCTAAAGAGGAGTGACGAGGGTTGATAGATAGTAAAAGCACTCGTGCATTTAAGGCGGATGCGATGAAATCGTTCTTCTATTATTGAACAAACAAGCATGTAACAAGATTCTAATTTCCTTTTTGTAACTTCACTATCATTTCTCAATATATTGATCGTTTCTCCGCTTCTTAGCATCTCACTGGCGCGTTGACGACTCAATGCTTTTCTGATGTCAAATATACAGATGGCAACAGCTCTGATGTATTCACTGGACATATTATTGTGGAGGCATCACTTTCTTCTCTAACTGTTCTGTACAAGTAAAACGACGTCTGTCCATTTCCTCTGTATATTCCTAGCCTGACTCTACTAGCATCAGATAAGGAGATGAAGGTCCTAGGCGGTGCATAAATGTAAGTAGACGACACATAAAAATCCATGGCAAACAGTCGAGGTATACAGATGAACAATTGTACATGTACACAATGTACGTTTCAACGCTTCGCTTGAAAAACAGGTGAAGTGAACAACAGAAACAAAAAAAAAAAAAAAAAAAAAAAACAAAAAGGAAAAGTAAGCCAACTGTTAAGCCGCTCCGCCCTGACTACCACACGATCATAAAATCTTTTAATGTATCACATAAACTGGTTGAATCCACAGGTTCTCAATCCATCGAATCCTCAATCAATCAACGGAAAAGGAAGTTGATAGAAATACAAGATAAGTACAATATACATATGAGCAGCGAACAAACAGAGGGGAAGATGGGAAATATAGAAGCAGAAAAAGAGACGCCTGGATAGATAGGAGCATCACCCCTACTATTACCAAAACATAAGATGCATCCGATGCTGAACACGTTCCCACGCCGTCGTCGGGACTCTAGTAGTCTCCCAAGTTTCCGCATCAGCCAACAGCCGGCCCGTATCTAAGTCCGCCTCCAACGGCTGGACAAAGCTCGGGCGGTACACAATCCTATGCCCCGCATACAACACCACGAACAGAATTAAACTAATATAACTGACGAAAAAATTCAATATATTCCATGGTATAAATGCCGTAAACCCTTGGGTGATGATGATAAGGATGTTGAAGAGGAGGCCGTACCAGGCCAGGTAGGGCTGGAAGGGTGCTTTGTAAGGTAGTGCGTCGCGGCTAATATTCCGCGCCCGCAGCGCCCGCATAAAGCTTAGGTGGCAGCCGTTAATGCATGACCATGAGATGAAGCCGGCGATACTGCTGATGTTCATGAGCCATTCGAAAACCACAGAGCCGCTGTTGGATACGTTGAGGAAGCCTAGCAGGCCAAAGGCGGCTGTAAATAAAATGCTTACCCATGGTACACCGGCCGTAGTGGTCCTGGTGAAGATTTTGGGCGCACAGCCGTCCTGAGCAAGGCCAAGCAGTACTCTGCTGCCGGAGTAGACGTTGGAGTTAGCAGCGGAGATAACCACAGTGAGGAGAACGACGTTGATGAGGCCTGGGAGTGTATTGACACCGGCGAGTTTGGCAGCAATGACAAACGGGGACGCGGAAGCGTCGGAGGCTTTTGACAGAAGGTCTTGGTTTGTGAATGGTATCAGGATCCCGATAAAGAAGATTGTCAGGACGAAGAGGAAGAGGATGCGGTAGAACGTCTTCTTAATTGCTGCCGGTACAGCCTTGCGCGGGTTTTCTGTCTCTCCAGCCGCGATGCCAACTAATTCAGTGCCCTGATATGAGAAGCCGGCTTGGATAAGAGTGGCCCAGAACCCGATGAATTTAGCGGTAGCAACTTTATCATGTCCGATGACTTCAAGGAGGTATGGGGCGAACGCGCCGGGATTGTGCCAGTATTTAAATCCTATATAGCCCTGCTGGCCTGCACCGGCATTGATGCAAATGCCAAAAATCATGAAGCCAATAACAGTGATGACTTTGACGCTGGAGAACCAGAACTCGATCTCGCCGTAGAAGCTGACGGGCAACATGTTGATTAACGTAATGAAGACCCAAAAGGCAGCTATGAAGATGCCAATGGGGATTTGATCGTTCCAATATTGAATGATGAGGCCTGTCGCCGTCAATTCGAGGGCGAAAGTAATGGGCCATGAAAACCAGTATATCCAACCCATCGCGAAGCCAAGGCTAGGGTCGACGAAGCGGGTAGCGTATGAAGTAAAGGCGCCAGCTATTGGTATATACGTTGCCATTTCTCCAAGTGAAACTATGACTGAATATACGATAGACCCGACGAAGGCATACGCGATCAGGGCGCCCGCGGGGCCGGTCTTTGAAATTGCACCCCCGCTGCCAATGAACAGGCCAGTACCGATCGTTCCTCCTAAAAGACAAGGTCAACAACAATGATCCGCAATTCTGACAAGGGAGCATAGAGAAATTGGCTTACCAATAGCAATCATCTGAAGGTGTCTGCTCTTCAGCTTCCTCTTGAGCTGAGGCAGCTCGCGGGGCTGCAACTTTGCTAACTCATCCGAGTCATAATGCAGGCCTGGAGGGGGGTTACCCTCTGTGCCCTTCGGCCTCTTCTCATCCTGGGCCAATGATATGTGGTCTCTCGGCTCTCCCATTCTCGATGCTCCCACTTAGCTTGGAAAGGTTTGTTGGGAATCCAAATTAGGGAATTTGCTAAGACGATATAATGATTGACGAGAGACTATAGCAGGTGGGAAGTCGAGACACGGATACTGCAAAAGGAGAAACAGAGTTTTTCCCACAATTGGCAAAGAGTGGGACTTCCTCAGCTCAAGATACGACCAGAAAGATTGGAAAAAATAAATAAAAACAAAGAAATATTAAGTAACGAAAATGTGACAGCAGTTGGAAGCCAAACGGACAATACCAATTGACCAGTAATATAAGAGGAAATAGGGCATGGTGACTCGACTGCAAATGCAAAATTTTGCAAATTCCAATCTGCGATCGGCAACGATGCAACACCCGTGTGGCGAATAGGTGACACCGATGTTATCCCGACTCCGGAATTGGTATCACACAACCATGTATTTAGATAAGAGGGTCGTGGGAGTCGTCCGAATGCTAATCCCCAAGGGGGTGAAGTGGAGGATAAGTTAGAATAACTATTGATTGACAAGTTGACTCCATACCCCGCGATTTGGAAAAAAAAAAAAAAAAAAAAAAAAAAAAAAAAAAAAAAAAAAAAAAATTGGATGTGTGAAATCAAGGATTTGGCGAAGATGAATTGATACTGTGAACTGTGATACATACTTGGTGTTTATGCTAATTTGTATGAAGGTATGCAGGTAATAACCTGGTCGGCTTGCAAGCCGATGCATGTCGGCCGAGCTCTAGAAATTACGCCGAGGAATGAGCCTGCTGAGACGGGTTCTGACGATTCTGTAAGTGTTTGTACAATAGCAGAAACCACCATATAGGCCTATCTCGATTGAAATGCATGGCATCCATGGAGATATAACCATATTAAGATGTCAGCGTTCCTTGAATCTTCGGTCACTACTGCTCGATTGTTCCCAGCCATCTTTAGGCGTAGGCTTGAGAGCTCCCATTATCATTTCATGAACAGGAACCTCACAGTTGCACCAGTTGCAGTCTGTCAGGTTCATGCTCTAGTTGCATATTGAGACCACGCTCTCACATATCGGGAAGGGCATTCTCATCCGATCTCCGTTCAAGATCGTTAATTACTGCTGTCCACGGAGTAAGACAAGAACAGGCTGCTGGAACGGTAGTATATCCTAACCCGGAGTCTATCCACCTTGGTATGACTTCGGTGTCCACAGTATCTCCCAGACGATCGGCAGTGTTGTACAGCTTCCCCACGAGGCGGGATGCACCAGGTCAATTTTGCGGATGCATCTTCTAGGTTCCTCCCCTGCTTTAGCAAAGAGATGTTTTAGAAAAGTAAGTGGTTCGGGTAATTGTACATGTACATGTACTTATTGGAAGCGGGTGGGAGCTAAACTTGAACCACAATCTTGAATCACGCTCCATAACGCAAGTTAGAATGATATCTATCTCTATGAGGTGGTCCTCAGAACCGAACCGGTGGGGGCTTCTCAGTGCAAGCTGCAGATATGCAATGATAAACTGAATCTGCACTTACAAATGTTGTCCGGTGAGAATCAAAACACGTTTCCTGGGTCAAAACACACGCTGTAATCCCCTTTTCTGCTGTGTGGTGTTGTCTAGGGACAATCGAAGGATCAAAACCGGATGGAGGGAGGTGAGGATCACGTGTAGGCCTGCAGCCCTAATTCGCATTTCCCTATCAAATAATCTCGTCGTCTTCCATATCCCATGTTCGCAGACAAATAGCTTAACTCCAGGGCCAGCTTCCCAAGCTCGTCCCCACGGTAGGTATGGTAACTAACGGAGTCCAAGGCAGTTCCCCCTGTCATCCCAAACGGCCGCAGATGGCGTATCATTAGCGCGGCAAAGGAAGCGCCAAACACCTTGCTAAAGCCCACGTGATGGGACATTTCGCTGAGCAACATGGGAGCTATCGACGATCAGCTCTGTCGGAGTTTTTGTTTAGCCCCAAAGCTATTATTATTTTTTATTATGGACAACGGCACTGCCACTAGGCAAATCTGTAAGCTCCGGGTGTTGCCTCAAGTTGGGGGCTCAATAATAGTTCGGTTCCAACACACCTATGCCTCCATCTTCAACTTCAATTCGTCCCATCATGGCGGCACCGCCCTCCATCAGTGCGGAATCCCCTTACCAAGTTCCGCCCGCAGCGGCCAAAACCCGGACTCAGACACATCGACGCCGCCTTAATCGCGAGGAGCGAAAAGATATCCTAATCCTACGGCGTTTGGGTTATACGTATCAAGCTATAGCTGAACATCTTCACGTCTCCCACCGTGCCGTTCAATATACCTGTGAATCAAATACCTGTGATCCCAAGAAACGGCCCGGCCGGAACAGCAGGCTGTCCAGCAAGCAAGTCGATGACATTGAAGCCTTTTTGACCGCCTCCAAGGAAAACCGGAGCATGTCATATAAGAAGATAATTGAGGCCCTTGGCCTTGACGTCAAGCAGGACTGTCTGCGTCGAGCTTTACAAAAACGTGGTTATACCCGACAGGTTACCTCAGTACCTAATTGTCAATCCAGCAAACGTAGCCAGCTTGTAAGTTTTGTAGATTTGCCCAGATTGGTTGGAAGTTGAGGAATAATCAATAGAGCTAATACACCTGGTATATCAGACTGGGGAACTTTGTAAAGACCCTGATACCAAGACCAAAAGCCAGAGCGAACCGGAGTCCTCCGCCGGGATGATGTTGCCAGAAAATCCTTCGCCAGCGGGACTTGATTCCGCAGTAGTCCTACATCACCACCATCACCAACCTACCGCCGCTCAAGCTCAAGCCCTAGTCACCCGATACCCTCATTCTCCGTCTCCCTACCAAGGCCATCACTCCATTGCTCCTCAACCACTACCTATCCCGCTTCAACATCATCCAGGCCCATACCCCCAAGTCGTACCACCAGAATTCCGACAGGCTCCGCAACAATACCACTCTATGGCACCCTATTATCATTATCATCAACAGCAGCAGCAGCAGCACCCACAACAATGCCAGTCAATACCCCTTGGATCTCTACCTCTCCCTCCCCAGTACAGCCCAGTGCCGTTACACCCTCACTCTTCGTCAACAGGTGTGCCCCAATACCATCCAGTTCACGAATATCATCCCATATCTTCTAATAAATTACGGCCTCCGGTCCCGGAATATCGTCGAGCTCTATCCGAGTATTGTCCCAGCTTGATCGACCGCCGCTCCGCTTCGGTCCAAACTCCGTCTCCTTTTCAATCGCCGTCCTTCGCCTCCCTCCCCATCGACCATCGACATCAAAACCTCAGCCGCAGTACATCTCCAGGTGTATGCCTAACAACAACCTCTCACGGGCAAATGGCAAGTTCCACAATATACCCCATGAATGGAAATATAAAAATAAAAATAAAAATAACCCCGACTACTGACCTTGATGTTAACTACATACAAACAACAGCTTTTGGAAGTGTCGAGCATGACGGACCGATCGCGGAAGTCAAGCGGCTATTCGACACCGCTTACAATACCAGATGACTGTAGTGACTACTACAGATACGAGACGAGCGCTCCCCCAGATGCCACCGGTATCGATTCCGAGACGAGGTTGCGATAGCAGTTGAATTTTATCTATTTTTACTTGCAAAGATACAACTAGAGTAATAGAAATAGGCCTCAGGGCCGGACTTGGCGTGTATGTGAAGAGAGCCCGCATGAGACGTTGGAAGTGAACATGCACCTGTACAATATCCGATACGCCTCACAGAGAGGGCTTAATATTTGGCGTTTGGGGAACATTCTGCGCCTTTAATCATTTTTTCTCATTATTTCTTCTCCATTCCCCCTCTCATTTTTAATATTTCCGATTGTTTGGAGTTTCTTTTGTGGCTTTGTTTTAATGTTGAGGATAATAGAATATAGAATATAGACCATAGCTTTCATACATAACAACATTCTCTCCCCCATTGTTTCATCCTACGCAATATCTGTCTAGGTCCATGCCTCCAACCGAATATTCGCATAGAATGTCGTTCTCGACGCACATACCCAGCCCTCCAAACAACCACGGATAGGAAAATTGCGAAGGGTAAAACAAAATCGAAAGGCCATGATTTGCAATATTCCACGACTAGCTCTAAGAGACCGCCATGTCTACCAAACGTCAAACGCATAGATCAGCAAGCAGCCCAATCACGAACGCAACAGCGTTCGCACGATACTTCTCTACAACAGCCCTATGAACCTCCCTGTCAAAGCCGCTGTCACACACCGGGTCCCCCGAGTCGCAGTAGGATCGCATGCGGGAAGCAAATTCGTCACAGGATTCGGAATCCGGGCGCGGCAGGAGCTGGACGATATTCTTGTTTTTAGTGTGGTGATGGGTAATTGGCAATGGATAAGACAATTGTATTTTTTAAATGGCATATCTTCTTTAAAGCAGCAGAAGAGGAGAGGAACTTACACCGTTTCTGGTTGAGGTGCCAACATCGAACGATTTGCCAGGCACATGGCGCGGATCAGCCATGAAAATGATCGCAGATACTACAAAGGATTTCAAGAGAATTGGGGTGTTAAGTAAAGAATGCCGAACACATGTTTTATATCATAACCATAATCTAATGCTCTCCCCGGCTCGCGCTTCTTCATCCCCATTCGCCCATCCTCACCTCACGGGTTGTAAACTTCCGCAAGCAACAACAACAACAAATAGCATATCAATCGCATACCTTTATCGGCAATCCTCTGATCAATCCCCTGCTCCGCAAAGGCCCCGCCACACAACGTATTGCCAATAACATGCGCCCCCTGCGAATACCCCAACAGGACAATCTTAGTCTCCGGACAACTTGATGCAGATGTGTTTAGAAGGCCAGTTAAAGCTTGGATCCCCCTGTATAAGGAGACGGAGTACGGAAATAGCTCTGCTGGGTAATCGAGCGCGATACGTTCGCTGTTCTCGTGTCCATTGGCAATGTCTCTGGCGACGGTGGTTAGGCGGCCCTCGCCGGGATCTTCGCTAGTGCCGCGCGCTGCAATTATCGTTATGGCTGCACAAGATGCATTGGTAGTTTGTTCCTGTGGAAATGGTATTGGGAGCGGGTTCGCGAGGACGAAAGGGGGGTTTACGAAGATGAAGGATATCACTGCTGCTACCCCAAGAATAGAGTGCATCGCTGGCAAGATTATAATGACTATAGGTACTGCTGCAAGGTTCGCAAAGTTGGAGTGTCACAGAGAAGAACTCTGACAATATATATTTCAAATATATATAAAGATATATGGACATATCTGCATAGTGGGGAGGAATTGGGAAGGAACGGAGGTGCGGGATCAGTCAATGATCTCACAAAAAGGCGAAAATAGACGATGCAAAAGCAGTGCTGAAAGCATCAAGAGGACAGAAAATGCCCTATTGACATTTGAAGAAATGAGGAACATTCATCATGGGTTCTAAGAAGTAACCCGTAGCAGAATAAGTGCAAGTATCACAAGGGTACGTAGCCACACCCATACTGTATAGCTCTGATCAGCCAATAGAATCTGCTAAACAGTTGCACCAGAATATCATATATCATTAAACTGTGAGTGGCCACACCTTAAACACTACCATTTGGCCCTTCGGAAGAGAAGCACGCTATGCACGAATGTGGAACAAGAAAGTCATTCAGGAGATAAACAGCCCATTGACCAACTCAGATGATGCTCACCCTTCAGCTGAGCCTTCCAACCCCTCACATCTTCGTTGGTGACGAAGAATTTAGGACAGACGACAAATTAGAAACACCAGGACATTGTGTAACTCATGGAACGGGAGAATAGTTCGAATGTCATTCTGGAGAATTGATTGCTGAGTTCGGCATCGGCTCTAATCCCGAACTCGGCTAAGCACAGTCTCGGGCCGAGTCCAGATATTGAACGGGCGCGCAAAGCTTGTTGGGGCTGATGACCTTCAATAACTTGTTTGTCGGGGGAGATGGAAAGAGCAATTTTGTTTTATTATTGTTAAATTTCCTTCCCTATAATTCCTAGAGACAGATTATACTCCTCGTCGTAGATTACAAGGGGACTTAGCAAGTGCGGGAAAGGCTGCTTATGATACTGGGGAGGTAGTGAGCTTTCCCCAGACACTCGATTCGCTTCAGTTGCAATTCGATGCTTCCAACAAAATATGAGGCAGGCTGAGCGTATCGAACTGGTTGAGGGGGAGGTCTGAGATTTGCATCAGCTTGTCTGCACCGCGATATCTATCAACTTGCTCAATCCATTCAAAAGCTCATGGATGAAACTCCCATCACCCATACAGTCTATGCTGCACTTTAGCCTCTTCTCCTTTCTCACTACAAGCTGCTTCCAGTGTTCTGGCCGTGGACTAATCGCAAGACATTCTTGAGCAGACTTTTAGGCGAGCTTCTTCGTGGAGTTTCGTTGGTCGGTTTCATTTCTTCCCGATCGCGTTTATTCTTCTCCTTTGCTTTCCTCGACGATTTCAATTAGGCATTTCAAACCGTGTTTCCTCGTTCTTCTCCAAAATGTATCTCAGGTTTCACGGAGGTAATAATGTCTCAATACCTCTTAGGGAAGCTCGCAATCGGCTTTGTCGGATTTGAAGATATCCTCGATACCACATAGGCCCGGGTCTCGCGGGCAAGCAAGGGTTTTAGAACGCCCATGCCTGCAGGGGTCCAATAGGCGTTAAATGAAGTTGACGTGGCGTAAATACATCATTTCGCTTGCTCTGGTTACCCGCTGTTGGAATGTGGTGATAGCCTTGCGGGGTCAACATCTCCGCCTATCCCCAGAATGGAAAGGCAACGAGATCCTCACAGAAATTAGATCAATTCACCGTTCAACTAATATGTGTCTTCCAGGCCGAAGGGCAACTTTCTTCCATTTTCAACGTTTACTGGAGCAGTAACAAGCTATGCTTCCGTAACGTATTTGTGAAAATTATCTCCCATAGCTCCAAAAATAGTCATAGTCTTGGTTAACTAGAGCAATAGGTCGGGAAGGACAGCCACGAGAAATGTTCCGGAATGTTGTTAAGCCTCAAAAAATGCTAGATAATTCATTTTATCGAATTCTATTGTGAGCCCGAATTTAACCTAGCAAATCAAGAAATAGAAACAATATTTTCCGAACCCTTCCTTCACAGGTCGTACATTTAGGCAACTGAAATAAATCGACAAGGGTGCAGGCTTCAATCCAGTAGAGCCACGGAATTGTCAGGCTGGCATCGAAATAATACTGTATCTTCATGTAAAAGCGCCCATCTGCCTGCCATAAGGTAAAATAACCCAAAGATTCCATGAATTATCCATGTCTTCCAAGGCTGTCAGTTTCCAGTACGGTCTCTTCCCCGTGCTAGAGCAGGAGTGTTAGTGTCAGTCAGTCATGCGTATATCCCACAGGCTTTCAAACGTCCAATTATATCCCGGACCGCCAAACTGCAAAGAAGTGAAGCAGAGCAGCAACCTCTAGTTCTCCATAGGCGATGCGAGTCACCCATCCAAACGCGGCACCTACAAGCAGCCAATTAGAACCAGCCGTTGGCAGCCGCCAATCTACGGATATATCTCTATTCGCAAGAAAAACTGTTTGAGGCCTCCTGTATGCAACAGCGCTCAGACACACGAAGTGGCAGTGAATTGAGTGGTCTGTAGCGCATCTCAATAAAGCCTCTTGTCACAAGGCTATAAGAAAATTCGTGTCCATGATTTAGTGGCCGCGGGAAGTATGTGCAAGGATAGAAAGGGACACTTGCGCTGGCTGCGTGCCTCAAAGGGCTTTCTTCTTTCACAGCTCAAAGTGATAAAGCCAAAAAAAAAACCTATATATATGAGCTACCACTGCAGGAAACATGGCAGATCCAAGAGAGAGTTTCGACTGGGGAGGGATCAGGAATAGAAGAGGAATGGGAGCAAAATCTGCTGTGAGTGGCACGACCAGAACCTGGCAGCCTAACAGAGTTGTTCAGTACACGGCGATGGGTAAAGTAGAAAAACCACCTCCCCTTGATCAACCCAGTGGCACATTAGTCGCCTCGATAACCGTTGATACATCAGCCAGCGTCGGAACTCAATCCCCGAGAATCACAGGAACCGAATTGGTCGGATCGTATAATTGGTTGGATAGCAAGATACCAACTATACTAATCCCAGGTCGGTAAATTCCCAGTTGCTTTGTGCTCATATCACTGACTCCTAGGGGTTAAATTCATTTCAGGAGCGCCCCCGAAGTGGACTCCGTTGAGAGGGGGCGTGCAGCTCAAAGAAGACGCAGGCGATTACTTTCGGGAGCCAAACAGCGCGAGATGGCCGAAATACCCAATCGAGCCTGCAATCCGAGCTGTATTCGATCGGAATCCCAAATTTAACGGTAAAACGATCAACATCGTTACCTGTGCCGGAATGATGGGATGTCTTTTCAAATTTGCCTCGTCAGCCGAATGGGAGTTCCAGTGCTTTGTCCATCGAGTGGGGGACACTCTTTTCTTGGTGCGTAAGGAACGTACGCCCAAGGAGCTGATCCAAGGTGTCTACGGATATGGACACACATTCCCTGAAGCATATACCAGTTGGCATAAAAGTGTGAAAGGCTCAGCAACCAACCAACGAATCATTCGTTACGAATTTGGCGGCCTCACCTTCCTCGTCCGCTTTGAAGCAGATGGGTATTTGGGTGGGATGATAGGGATCGAGGTGAAAACGCAAGAAAAGAAGACGCCAACAAGCCAGAAAGGACTCAGTGACATGGATGTCCTTTCTCAAAATACAGAATCCGTCACAATTGGGAAAATAGGTTCTGGGAATACCGCGACTTTGAAGCTCCAACATGCCGGATTTGATGTGCCACAGTCCGCCGTATTTGACGTGAAAACCCGTATCCGCAGGAGGGAAATAAGTATGCCTGAATCTCTACCACGCTTATGGGCGCGTCAGATTCCAAATTTTGTCGTTGGTTATCATGACGACGGGTTCTTCGACCGAGATCACATTCTGGTCATGCCGATGAAGGAAAGGATTGATGCTTGGGAAATGGAAAACGAAAAGGTTCTCCTACGGCTCACCAAAGTCTTTGAGAGCTTGATAAAAAGCGTCAAGGAGTCGGAAGTTAAAAATTTGTTGGTTCATAGAGCGAAAGACGGTCCGCTGGAACTATGGGAAACAAAAGAGAGCCGCAGGCCTGCGATGACTCGTGCACTAGAGGCCAAATGGAAGGGGTGTGGTGAGGTGATTAATAATAGCAGCGACGATGATGATGACGATGGCAATGAGTATCTGCTTTTTTGAAATCGAAATATAGCCCTTTCTAACTCTTCAATTTGATTATTGTGTTTCATCTAATATGGATTAAATCCAGACTCGACCACTTTTCTTTGGTCAAGTTCTGATAATAACCTCCTGTTTATGTGAGCTTATAATTCGTTATGCCCTTAATTCCAGATACCATTATTGCTTCAAGAAAAGTTTCGTGCCATTTTCTCTACCTTGAACATGTACCAAAAGTATTTGCCTCTGTGCGACGTCTGCTGTCAGCTCTTTAACCGCCGATAGACATGGATTTGGAATCTCATATCCTCCAAGCCAATTCCATCACCAACTTGATATTTTAATAGGGACGCATCCCTCCGGAACCACCGAGAATCATCTGACACAACGCGTGCCCAATTGCCATCAGCTACGGAAAGCAGAGCATGGTCAAGAAGAAAACGCATTGGGTAGTTCCTCTGTTTTTTTGTATTATCTGCAGATACATTGACATCTTGACGCGTTGTACCGTCTTCGTCGGAAGGAAGGGATGTACTGGATGTAGACGATTGTTGCGTGGGACGCCCGCTTTTAGTAGCAAAGGTGACGGTTGAATAACTTCCGGGACTATCAACAACGAGCAGTATTGTCCCAGGGCGTAGCATATCCGTTAACCGAAGTAGGAATGCTGTCGTCTTTGGTATCGAGGTGGAGAACAGCTCGTTTAAAGTGAACATCAGAGTAACCAGCATAGCTTCGTTTCGATCCATCGTTATTTTATCCAAGTCCATATCGCCATTGATGTCGTTCGATGGTGGAGTTAGCAAGGAAAACAGTTCCTGATCTGTGAGGCTCAATACGTCCGCTTTCTTAAAAAAGACACGAAATCGCCCATCCCCTGGACTCCGCGTACCCTTGCAAGAAACCAACGGCGCAGGACAAGCTTTAGACGATGGTATAGACTCAGACAACATAGCTTTGTTTAAGGTGTTCACAAGGGAAGACCAGTCTGCAATATCAATAGACGTGATTGACAGGTCTTGGAACGGGTGCTGGCCTGAAGGTTTCGTATTAGCGCCGTCAACTCGATCCTCTTCGGAATGGTCGATATCTGGGATGTTTGCGGACTGCATTTCAATTCCCAGCGAAGAAATTCCGGCTTCGCGATTCGAGTTGACGGCTTCTGAGGCGGCTTCTGAGGCAGCTCCTGAGGCACTGGATATGCGCCCAAGGCCCCCATCATTCAGCCATCTCCATGCCGCAGCCAACCCGACGATCTCTGCTCCCGCACCGCCTCCAATACAGACGATATGCTGCCCAATTGTGTCGCTTCCAGCACCCGCAATGCGATGCTGAATAATCATCTCGAGAACAGATGCAAATATCCCTGCGTAACCTAACGCCCTTCCTGCGCTCCAACGCAGGGCGTATGCTTTGAGCAACTCTTCATTCGCATCGGCAAAGGCAGACAAAAAGTCGCGATTATAAAGATGGGTCTTCAATATTTGGACCAGTTCTGATAGAGGCCGTGACAGTGGATCTGGCTCGCAAGCTCTATCAGAGCAGAGGCCCGATTGGAAAACGTTGAGAAGCAATTGCTGGAGTGAAATTGGTAGCTGTGTCGCTTCCAGCAACAATCTACTATTTCTATCATCAGAAGCAGAGAGTATCCTCGTCGTTCTCGCGCCTTTGCTTGAGGATTTCCCACTGCTTTTGACGCTGTCGGGTTTATGTGCCGTTCTGGGAGCGGTTTTGGATTTAACACTATTCTTCCCTTTGGACTTTTGCACATCCTTCCCACGTCGATTTGACGCAGCCATTTTTCGAATTACCTTACGAATATTCTCCCATACCACGCCCAAATGTGCAATTTTACATGAGACAAAAATTTTCTGGATGTGGCTCCCATTTTTGCCAAGGAATCCAAGCCTTCACACAGGCCAATTGACTGGCTGTAAGTATATGAACAGTCTTACTAGTCCGGGCTTGAAATGCTCAAGGCGCTGCGAAAAGTTGTCTCACACTAAGCATTTATCCTGAAATATGATTACTAGTGTATTGAATCTCCAGGCCACACCAACCTGGGATTTAGGCACTGAGCTAGTGAGCAAGCTAGAAGCATCGGTCTCTATAATCCCCCTGAAACTCCCTATCCTTTAATTAAGAGATGGAATGGCAATACTTAATACCGGTATCAGCATTTCAGTTTAAATTCTTAGCGCAAGTCAAAACTTTTCGCAGGAGCCTCGGCAGGGTAGAGCTATCAGCATCTCAGGTGTGACACGTAGGAAACAGTGAAATCACTGTAAATTAAACCCTACATTCTTGTTGGGGGTCCCGGGTTGATCGGCCCTTCTACCAGCAGCGCTGGTGGTGACTGAGCTCTTTTGCCCCAGTAGCCTACTTATCTCAGCGGGCTCAGACCCTCTGGCTCGGTTTGAACGGGTTGCAGCATTATTATTAACTAATCCGGCATGACACTAACCTACTTTTGATACAAGTCATGTGCTCAGAGCAATCCTCGCCAGAGGGTCTGAGAAGAAATGGTTTCATCTTCAATGAAGATTTCTGAGATTTACAAGGATTTTTCAGATTCTTCAACTTTGACTTTCTATTACTATATATTCACATATCTTTGAGATTTGAAAATCATCTTAGCTTATAGCTAAAGAGATGAAGAATAGAAATATTTCTTTAATATTTTAAAAAAATCTATATTTAAGATAGATGTATACTCTTGAAAATGATTATATTTTTTGATCTCAGAATTTCTAAGAGCTTTTTTTTATATGAGAAATTGAATCAAAATTCCTGTATTCAAAAACACACTGATCAACTTTGAGATGATACTTCTATTCTAAGAACTTTAGATATAAATATAAAAATCAGATACATCACAAGAACATTGTTATTCTAAGATTCTAAGATGATACAGAAATGATGAATCTATGAAGTTGAGTTGAAATTCTCTTTCATACTCAGAGTACTGATGTCACGCTCCCGGCCGCGCCAAGGCCCCGTTGCGGTTCCACACGGCCCATCGCTTCCATGCGGATGATTCCATCCTGTCTGAACCGGTTTCCAACCACTCTATGACATCATTCGGATGTATCATAGGAAGATCCGATTGATGGATATGAGAACCTCACTTTTATACAAGGTCAGCAGATTACTCTTCCTTGACAATGAGGCACTGCTGAGGTATTACTCCAGCTATTCTCACTTGTGAAATGAGAGAAAGATATTCACTTATTATCTATATAGAATAGCTAGATGCTGACTTCTTATCAAAGAAGTCAGTAATTTGTTTTACTGCTACTGAAATATACATAAGAGTTACTGCATATCTCATACAATCTTCTTAGTATACTAAGTATCATATCTGTGATATTCTTGCAATAACTCTGTAGTCTACAAGCTCACTATTCAAGTAAGATAGTTAAGCTCACTTATATAACTTTTTAAATAACTATCTCTACATATCACTGCTGACTAGTCACTGCTTCAGTTCTGTCACATTATAATTTGAATTACTTAATCTGATTATATGTTTGAATCAGTCAAGCTCTAACAGACTGATATGACTTCATGCACCTGCACTGAAACTAACTCAATCTCACTCTCTGAAAGAAATACTACATCATTCTCTAGAGTGTGTACATCTCTATCTTAGCAGAAATCTGAGATTTCTGAACTCACTGTGTATTTTAATATAAGCTTTTCAACTGCTCTGTCATTACTGCGGCCTCTACACATCTACATCTATTATGAAGATAGAGAGATTAAGATCAGAGATTCACTGAGATATAAGAAAAATATCTTGTCTGAATTTCACAGCTTTATCTGTACTCTTGAATGAAAATTCCACCTTAATCTGAGCTAGTATAATACTCATAAGATATGAGTAATATACATCATCAACCTTCTTGAAGGCATCTCTGTGACTACTTGAGCTACTAAGAAGAGAAAGCTTGAGTGTATCAATACTGTTATAACTTGAGAAGAATTCAAGAACTTTCTATTAAATCAAATTAAAGATCACTGTAATTACAGCTTCACAGCAGCACAGCAGTTCAACTCATTATATTAACAAGATAATGAAAATTCTTCTGATTTCAATGCAAGATTTGAAGAATATTGAGAGAAATTAATCAATAATTTGAATCAATTAAAAACACAGCTTTATCTCATGAAGCTGACTTATAAAGTGCAGATAATAATATCACAGTATCAGAGTTCATCAATTAATCACACTGAGCTTATCAACCTGACTTTCTGAATCTATTTGAATAATCAATTCTCTGAGAAAAAGGTTAATAAGACCTCTTCTAAGTAATTAATGATGAAATTTAAACAGCATTATAACAGCTTCAGTGTGAAGAAAGTAAAGAAGAATTTCAAGTATTCTGATTCTTCACTCACTGTGAAGAAATATTAAAAAAGATTTGATAAAGATCTCTGTTTTAACTGCAGAGCTGATAATCACTATATCAGTGATTGTAAGAAGCTGAAGAAGAAAAGAAATTAAGAAGATATCTTCTCAAAGTTGACTTCTCTTCTGACAAATATATCCGCGGAAGATAAAGAAGAGAAAGAAAAGAATTGATAATTCTCATATCTCTGAGTTCATATTATAATCACAATGTATACTCTGAATGAGAAGATATCAGTGAGATATCTACTCAACTCTGAAATGAATATTAACTTTATATTCTATTTCTTTTCTTTGATGAAAAGTTGAAAGAAGATAGATTCATCAGATCATGCAAAATTTACAGATGAAATAAAATATCACTGTTTTGATATAATTCAAGCAAAGTGTGTGACTACAGACTCAGAAGAAACCTTTAAGAAGAGCAGTCTGCTTCTTCATACAGTTAATATTATAGATAAGAACATTATTCTAGATCTTCTGTAATTGAGAGAAAACAATCCTCTTATTGACTGAGTCACTCAGATATGATGATACTGTCTCACTGATAAAGAGATAGTAATAGAGAAACCTGAAGAGTTTCATTAGAAGAATCTTGAGAAAAAGATTGAGTTAATATACTGCATAGCAGGTAATTGAGACTTGAGAACAGATGAAGAAGTTATCACTCTCACTACAAGATTAGCAGCAGTATTCATTATTAAAGACAGACATACATAATGTCTCTTTACAGATTTTAAGAATGTCTTTTTGAAAAAGAAAGCAGTGAAGTTTCCTGATATTAAGATGTAATATAAAATTTATCTTGAAGATAGTGCAATAATACTGTATGAGCCTCTTTACAACTTGTCTGTAAAGAAGTTGAATATTCTGTGCAAATATCTTGAAGAAGCATAATCAAAGAACTGAATACATTCATTAAAGAGTCTAACAGAGGCATCTATACTCTTTATGTCTAAGAAGAATGATAGACTATGTCTATGTGTAGACTACAGAGGCCTCAATAAAGTGATAATTAAGAATCACTATTTATTACTGTTAATTAACAAGATGATTGATTGATTATCTGAAGCAAAGATATTCTTGAAGATTGATATACAGAATATCTATCATAGAATCAGAGTTAATGAAGATGATATTTGAAAAATGACTTTTCATACTAAGTACAGTAATTTTGAATATCTTGTTTTATCTTTTAATCTTTGTAATACTTCAGTCATCTTTCAGATCTATATAAATAAGGTGCTGCAGAGTCTTGTCAATGTCTCCTGCATAGTATATCTGAATGACATTTTAATCTTCTCAAAATCAGAGAAAGAATATGATACTCATGTTTAAGAAGTGTTGAGTTACTTAAGACAGCATTAACTCTATACAAACACTGAAAAATGCTTATTCTACATGCAGAAGATTGATTTCTTAGATTATATTATTGAGATGAATGACATTTCAATGAACAGAAGCTGAGTCTCTGTCATTGAGAACTGACTGATATTATAAACATATCATGAGATGCAGGTGTTTCTAGAATTTATGAATTTCTATAGATGATTCATCTATGCATATTCATGAATTACTGCTTCTCTTACAAATCTGTTGAAGAGAAGTGTGAAAGACAGAAAAATGAAATTATTTACTCTCACTCAAGATACTGTGCAGATGTTTATGAAATTGAAACAAGCTTTTGCAGATGTCACAATACTGAATCATTTTAACTCTGACTTACTCAGTCAGTGTGAGACTGATGTATCTGAGAATGAGATCTGTGAAATCTTTTCACAGTTGACACTGAAGGCCTTTTAATATTGAAAGAATCAGAGAATAATCATCTCTGAGAAAACAGGCAATGAATTGTCTGTGAGAGAAGACTTTTTCACAGAGTCTACAAGATACTGTGAATAAAGATCAGTGACCTTCTTCTTCAAGAAGTTATCACTCACACAGAGAAGATATGATATTCATGATTAGAAGATATTAGTAATTGTTGAATTCTTTAAGATCTGATGATATTATCTTTAGAGTAGTAAGTACTCAGTGTAAGTTCTCACTGATTATACAAATCTGCATTACTTCTTGATAACAAAGAGCTTGATAAAATGTTAAGTCAGATGAGCAGAGCTGCTTTCAGAGTATAATTTCTATATCTGATACTGTTCAGATTGACTTAACCCTGCTGACATATTATCTAGATGACCTGATTATAATATCATTGATATGAAGAAGAATTCTATAAAAGAATCTCTGTCATCACTGCAGAAGAAGCTAGCTGCAAGGAGTTGAAGTTCTCTAAAGCTTGAAAACAGTGCTGAAGAGGCAGCTGCATAACTCAGTATAGAAGATGAAAGAGAATCTGAGTCTCTGTGAGAGACTGACACTGAAGATCATGAGCTTCTCATGTCATGTCTTGTAATCATTGAATTGATAAAGAATAAAATGATCTACAATCTTTCAATCTGACTACTTTTGAAATTCATTGATAAGTTACAGAAGAGGAATATCTCTACTACAGCTTAAATTCAAAAGTTGAAGAAGAAAGAATTCAGTTTGAACTTGAAAGAGACAGGCTCTGAGTGAGATGATACTGCTAAGAAATCAAGTCACTGATAACTAGAAGAATGTGAACTTCTACTACTGAATAATTCAGTCTTCATCTCTTATAGTAGAGTGATGTGTTAGAAGTTATTAAGAATTTATCATAATAATTCTCATACAGAGTACTTCAGGTTAGAGAAGACTGAGAAGCTTCTAAAACATAAATACACTTAAAACAAGCTCTGAACAGATGTCAAAGAGTATATTAAGACTTATAATATCTGCTAAAGAATAAAGATTCTATGATATAAGTAATACAGTGAGTTGATATCACTGCCTGTTTCAAAGAGCTCATAGCAGAATCTATTAATGAATTTCATAGTTGATCTGTCAAAGTTGACAAGAGTCAAAGAATATGACTCAATTTTAATCATTGTTAACTACTTCACAAAGATGATTAGATATATTTCTACTCATAAAAAGATTAAAGTCTCTGAATTGACTGACCTGTTTTTAGATATCATTATTTGTAATCACAGTGCTCTGAAATTGTTAATAACAGATTGAGAATCTCTCTTCATCAGCAAGTACTGATCAGCTTTTTACTATTATCTTATAATAAGATATCTTCTCAGTACTGCTTTTTATCTGCAGACTGATGACTAGACTGAATACCAGAATCAGACACTAGAACAGTATCTTTGAGTATTCTGTTCATATTATCAGAATGATTGACTCAAACATCTTCTAATCACTGAATTTATATATAACAATACAAAGAATGTAATCTTAAAGATATCTTTTTTCTATACTTATTATGAATATAATTCTTCATTACTCAGTGACATTGTGAATAACATTTCAAAGAAGGAAATAGACAGTCAGAATATCAGACAGATACAGAGAATGAAGTATCTCTCAGTACTAGAAGTAAAAGTGAGATTAGAACTTTTGAACAAAATTCATGAGAAGATGATGAAAAGCATCTATCACACTCAGAAGCAGTAGATAAAATACTATAATTAAAAACATCTTCTGATGAAGTTCTTAATAGAGAATCAAGTGCTACTTTCAGCAAAGAATATCAAGATAATAAGACTGTATAAGAAGCTCAGTAAGCAGTGACTAGAATCTTTTCTGATAACAAGAGTAATAAGTAAGCAGACATATAAGTTGAAATTACTCACAGAATTGAAATCAATTCATTCTGTTTTTCACATTTTCTATTTAAAGCTCTATAAGCAACACTCTGAGATGAAGCTGTCTCAGTTAAATAATATCAAGATCAAGAGTGATATCAAATATCTTATAAAGAAAATATTGAACAAGTGAACATATTACAGCAAGCTTCAATATCTTGTTAAATGAGAAGATTATTCATTATCAGAGAATTTATGAAAATTACTTAAGTATTTGAAAAATGCTGAGAAAGAGATTACAATCTATGAGATAGTTAGTAGAGACTGTCTCATTACATGCTAGAGATATTGAGTAAGAAATACTACTTAAGACTTCTTATTTTTCTCAAAGAGTTTTTTAGAGATGATCTCACAGTAATGAGTTAATGTCTTGTAGACTCTATAGCACTCTTCTTCTATTTTCTTTTAAAGAGTTTTTAAGAGTTTAATGAGACTATACAAGTGTAAAATTCCTGAAGCAGTTAGAGAAAAGAGATATTGAAAATTAATAAAAAGATTAATATTATCAATCTGTGAGTCACTGCTATTCTAATAGAGTCACAGCCTGCTGAAAAAGTAAAAAGAAGAATCAGAGCCTACTTATTAATAATCACATTCTTATTAAACTCATTCTTCATCATTAAAGTCTTCAGCACTGACATCTTTATCTGCTGAGAAATTAGCACTGCAGCATCACAGAAGAGCATGAGAAATGTATAAAATATTAACTTATTAACTTATAAAACATCTCAGTCATCTGCTTCAGTTGAAGTAAGATTCTCTCTAATCAGTGATTGATTTCTATGATACTTTTAACAGCAGTGCTGACTGATCTCTTCTTAAGATCAGTTATTCTGAGATATTTTTTCATCTCAGAGACTTATGCTTTTGTCTTCTTTTATAGATGAGTAAGAAGAATCTTCTCAGTCTTGATAGAATCTGTTAACACTTGAAGCTTCAAGACTCTTACTCTGTACTACTTGAGTATCTAGACTTCTTATCAGAACTGACATAATATCTTTCTGTGAAGAGATACTTACAGAGAGACAGAAGTTGTTGTTACAGATATAATAGAAATAATGAGAGTGAGAGAAGAAGTGAATATATAAAATCCCTCTCTTCTTCAGCTGCTTAATATAGCATAGACAAGTAGCAGTGTCAGTCAGAGACTGCACTGAAGCCTTCTCATAGAGAGAAGATAAAGAAACTGTGAGACTCTGTAGACTCAACTCAGCAGCATTCTGAGCAGAACTCAGGTGTGCTGTGAGAGGAAAACTATGAATTGAGCTTCTCAGAGTCACTGTCTCTGAAATCAAGCTCTCTCTGAGTTTCTCTCTGAATGATCACATGAGGTCATATGTCACTGTATTGATCAGAAGAGGGGACAGTGTCACAATGACAATGAAAGAGATGAGAAATGAACTGAATATAGACAAACTGACTGGCAGAAGGGATAACACTTCACTGCAAGGTATGACAACTACTGCCACAGCTGTAAAAGAAGCAGGAGAAGAAGAAGATGTGACAATGAAAGTGATGCTTCTGTGACTCATTGACATCACTGTCTCTGCCTTCAATCTGGCTTTCTTAATAATCACAGAGACCGCCGCCGCATTATGAAGACATTTATTACTCACTAGAAAATGTCAGAATAAGTTCTTGATTGTTCTTCAAGAATGATACTCTCATGCACTCACTGTTGTAATTGAGAGAGAGAAAGAAAAATGTTTCATAGAGAGAAGAATCTTTTTGAAAAATCCTGTCACTACTGTTAGCTTTGTCTCTAAAATACATTACTTTTACAGAGAATTTCATACATAGAATGAAATATGTTAAGAGATCTGTAAGTCACTTGTTAACTATGTTTTCTATATTTTAAATCAATATATAAGAAACTCACTTATCACATGTTTGATTTGAATGATGATGAAAAAAGAAAGATCTACACAGTCAGCAGAAAAACTCATCTATTTCTTTGTATCATATGCAGCACACACACTGTTAATTAGTTGATAACTGTTACTATACAATAAAGATAATTTCTAATCTGATAATCTTGAGAGCATAGAAACTATACTCTTAAAGAGAAGAGCATTATCATACTTCTGATCATGTCAAGACTCTGTTGCAGTTTCACACAGCTTATTACTTTCATGTAAATAATTTCATTCTATCTGAACTGATTTTCAATCACTCTATGACATCATTCAGATATATCATAGAAAGATCTGATTAATAAATATGAGAATCTTACTTTTATACAAGATCAGCAGATTACTCTTTCTTGACAATGAAATATCACTGAGGTATTACTCTGACTATTCTCACTCATGAAATGAGAGAAGAGTATTCACTTGTTATCTATATAGAATAGCTAGATACTGACTTCTTATTAAAGAAGTCAGTGATTCATTTTACTGCTACTGAAATATACACAAGAGTTACTGCATGCCTCATACAATCTTCTTAGTATACTAAGTATCATATCTGTGATATCCTCACAATAACCCTGTAGCCTACAAGCTCGCTATTCAAGCAAGATAGTCAAGCTCACTCATACAGCTTCCCAAACAACTACCTCTACGTGTCGCCGCCGACTAGCCACCGCTTCGGTTCCGCCACGTTACAACTGAGTAAATCATTTCTGTGTTATTAATAATTAGAAACTGTTTCTTCTCAGATGCTTTGCAAGATATTATCACTCACATGACCTGATTTTACTATTTGGGTTAGCTTATTGCTTATTTGAGGTTAGCTCATGACATAATCATCAATCCAGTGTTAAAACAGCAATGAATATCTGGAGAAGCGTCTGAGCTTGCTGAGATAATAGCCTACAACCTTTTCTTCCAAGGTCACATGACTAGACTGAGCAGACTGAGTCGACCAATCACCAGCACCAGCCTTTGACGTCAACCTTAACCAAGGACATCCGAGGAACTAGGACGACATATATCATTCTCGGGATCTATTGTTTATGTAGTAACTCAGTTCCTTCGCAATAGAAATATATATAAAAAGAGAAAAACAATGGCTCCTCTAGTAACTGTAGCTACTTGGTAGGTTCCATGCCTCCTATCCGCGCGGATCAGAAATTTCTAACAACCATCTAGTTCCCTCAACCAGTGGGTGCTGGATTTCGAAGGAAACACGAACCGGATCATTGACAGTATCCGCATCGCCAAAGCTGCTGGGGCCAAGTGTGCACTCTACCACCGTCTTCTTGTGGAATCCTCACTGAAAAACATTATAGGCTTCGCGTAGGACCTGAACTTGAAATTACCGGCTACTCATGTCAAGACCACTTTCTGGAAGGGGATCTCTACTTGCATGTTTGGCAATGCATTGCAACCATCGTTGATCATCCCGACTGTCAAGATATCCTTATTGATATTGGCGCTCCTGTATGTTCTAAAATGCATTATAATTCATATAAGCGGTTTTTGATTGGCTGACTCATTCAAGGTGCGCCATCGCAATGTATGTATTACTACTCCATTGGAAATGGATAAACCATATGCTTATGGCTCTAGATTCGCTATAATGCGCGAATCCACATTTTGAATCGGAAGATACTTCTGATCAAGCCAAAGATGTGGCTTGCGGGAGGTAGTAAAACGCTCCTACGAGTTTGCGATATTTCCATCATACTAAAATCTCCCCAGATGCCAATTACTACGAATACAGATGGTTTACGCCCTGGGCTAAACCAAGATATGTAGAAGACTACTATCTTGAAAGAATCGTGGGCGGGATTACTGGCCAGGCCACTGTCCCAATTGGAGACGCAGTCATCAGTACGTACGACTCCGCGATTGGTATCGAAACCTGCGAGGAACTCTGCACCCCGAGTAATCCAGGTATCCATATGGGGCTCAATGGAGTAGAAATATTTACGAATTCAAGTGGAAGCGTTAGTATGAAGTCCAGACTCTTTTGCCTTCTCCATGCTAATATCGTTTTGCTTTAGCACCACGAGCTCAGAAAGCTCAAGCAGAGAATTGACCTTATTCGCCACTGTACGAGAGGTGGTGGGATCTATCTATACGCCAACCAAAGAGGCGAAGACGGAAACGGACGTCTTTATTTCGATGGTTCAGCAGGCATATTCGTCAATGGGCGTGTGGTTGGGATGAGCTCTCAATTCTCGTTAAAGGATGTGGACGTCGTCACCGCAGTTATAGACTTGTTAGTGTGATGTTCAGATTTGGCTTGATTCCAATAGCTAACAGATACCGTAGAGAAGAAGTCCGCAGTTTTCGTACATCGGTTAGTCGAAGCTCCCAAGGCAGTCAAGCCCCTGCGTATCAGCGGATCGAAGCCCCAATCTCCCTGTCGAGAAAGTCAGACTCACTTAACCCGAATATTCAACCCTCCCCTGATATCGAATTGGAATACCATTCCCCAGAGGAAGAAATTGCTTTGGGTCCAGCTTGCTGGCTTTGGGATTACCTAAGGCGCAGCAGGCAGTCTGGTTTCTTGTAAGATACGACCTTATCACTATACTTATACTTTCCCCACTAAGCGTCGTTCACAGCCTTCCCCTCTCTGGAGGACTGGACAGTGCATCGGTCGCCGTAATCACCTTCTCGATGTGTCGGCTTGTTGTTTCTGCTTGCCATGACGGAAATCAAGCCGTTATTGCAGATATGCGCAGGATCGTTGGAGAACCGGCCGATTCACAATGGTTGCCAGAAACTCCTCAAGAGCTCTGTGGCAAAATCCTTCACACATGCTATATGGGTACTACTAATTCTAGCAAAGAAACGCGAAATAGAGCCAAGGAGCTGGCGAAGTCTATCGGAAGCTACCACATTGACCTCGACATGGACTCAGTGGTATCTGCGATATCTAACTTATTCACTTTTGTAACTAACTTCACTCCACGTTTCTCTGTCCACGGTGGTAGCCCCACTGAGAATCTTGCTCTTCAAAGTAAGCCTTCAATTCCAGTGCTGTCTTCTGTGCTTAACTTATCCTTGCAGACATTCAAGCGCGTTCCCGCCTCGTTGTTGGCTATATGTTCGCCCAGCTGCTTCCTCTAGTACGGCAGAGACCAGGGGGTGGTTCCCTTCTTGTTCTTGCATCAGGTATGTTTCGCGCCCTTCCTCTAAGTGCAGATCTCTAACTAACTACTTCAAGGCAATCTCTCGGAGCAGTTTGTAGTCCCATTTTTTGATGTCCCTTTCGTAATCAGGTACTAACTTTATTTATAGATTGAGAGGATACCTTACCAGTAAGATTCAACTTCCCAAGCTGCCGGCATTATTATTATGATGACTGACCGGAGTAGAATATGACTGTTCAAGCGCGGATCTGAACCCAATCGGCTCGATTGATAAACTGGACTTGGTCAAGTTCCTGTCATGGGCGAAAGTAAACTTTGATATTCCTATTATTGAAAGCTTCGTTCATGCCACACCCACCGCAGAAGTAGGTGTTTTACCAGTATGTCCCAAAAGTGACCATCGCACATGCTAACAAACATGTAGTTGGAGCCCATTACCGAGAGCTACACACAGTAAGCAGCTTTTGCCCGTAGCTTTTATTCATAGCCACAATGCTAAACAAGGTACCCTAGATCCGATGAAGACCAAATGGGCATGACCTATGCGGAGCTCTCCGTATTTGGACGTCTGCGCAAAATCAGTAAATGTGGGCCCTTTGGCATGTATGAGAAGCTGCTACATATGTGGCCTCAACAGCATACTCCGAGGGAGATTTATGAGAAAGTCCGCAGGTTCTTCTATTATTATGTGAGCAAAATGATTACCCTCCTTCCGACGCATTAATTTCCCCAAGGCGCTGGCTAATGTTCATTTATTAGGCTGCGAACCGTCATAAGCAGGTTTGTAGTATTCTTTCTGTGAAAAATTAGAATGTGGATAATTAACGAGAGCATCATTTCATTAGGTTGTACTCACGCCAAGCTATCACGCCGAAAACTACAGCTGCGACGATAACCGGTAAGTCGTCTCGACTCCCATCCAATGGAGAAACACCAGCACAAATTGAATCCATGCAAGGACACGAGCAAAGCCTGACCCATCCCTTGCAGACACGATCAACGGCCCATCCTTTATCCTGCCGCATTTCCGTTTCAGAATAAGAAGATCGAAGAGCATGTGCAGGCCTTGGAAAGACAGGCCGAAGCACCCTCTGCTGCCGAAGATACGGCGCACGAGAAGTACTTGTGAGTATGCAGAAGCACGCGACACAAACTAGCGTAATGGGTCTGCAAGAGAAGAGAGGAAAGTATACTCAAATCTGCCATCCCTGGCGTGTAAATAGTTTCTTATGGCGCTAAATTCCAGGCGAGATGGATTGGATACGAGGAAACGTAGCTAGACTAAGCTTGTGCGAAATGAATATCATGTTTTACAGAGGATTCTCCTTTCATTTCCTACTTTGCACACACATTGTCATTGTATCAAATTATCCTATGAAACCAGCAATCCAGTTCAGCGGGAGCTTCAAAATAGAAATAACCTGAAACAAAATACAATACAGAAGGTTGTTCGACCGAGGGATATTTGAGAGTACTGTCAACCCAGGTTAGACTTGTCAACTCTCGATTTCGACACACATCGTACGTCTAGTTCGCGGACACGAGCAACGATGCAGAAAGGTGGGCTGAGCGGTGTGTACGGATTAATCGCGGCTCGTTATTATAATTGCAGAAGCGGCCTCTCATAAACACTAATCCGTGAACGAGATTAGTATGGGTCATGCTCGTAGACAGGCACCAGCGCGACGTTTATGTCGGGCTGTTCTTTTGTATCCACTAGGGGCTAGACGCATCGTCGCAAATCATTATTAGTTATTCTTCATGTTCCAGAATCCTCGAGAGATATTGCTCGTTCGATAGAAAGGATTGATTTTTTGTGTGCTCCGAACCAGCCATGCATCCAATATCCAATATCGATACGACGCAAAAAGCCGGCCAGGAAAACAAGCAATGCCACAAAACCAGCATCCCTTGTCCCTCTCTGTACAGGAGTTTTAAGGGGAAAATGTGTCCTGATCACTGGGGCAAATCTTGGCTTCTCATATACTGACGAATTGAAACATCCCGCGCTGTCTAATGCAGGGGATAACTAGCCATGCTGTGGCGCGGACGGGGCTTCCCAGGAACCCTAGCTGATATTCCCCAGCCGTCGCTGTAGCACAAATCAGCCACGCCCGTTCCTCTCACAACAGGAACGAAAACCAAAAACCCATGCATCTCAATGGATGGAGAGACCAGACGGTTCGCCTGCACTTCTAGACCAACAAACAGAGAGGTTCTTCTTGATGATAAAGAGGCTTTGACTCCTCCTCCCCCTGATTGCACGAGTGGCCCAAGGCCCTCCCACAAAGTTCGTCGAGAAAAAGCCAGCTATTCGCTTTTCAACATTGGGTACCAGAGTTATATTTCGTATCAGCACTACACAACACTGAAACCTGGAGAGGACAGGGATTCGAGATCTGAGCTGTGAAACGAGATCCAAGCTTCGCGGCGCAGCAGCCCGGTACCTGATGTACCGTACCTCCTCTTAAGGGAGGGATCAGTTACGAATATCCAAGGTCCCAAAGGCTCAACTACAAGGTGGTGGCGAGGCCGATCGAGCTACCCCTCGCGGACAATGTTTTGAGAGAGCGGACGCCAGGGGAGCTGTCATACACCCATGAAAGTAGACCAGAGCCAGGTTACAATTCGGATATCTAGAATCTACACTGCCCACGAGCAGGACCCCTATCCGCGATTTAACTAATCCTCTCGGACGGTTCTGAAAAGCTTCTCACGAACGAGACGAGGCATGAGTTTAAAAATGACAGGGTTGGAGCCCCAACTGGAGAAATAGTTCACATAAACCAATCACACATCCTCACAGCTTCCCACTGGAATTTAAGCAGTAACTACAGCGTAGTTTTAGCTTTCTTATCATTAGCCTAGGGGTGTTTTGGTGGCGGGACCAAGCTCTCCCCTCTCGTAAGGCGAAACACTCTCAAGGCGGGTGGCATACAGGTCGAACATATCCAGCCGCTGCTGCGCATTTTTGTTTCCAAGGTACCTAACAAGGGAGGTACATCAGGGTAAGTGAGTGGGCCAAGGCGAAGTCCGGAGAAAATCAGAGAAACTTATTCAGGAGGTCGGGGTATTGAAGAAGAGAGGCTCCTTGGCAGCGAGACCGAGAGCTGAGCAGGTAGGTTGGAGACAATATTTAAGATGCCACTATTCCCGGGTGGTTTTTACGGAATTTTGATTCATGTTCAACAAGTACAGCGCGGTATACTTTATATACCTTCATTCCAAGCTCACGCCCACTATCCCCCTCCCTTATCCTAAAACAAAGAAACGAAATCAAGGCGCCCCATCTATCGAAATGCGTTTCTCGATCCTTCTTGCCGCCGCTCTCTCCGTTCTCCCCTCTGCGCTGGCCGCCCCAACGCTAGAACCCAGGAAATGTGTTGGCCCCAATGTCAACAAGGCCACTCTCGCCTTGATCAAGGAATTTGAGGGCTTCGTACCACGACCCGCACCAGATCCGATTGGACTGCCCACCGTGGGATACGGCCATCTCTGCAAGACCAAGGGATGTAAGGAGGTCAAATTCCCGTTGACCAAGAAAACTGCAACAGCCTTGTTGAAGAAGGATCTAAGGGTGCGTTCGCTTGCTGACCATTTTCCTAAACAAAATTGACGATTCAGTTGCCCCTTAAGGAATCGCCAACATGATTTGCTGACAATGCATTTGCGAAATAGAGTTTCCAACAGGCCATCACTCTGTCAACTAAGAAGGCAGTGAAGCTCAATGCGAACCAGTACGGCGCCCTTGTTTCATGGGCATACAACGTTGGACCCAATGCTGCGCGGTCCTCCAGCTTGATCAGAAGACTCAATAGGGGTGAAAATCCAAACAAGGTGATTGCGCAAGAGCTTCCCAAGTGGCGGTTGGCTGGTGGTAAAGTTTTTAAGGGACTTGTCCGCAGACGCAAGGCAGAGGTTAAATTGGCCAAAACTCCAACCAAGAAGAAGGCGCTTCCAGTTAAATGCTAAACACCACGTGAAAAGACAGCAGAATCGCTCCCATCTCTTTATTTTTTTATTTTTTTTCCCTTCTTCTTTTTGCATCATCTTTCATGTCTTCAAGTGATTTTGTTATGTTCTATTCTTTCGTTTTTGTTTTGGTATCTTGCCTTCCATTTCCCGACGTCTTTTTTTTTTTTTTTTTTTTTTTTTTTTTTTCTGTATCTACGTTCAATTGAATTTGCAATGTTGCATTTAAAAGGCGTATGTCAACAAGCATATGGAACAATGGGCGTCTTTGCACTTCCAATAAGTTGATCAGAGCGTAAAGTTAGAAGGATATAAGTTCTTGAGCCTGGATCCGAAATTTGAGTTCCTGTACTCTGTCATGTACACTTACATGTACATGTACAAGTGCGACTCCGGAAGAATTTGAATGGTGATACCCACGGAGGAAGAAAAGGGAATTAGCATAGGACAGGTAAGTCCAGCACCTGTGCGATGCTCCCTGCAAAGTGGGAACTTAGGTCCACTTACGTTAGTCAGTTCAAGGTAGGTACCCTACCACTCTAATAGGTAAAACCCAGTGCTAAACAAATAGACTTAACGTGAACACTGAAGTTCATAGTACCACCTACTCGTTTCACTTGAGAAACTCCGATGACCCTTGTGGACGTTGTACGCGCCGAGACGCTTCAAATAGGGGACAGGCAGCCAGCCCTGCAATGCACCTAGTCATCCAATCGTGGTGACTTTTTTTCCTGCTTCCTGAGTCTGTGAACATATCAGAGATCCATGTGGACAAGACTCTCGCGGTCCACGTGGCATAAGCCAGTTGTACGAAACAGTTCTAAGAATAACCACAGGACATACCCATACACCCCTTTCCCAAGACTGGGGGTATTCAGCGGAACAGGGATTTATAAAATTTCCTCTGCTGGTATCAGTGTATTTTCTGAAGGGTGCAAATTAGTGAAACATTTTTAATACTTGAACAATGTCTTAAGTGGAAGTGTCAGCTACTTCTGGAAAGTAGCCTGTCAAACAATGGGATTTCTTTGTTGGACACAACAAGGTAAGTTAAGCAAGAAAACAGATATCATCTGGCAGTTTGCACTATTCAAAGATGAATAGATGACAACCATGAGGAGCTGATCAAGAGCTGACCAAGAATATGTGAAACAGAACAAGAATATGGGACTCACTCTTCTTCCTAAATCGGCTTTCCCAGCTTCTCGAAAAGGCGCCATGGGCTGGAAAATTACTTCTAGAATGCGTCAGAACGGCGACTTGCAGGCATGTCACAATTTGTCCAAAAAGGGCCACAACATCGCGTCCAGCAAGACTCCTCCGAATGAATCATGGCTTTTGCAGCGTACCGGTTGGTCTTGCATACATTTCAGTCAGCCAGCCTCACATCAGGATTCTTGAGGTCTCACTTATCTCAGCGGGCTCAGACCCTCTGGCTCGGGTTGCAGCATTATTATTAACTAGTTAATCCGGCATGACACTAACCTACTTTTGATACAAGTCATGTGCTCAGAGCAATCCTCGCCAGAGGGTCTGAGAAGAAATGGTTCCATCTTCAATGAAGATTCCTGAGATTTACAAGGATTTTTCAGATTCTTCAACTTTGACTTTCTATTACTATATATTCACATATCTTTGAGATTTGAAAATCACCTTAGCTTATAGCTAAAGAGAAGAAGAATAGAAATATTTCTTTAATATTTCAAAAAAATCTATATTTAAGATAGATGTATACTCTTAAAAATGATTATATTTTTTGATCTCAGAATTTCTAAGAGCTTTTTTTTATATGAGAAATTGAATCAAAATTCCTGTGTTCAAAAACACACTGATCAACTTTGAGGTGATACTTCTATTCTAAGAACTTGAGATATGAATATAAAAATCAGATACATTGCAAGAACATTGTTATTCTAAGATTTCAAGATGATACAGAAATGATGAATCTATGAAGTTGAGTTGAAATTCTCTTTCATACTCAGAGTACTGAGTAAATCCTTCTCATGTTACTAACAATCAGAAACTGTTTCTTCTCAGACACTTCACAAGATATCATCACTCACATGACCTGATTTTACTATTTGGGTTAGCTTATTGCTTATTTGAGGTTAGCTCATGACATAATCATCAATCCAGTGTTAAAACAGCAATGAATATCTGGAGAAGCGTCTGAGCTTGCTGAGATAAGGTCTCACGTTCAATTTGCCCGATTGCAATCGGTGACTAGAACGCAGTTATTCGAAGATCGCACGCTGGGTAGAGAAATATAGCAAATTGATTGCATATCACTACCTATAGCATGCATGGGTAAGATCCTCCTGCTGAAAATGTGTATAGCTCACATTTCGTCTATATAAATTTATGATGTCAAGTCAAAAAAAAAAAAAAAAAAAAAAAGGGGGAAACTAGTGATGTCACGTGGCTTTGTTGATAATTCTCTTCAATTGCATCGCATAAGTTAACGGAAGATTATTTGGAGACACGACACGTAGCTGCAGCAGAGCTATTCTTATTTTCAGGTTTCCCGGACAAAAGTTGATGTTACAGGGATATTTATGAGAGCTCAGTTTCAAACACCTCCAGCACGAAATTGCATATTTATAATTAAGCAGCAATCAGTGGGTGAGCAATACATACAGGCAAAGTCCCCTGCTATTTAATCATTGCTTGCCAGTACGTTGCACCGAGGAACGGTTTTGTACCGGGTTTTCGCTCCAGGGTTTTTTTTTTTTTTTTTTTTTTTTTTTTTTTTTTTTTTTTTTTTTTTTTTTTTTCCTTCTTCCACCGTATCGCATGTATCCTAACTTGTTTTGACCAGGTGTGTTTGAAGCAAAGAAAGTGCAGTATCTTGGCAAGATTCCTTTAACCATCAGAATACTCCGGATACTACTTCCACTAGGGCCACCCACCCCCAAGTCAAAAAGCCGCTCAATTGACATGGCTAGTTATTCGGAATCGGAGAAGACCGAGTCTCGGGGTGACACCAAGAACCGGTACCCTCTTGCCAATCGTTTTTAAGGCTGAATGTGGGGGCTCAGCTGAAGATCAAGGAAGATCTAGCTCCATGATGCGCGAGAAAGGAATTGAGAAATTCCATGCTAGATAGCTGCCCCCGGTCCAGCTTTCCTCTTCTACCACAGTGGATGTATGTACATGTACATGTACTAAGGACTGCTATCTTGCAGCTGGATCCAAAAGCAAGGGGGACGGATATTACTTCCTCAGCCACCACAGGCAAAATTGCTTGTTAGCTTCACATTGCGTAACATGCATGTGAATTGAGTATGTATGTATGAACCTGTGCTGCATACCCTCTCCTCTCCTGGGTCCCAATGCTGTCAGAAGCAGTGAGTGATTTGGTTCACATGTGTGGAATAAAGAATACTCTTCCCAATGATTTCAGAGAAAAGAAGAAATCCACAGATTTCGCATTGGGATAACTATCATCAAGATATTCAAAAGTGATGGCTGTCAAGCATCATTCTTGCATCACTTGAATTGAAGCCATGATAGCATCCAGAGCATGGGTTCTATCAAATAGAATTTATTGACCTTCAATGTGGAGCGGATTCAACTTTCTCCTGTCTGTGAGTCGCAATCAATTTGATTCTTGATTTTGAGTTTCCCTTCTCATAAAATTTGATGCAGTTGAAGAACTATGAGGGATATTAGCTGGTTTCAAGCAATCACAAAGCACAAAATGGATAACTCATAGTGTAGCCGATGTCACCAACCCAATCATCAGTGTTTTGAGGTGGAACAAGAAACGCAATCATGATGGGTATGGGTTTGCGCAAACCGGCGGCAGTAGCTGCAGATTTAGTGACCTGTGGCCCCTGACAAGCAGATTTGCATACATATTTCTCTTCAGCCGATCTCGAAGTGAAAATTGATACAAGAAATGCTTTGCCACTCGAAATCCTCCCTCTATCCGTTACAACATTCCTCTATTGACGTCTACTCCAACAGAGTACAGAGGAGGAGTTGTTTTTGCCTTTCTCTTGAATGAAGTCATAACCCTTATCGACATTGAAGAATTAACATTGTTCTCTGTATCTTTCGTGCGCTTTGTCGAGAATAAAATTGCATGCGTTGAGTCTGCACTCACTCCGGTGTCAACCGTCAGCAGCAAAACCCGAACATGTACCGGCCGAAGGTTCGTTCGGCTCCAACAACCGAACCGGCTTTAACTACATAAATATATTCCTCTCAGTCGGAGCAAGGATTTATTTTCGAACTTAGTTATATTGCTATCCTCTTGGAAATTTCCCTCAAATCTGCAAGCTGCTGACCACCAAAACCCTAAAATCATATATAGGTCCTGTGCCTAGACTCTGCGGATGAAACCCCATGGTTATTAGTTGAAACACGTTTCTTGAAAGATGTCAAAAGCCGAGCGCATTTTTTAAAATTGGTTTAAGCCCCGTGATACGTGAAATTTTGGCGTACACGAGTCAAATGGATTTTTTGCAGGTTTTACAGTGTAAAAGCTTAATTAATTCCACATAATACCCATCATACAGGCACACTCCAGCGATACTAGTCCTATTGTAGTTAATATATTACTATATATGATTTAGTCAGACTTGGCTTTCAGACTTTGAGCTAAAGACAAAATGTAACTTCATCTGAACCATACACTAGTTACTACTACTACTGCATATCCTACCCACTCTAGTAACAAGTTGGAGGGGCGGGCGGCCAACATTCCGGAGCCCCAGGTGAGGTGGGAGGGACAGAGCGGCTGGCTTGAAGAACATATCTTATCTACCTGCATACATATATGTAAAACCACTGTAGTCAACAGCCAATGTGCAGATACAGATACATACATACAGACATACACTGCATGTTTTATGTCAATGAAATCATGCCATGCAATGCCACAGCATGCCATGTCTATGAAGCAGTATCCATCATCTGCATCCTCGGTGAAGCGAGAAAAGAGAACAAATACCCCCGTTGCTGCCTTTCTTGAAGAGTCAGGGTTTGAGCATGACACGGGCGGATAAGGGTAGATAACTGAGGTGCTTGGATATAATAAATTTGAGAGCTGTATTTGGGCACTCTTTTGCTTTCACGCCGGGCATAGATTGGTGATCTTCGATATCTAATACTCTCATATAAATGCCTACCCAGGACACAATTGTACAGACAACGAAATCCATCCAAATCCAGTGCTATATTCACATCTTCCCTCACAAGGTCTCCGCTCCCTGCAAACGTCAGCATACATATACTATGGAGGAACAACCAGGATTCCCCTCATCCTTCCTACTAATCCTACATTTATAGATCTCTGTCAGAGATTATAAAAGTTAATGCCAGTAAATGAAGAGATAGTAGATAGAATGCGTCCCGCTCATCCCTCGCTATTATTTTAAACAATGTCGTCCCTCGAAAGTGTTCAAAAAATAACGCCCCCACGTCCCCTTCTAATTTTTCCCTTGCTCAGAACAAGGGAACCCCGGCGTGCACCCCGGATGCTGAAGGGCCGGCCTGATGATGATCTTCCATGGATGTTGGTTCTTGGGGAGATAATTATGTTACGCTTTTCGAACATGAAAATAAAAAAAAACATGGGATTATACAGAACTGGGGATATTATTTTAAGCAACACATATTTATCCTGCATGTTTGTTTCTTACCAGATAAATGTCATTTTTCGCAGACGAGCTTCAATCAAAGCTGGGAAGAAAGATTAATATAGATGAATATATTCATTGCCAGTCTCAGCTGCAGAAGTCTGTCAGCTATAATGAATAATATTTTCCAGTGAGAAGCAAGTTTTCAATCATTCAGTATGTTGAAAACCAACTCACATCAAGAACTGTAGAAGCTGCTCATAGGAAAGTACTATTTAAAAGAAAAAGCATCAGAGAGAAGAAAACAGCATTACTTGATGAAACATGATGAATACAGCGCTGAATTGATATATTGATGTTACTCATGAGTCATGTTCTTCAGAGTAAACTGTTTGATATACAGCATGGTTATAAGCTGCCGCTCTGCTCTAACTCCACTAGGCCAAAAAGACCATAAGACGACTGGCTCCTGCTAGCCGCACCCGGTCACCCATCCTTACAGCGTACATAGTGGTGGCTTGCCTGCTACCATATTATTAACGACAAAGCTCAATTGATTTAACTTGATTATGTATACACAGTGTGAGCTGATTTGTTTGATGTGAGGAATTCTCTCTTGTTCTTCTGTTATACATACCTTAAAGCAAAGACAAAATGTCAACAGGGAATAGATATATTCCAATACCATTATTATAAATTTCCACACTCATTATTGACTGAGCATACTCTGTGTCAAACCAAACCTGTCAATCTCTTTCAGACCCAGCAAGTTTTATCTAATCAAACACAGCACTTTGAGAATTCAAAAATGATCAAAATGAAGAGGAAAAATGAGATACAATAATTCTCTGTATCATCTTGAGTCATTTGTTCAAGGCTTATCTTGCTTAAGACATGATTCTTTCACTTCACTTTCAAAAAGTGAACTGTAAAACTACTTGTTAACTCATAACATACACAGAGAAGCTCAATTAAACAAGAAATTAATAGCATATTATAGAGCAAGCTCATATGAAGTAAGTGTCAGAACAGAGTTACCTCTACTTGCATATATGGACTTCTTATAAACAATCAGCATCTAATTGTGAGAACAAGCAGGAGTATAGTAAAAACTTGTTCATTGCCTTGAGTGGCCCTCTACAACATTCCACCTTTCTCAATGAATCAAGCTAGATTCTTGCTTGCTTGCTTCCTGCCAAAATAAACTCATTGTATTCATCAATACCATTGCATACAACCCATTCTTTCATCCTGACAATTTTTGCAAAAAACTGATACACCCGCGCTCAGCCAACCTTGCGGATGGAAGTGCAAAATGGGATTTTTGCAGTCGATCCTCATAGCACCTCCACTAAGTGCCCCAGTAGCGCATCCATGGATACTAGCGGAGCCCCCAGAAGCGAACGCAACCTACGCAGTACGTAGTAAACAAGTGACAGCCGCTGATTGGCAGCGTTTGGCGGCGGTTCAGGCTGGCGGCTGGCAGTGATTGGCAATTTGCAATTTGGCATTGTGGGGGAAAGTGGCCCAGGTGAGGTGTCCTTGTTGCTGTTCTTTAGCATCCAGGGGTGTGAGAGGGCATTTCTCTTTGATAGGATAGGGTAAAATTAGTAGTTATAGGCTGGTCACTATGGTTTTTTTTTAAGCTTTATACTGATTACGACCTATACTTATTAAATTCAGAAAAGTACAGTCTGTGGTGGTAGAATGACGCTGCTCTTTGTCAAGTCAAAAAGGGACTCGGGAGCCGGGAGCTCCGGCGACGGTCCAAACGTTGTCGGTGGGAGCTGAAACAAGCGACGTAATTACGAATTTACGAGCCGGAGATCTTGAACTATTTGATGCGCGCCAGGGTCAGTAGTAGTAGTACTCCGTAGTGAGATCGTCGAAACGAATTCATTAACGGGTCAAAACATTTGGTTTTCTGCGTCATGGAAGTAGATCCCATGTTGATACTGAGCTTGCTGGATATGTAGCTATATCTCTGCTCATGATTGGATTTTGTGAGAACGACTAAACTCCCGTCCCGGTTTGGGATAGTTAGTTATGTTTTGAGGATCTTTTCAATATAAATAATAATAATAATAATAATGTGGATGATAATGCACGCGCTGCGCCACAATAGTATATGAAAACCTCGATTCGCACATGACATATGTGGATCATGTGGAGCGTGGAGTGGAGGAGAGGAGATATTGTTAATATCACCAACCTTGGTATTAAATAATATATTAATATAAAACTGACTTTTTTACTCTAAAAATGACAAGATCGTTAATACTACCTAAGACGGATAAGACAGCGGTGACAATGTGCCAAGCAAGTTCTTCAGGAACAAGAATCAACAGCCATGCATGCAGCAGCACACAGGGGACTCAGCAGCACTTAGACCGGGCAGTTTGCCCGTGCTTTGGATAAGCTCGCAGGGACGAACAGGCAATTCCCTGCGCACTTGAAGCTGTCGAGGGGATGGAGTATGGATTCAGGATGTCGATCCGGGTACGGTACGGATCTGTGTACATATTTAGTACAGAATACAGAGTTAGGAGTATTAGAGATTCGAGGAAGATGTAACTTAACGGAGTAAAGTAATACTATTTAATATTGAAAAAATACCATTCCACCACGCCAATCTGACCTGGCCCGGGCGTACAGAGCAGGCGGAAATACAATTGAGTGTCTCATACGCAGGAGAACGGAGGAACTTGGTAATAAAAGTCCGGTACCTTCGCCGTCCGTTCCCGTAACGTACCGAGAATTTGTCAGGTACGTACCGAGTAGGTTACCTATTTCATTATTACAAGACACAAGGTTACCAGCGTGCAGCCAATCAGCGTGTGTCTCGCTCCCCCCCAAAATTGCCCTCCCGCGATTTCCCGAGGGACTAGCTGCATGACTAATCCATCCCGCGCCGTCCCTTGCCTTGTGTTGGTGTTGGTTGCTGGGTCTTGGCGGCAGCGTTTCCCTTTTGGCTTCTTCGTCCGCTCTCTGTCTTGTCTTGTCTCTATCTCAACATCTTCATTTTCCATCTCTAACCTCTTCTTCCTCTTCTTCCTCTTCTTCCTCCCCTTCCTCCCCCTCCCCCTCCTCTCCTCCTACGCTTTTATCCACATCTTCTTCCTTTTCTTCTCGTTCATTTCTTCATACTTTCCCTCTGTCCACCATTTCGCTCCTTTCCTAGTCCCACCCTGTCTCCTGGCCATTCGTCGTGGCCGTCCGCTCCTTACCGTCTCTCTCTCCTTCACTTTGTGATCAATAGCTTATGACAGCCTTCTGACGAATATACCTTCTATCTAATTGCAACTCCCGTCCCTACTGTTGTATTCTCTGGCATTCACCGCTCGACGGGTTACGGTCCCTGTCCACATCTCTACGCTGCCGAAGCCGCCTCTGCCGGGAGGGGCCAAATGTATATTTGGAGTGAATAACGGCGGGCTGCCTGAAAGAAGAAGGGGTTGTGTTGTGTTGTGTTGTCTTGTGCCTAGGGCTTAGCCGGAGGCAATCTTCGCGATAACAATATCTAAATTTCCGTCATTCTGCTGGACAGGTGAAGTTAGTTGTTAATCGCCTGTTTATATCTCGTGGAGAGCAAAAATATTTTAGCCTGCGTGAACGAGTACTGCACCGGCTGGCGCTGGTACTGTTCATGATGACTTCTCTATCTCTTTCCTCTGCCCAGGCTCAGCATCTGTCCCTGGATTCCTCGAGGACCTCTTACGACATGCAGAATTCCCGGCGTCTGTCAGCCACTATTCCAGCGCCTAACCCGCCGTTCGTTTTCCCACAACACGAGCCTCCGTCTCCCAAGCCCACGTCTAATCGTTCACCTGCTCCGCTTCCTGCCTTTTCATTTCCGCAGGCGCCTGATCCAGCTGCTTCTTCTACGTCTCCCCCACCCACGACACCAAATTTACGTCCTGTCGGCCATCGTCGACGTCCAAGTGAACTGAATGGCAGTGAACCTGTAGGGTCATTAGGGCCGCCAATGTTGGAGAGCAATGTGCTTCCGACGCCGCCACCTCTTCCCACGCCAGGACCAGGCCTGAGTGGCCCTGGCCCTGGGCGACGTGGCCACCACCATCGTCGGTCCGCTGCCATTTCGAGCATGGACTTGACAACAATTACAAAAGCGTTCCCGCCAATACCAGTGGGAGGTAGCGCGCCAGTAACTCCTGCAGATCTTAGACAGCAACATGCGCTGAACGAGGATATAGCCAGACCGAGCTCCCGTTCATTCCCTAACTTGACCCCACATACACCTCCCATCTCCCCCGGCTTGAGTCTCTCCATCCCGAATTCGAATTCAAATCCTCGTAGTCAGATGGCGAAATCCTCTCCCAGCTCACATCGCCCGCTCTCAACCATTTCCTCAGAGGGTAGCATGTCTACCGTCTGTCACCATGGCCATGGAAGTAGGGCATCGTCAGCTGCTAATACGATAACCACAGAAAAGCCACAGACTCGTCCGAAAACAGCTGGACCTTCACTGGACCAAATCCACGGGACATCCGACTCAACAAACGAAAATCCACCCCAAAAAAGACCACTTTCTGCTTCTGCGTCCGTTGCTGGTCTGAACAAGTCTTCATCTGACGCTCCAGAACTCCCTCCTCTCAAGAAGAATATAATTGAAGGATATAACAAGTTCACTAATATCTCCATATCCAAAAAGGGTTCCGCTTCACTTCCAAAACTAGAGCCCACTGCATCTAGTCAGGATCGACCCCGAACTTCACCAGAGAGGAAGCCAAGCAAGAAGCCGAAGAAGGTACGTTCATGGGCTGGTATTCTGACGCGAAAGGCGAAGAAGCGCTCAAAAAAGCCGCTGTCGAGAAAAGCACCGACTCCTCCGCCCATTCTTAGTCGAACCAACTCGGAAATCGGGTCAATGGCGGAAATCAACTTTGATGACGATAATGTGATTATTTTACGGACACCTACGCTACCTGATGCTCCTAGAAATTTGGATACCACTGAAACAAAGGATACATTTTCACTGGAATCCTCTTGGAAACCACGAAGCTTTTATGAACAAGGAACAGATTCCGATATGTTTAGCCCTGTAATCGACTTAGACGCTGCTCTTGGACCTTTTAATACCCCAGAAATGGGATCTGACCGTAATTCTGGAAGTGGATTCTCTGCTGCTACAAAACGTATGTACAGTGGTGGCCGAAGAGGAGAATTTGTTGGACCGGAAATGCGGTATCATCGTCGTGCAGAAAGCGCTCCGGAAATGCCTCCCTTTGATCGCAGTGCACTTGGACTCGGCAGGTTCGGTGGAACATCGACTCTTACGAACCCAGACGTTTTCTATGAAGAGGAGGAAGATGCTTTCCTTGCTGAAACAGATGTTGCTGAATCACCTAGTTCAGTGTCCGAGACATCCTCACCTGTAGCTTCAAATGACGAAGCAAATCACTCGTTTGAGAGTAATTCGTCTGCCACAGTGACAGGTGCACCTTCGAAAAATAATGAGAGCAATTCGTTATCGCCACCTAGTCTTGGTATTGAAGCTATGGATTCTAAGAATCCCCCAGTCGCGGTTGCTGACACAGATTGCGAGACAGCCAGCAGTCATCCCGGGCCATCCCAAATTGAGGATTCTCCACTTACTCCAAGTTCAATTGCGACTGGGATATGTGGCCATTCACACAACTCCCAACGGTCTGACGATATCGAGATAGTAGAAGTCGAGAATTGGCCGATGTCAGCTGAGAAGCCTACAATTCTTCCGGATAAACGCCCTTCCACGTCACCGGATTATGTCTACTCGACGATGCCCAAAACCCCCGTTCCGGACGTTCCCGTCCTCAGCTTCCCGTCCCCAAACGCCTCCAATATCTCATTCGAACCTCCCCGATTAACAACTGCTTCTTCAACAATGACGGATCGAGACCGCCAGACATTCCATTCTGGCTACAGCATGGACCCGGGCACATCCGATTATAACTATCGCCACGACTCTGCCGAAGATGTCCCATCCCTAACTAGCAGTGCTTCCACCACAACGGGTACCATGCCCAGGTTTTCCTCTAGCTTCTACGCCCGTGGCCCCGGCGACCGAGCCTCCTCGTTTTCCGCAGCCACATCCCGACGAACCAGTCGCTCGAATGCACCCAAACGGTCCAGCCTGGTCAGTCTTTCCAAGCTCGTCACGGGGAGCACCGGCGAGAAATCGAAGCTTAGTTACGAGGAGAAAGCACCGCGCGACGACACTGAGAAGAGTAAGAAAAAGGGGCATCGGATTAGTCGGTTGATGCATTTTTGGAGGGCGAAGGAGAAGCAAAGGGAAACTGATTGATTCTACTACCATTACCAATATCAACGCCTCTACCCTCTCACCTCCGTTGTTTGAGTTTATATCATGAGCATCATCAACCATAAGAACCGAAAATATTCTGACAGTAAAAGAGCGATCTGTCCGGTTTATGTATGTGAAAGTCATATTTTTGCTTTTGCTCTTTTTTGTTCTACCATCTTGCACTTTTTCATCTTAACTTCATTTCAACATCATCATTTTTTGCAGCTTCTACTTTTATTAGTCTCTTCATTTCTAGTTTCCGTTTTCCTTTCCTTTTCTTTTTTTCTTTTTTTCCCGTTCTCATTTTCATTTCCGTCTTAAATTCCCCCTGTTGCTCTATTTGTCTTTCGATTCTCATTACATTCTGTCTCGTTTGCTCGACATTTTAATTTCCTTTTTTTTTCTTTTTTCACTTTCGGCTGGCGGCGTAAACATCAGGCAACAACGATATCATGGATGGGACCCATTGACTTATGGAGGCTTTTTTTCTTCTTTCCATTTAATTCTTTTATTGCAATATTTTCTTTCCCCTGCTTTTACCAATCAATAAATCATCTCTCTCTTATCAGTTTTCTTTTCTTTCTTCCACAGACATTCATTTACTCAGTCAACTGTATGGTTTTCCTCTTTTCTGAGTTAGTTTTTGGTTTTTACTTTTATGTTCCGCTCGTTCTAATCATGAAGACAGGAAGAAGGAAAGAAAGAATAAAGAAACTAGACCATAGCATCGCTATAGGGAAAAAAATACAGAATAATGTTTCTTTTCGTTACTCTTTATTGATACCTATAGATAGTATGTATGTACTCTGTAGTCTGTAATGTATAGGTATAGGAGGAATGTATGTATCAGAGGAAATTCGCTCCCTACTTAGATATTTCTACCCATCTTCTTTCGGACAGGTATGGTATATAGAGACTAATATGTGGAGATAAGTCTTCCCGTGATAGCCCATACATACATAGGTTATGATTTCCGCTCAACTGATGAATTAGATAGGTATTATCACAGCTGATATGTTTCTTATAAATCCATTCTACCGCCTTTTCTTTGAATAAAATAAACGGGGTATGGTATGTTTCTTGTTAGATGCTACACATGGGGGAAGGGTATTAGACTCGCGGATTAAGGTATAGTGGGCTGAAAAAAGAAAGGGGAAAAAAAAAAGAACCAACTCGTAATCGCGCCCGCCGGCCGTCTTGTCAGTTTCCATATATCCGTCCCCTCCCCCAGTACGTACGTCCGTACGTATGTACATGTATGTATGTATGTATGTAAATGATAAAATACCATCCTATATGTACACTACACAAGGCAAATTTCATCTAGCAATGATCCACACCACACATGGAACGTGAGAAAATCCAGCCATCAATAAATGATTAAATAAAAAAGATAACAGAAGAGATATAAAAAATAACAAGGCAAGACAAGCAACGCACACACACACACACACACACACACACACAGATATATATATATATGTTTATATATATATCACCGCTCCAACGCCCCCGGCGAAATCGTCAAGATGACCACCAGACAACTAACCATCAGCGACCCCGCAATGAACGCCACAAGGGCAATGCTGCCCCTGCTCGCGGGGAACTTGCCGCGGATAACCCAGTACTGGCCCTCGAAGTATCTGTGGAAGCCGATCAGGAGGACCACGATGGCAATGCTGAGGAAGGTGGCGCCGAGCGGCTTGCCGAGGCTGCGCATGCGTTTGCCGCTTTGGATGTGTAGGAGGATATCGTTGGCGGCTGTTTGAGATGGGGGTTGTGTGGGTTGTTTTGCTGCTGGGAGGTGGTGGTCGGAGATAAGGTCGGCGGGGAGAGGGGGGGGGGAAGGATGTATTGGTGTTCGGAGTAGAGGGGGTTGTTTGTGGAGAAAGGGGGTGGGGGTTGTTGTTGTACTTGTGCTTGTGAAGGGTCGAAGAGGAGATGGGCGTTTGATTCTGAGATGGTGCTGTTTAGGCGGAAGAGTTGGGTGACTGCGATGCCGATCGAGGCGAAGGCGAGGGATGTGCGGAGCCAGGCGAGGAATGTGCGTTCTGTGTTGGTTTTTTTGGGGGGGTGGTTAGTTTAGTTTTCTTCCTCTTGTTTTTAAGGATGGATGATGAGATGAGATCCGCAGCTCCCATCACATGGGATGATATATTTACCAAGTGCCAAATGATCTCTTGCGACGCTCCCCTTATTCTCCAGCTCGACACTGCCGTATTTTTCCACTATCCGCTTATACTGGCGAGATATGGCTCCTGCTCCTCCTTCTCTTGCATTGCTCGACCCTTGCTCATCAGGTCCATTATCACGCCCGTGCATAGATGCTTTCCGTTGTGGTTGTGGAGTTTGCGCGGGTTGCTGTGAATAATCGCCACCAGCATACTCAGTCGATCGATAATTCCTCTCCGTCCCTCGACCATTGGATGTTGCAATCGGGGTATCTTCGCTTGGAGCGGGAGTAGAGGTAGAAGCCACCTGACGGGTGGAATGGTGACCTGAGCGGGAGGAGGAGAGGGAATCGGAACTGGTGCTCAGAGACCGCTCGTAAGGGTTCTCGTCGCTATGCCGTTTTGTGGCGGAAATCATTTTCCCCGCGCCAGCGACGGGGTCTGGCATTTCATAACCCGGCTTACGGCGGATGGGGATGAGGAAGTGGCTAGGAAGAGAGTCTCAGATATGCGGAGAAGACGTGGTGGAGGCGCGATATCGAGAACTGGGTACTCGGTAAAAGAGAATGAGATGTAGTGTAGCTACACTCTCAGGGACGGATGGGTGAACGGATAACAAACCTCTCCCTCTTCCTCCGCGGATTCGATCCCAAGTAAAACTCCAGGTTAATTAAGTTCGCTCTTCTTTTTTGGTATTTCGTTGCTTTCGCCCTATCAGAGCCAGCAATCCGCCAAACCTCCCAGGTTTGCTGTTTTGTGGTTCTCTTGCGTCTTGGGATCTTTGCCAGCTGCAGATGATCCGAACATTCGACAATCGTCATTGGTGAGAACACGTGCTTGGCATTGCCCTAATGCAAGCCCTGGGTTTTGGCCAGAGACATTGAGCAACAACAGGTTGAAGGACTACCATGAGGGGCCAAACAGCGCTTTCGAGGTGAGTGTTTGGGTTCTGCGTGGGTTAATTACGGACTGTGGAGTAAAAACACTGCTCGGGTAAGCTCATAAATGTATCCTGCTATCTTTGTATGTGTATATATACATATATCAATCCTCTCAATTCTGTACGTCGGCATGAATCAGGGACGCCAGTTGATCACGAGACCACTCGAGCTCCCAGCCCGTCTTATCAACTGGAACAGGGATGAGGAAGTGTGTCGGCTAAGAGCTATAGCCTATCTTATGCATGGGTATATACATAGATAGTTCTTGGTATTTGGGAGTGGCGGGGCTTTTGAACATCTCATATTGAGGAGGGGATTGATTGGTTTTAGAGCATATAAACGGTATGGAAAACGAGATTTTCGGCAATAGATTATCTCAGTTTTATTTGACTTATGTTCTAACCGTGCCATGCTTACTCACTCTCTGTAGTGAGTGCGCCACAGCGTACGGAAAACCACACTGTAAAGAAAATATTTTCAATATCTTCATTCTTCATCTTCAAATAATCATCATTAATTATAATCATGTCTAAATCTTCTAATTACACTGAGAAGCAGTTGCAAAGAGCTGTTGACATGTACAAAAGCAATTCAAAATTAAAAATCACATCTCTGTCATGAGAATTCAAAGTCTCATATATCATCTTGTATGAGAGAATCAACAGGAAGAAATCAAGGACTATGAGAATTCCACTGAATTGAGCATTGAATGACAGCCAGAAAGAGGTAATTAAGATATGAATTCATTAATTGAATATTAATTTTTACTCATTCATCATTGAGTATATCAAAGCTGTCATGAACTGCATATTAAGACAGTATTATACAGATTCAGAGACTGCACCTCTCATAGTAAGCAAGATATGAATATATCAATTCATCAAATGCCTGTCAGATTATAAATGAGTCAAGCAAAAACCCATGAATTTAAAATGAGTGTCTTATAAGAATATAAGCTTCATTATCAACTGATTTAATTGATATAAAGCTGTCTTCAATTAATATCAATTTTTTCACTGTGATATCTACAACTTTGATGAGATTGAATTTCAAGAAGAAGAAGAACATGAATAGTGAGTTATAACTATCTTTAAAGACATGAATTCCATCATACAGTCATCATACTTCTGTGAGTTAATAACAGTGATGAAGTGTATCAGTGCAGATAACACAGTATTGAATTCATTGATTATAATAAAATCAAAGATTTATCTAGAGAATTGATATACACACTTCAACTTATCTGATAACTACATCATCATCACATCTGAGTCTGACTTTATAAATGATGAGATTGAATTTGAATAAATCAAGTGATTCAATAAGATGATAAAAAAGCATCAAATGAGCAGTCATTGACTGCTATTAATAAATAATCATGATTCTCATCTCATAGAAGAATTCATTCAATACTGTGATCTTCATAAGATTATTCTGTTTGAATTCTCATCTCATATAAGTCATATTCTATAATCTCTTGATAATGTATCTTTTCAGCAGTATAAGTATTATCATACAAAAGCAGTTAATAAGACTGTCTGCTACAGATATGAGTAGTATAATGATAGATAATTTCTTATTAATCTGAAGAGCATCTGACTGTAAGTATTCAAACCTGATACTGTGAGAGCTGGCTTTACTGACTGTGAAATGTATCCAGTTAATTATAATATAATTCTCAATTGATTAAGACCTCTTATCATTGATGATGCTCTGAATCTCAACATATATGATAATGATAGTGATGTATGCAATCACTTTATTTCATCATCTGCAGATTAATCATTAACTGCCTCCTTGCAATTAATCTTCTCAGAGATGGTTGTAAAACTATGTCATTAAATTAATACAGCAGTCAAGGTCTTAGAAGATGTGAAGAATACTCTTACACCTGGTTTGATAAGACAGTTGAACAAGATCTTCAAGAGTAGCATGATTCAGGCAGAATTGAATATGTATCATGAGAATGAACTTGCAGATCATTATTAAGCAAATAGATATCAGATTGTCAAATCCTCTCACAGACAGATGCAAGTAGGTGAAGTCCTCACTATTAAGAATATCAATCACAAGATTGCGACCTGTAGAGCAGATGAGATGAAAAAGATGTTCAATAAGACTCTTCAATTGATTGAAATCAAACCTATAAAATCTACAGCCACTCAACCACAACAAGATAATTCTATAGAATCTCAACTTACAGTGAATTCTACACCTTCTAATGAGTATATAGATAATCTTTATATTATAGATAGATGTGATGATAATTATTAATTAATTTTTGAAGATTACTATATTCAAAATATTTTCTTTACAGTGTGGTTTTCTGTATGCTGTGATGCACTCACTACAGAGAGTGAGTAAGCATGGCACGGTTATATCATTTACTTGCTATACTATAGATATTCTAAATCACCACTCTATCTTAATTATCTCCACCAGCTTTTGAAGGCGCTAACATGTCCCATATATTGCTTCACTACAATTAACTACAGTTTATCTCTCCCATACAAAGCATTCAACTACCAAATGTACTGTAAATAAGTTCCGCGAAAAGAAAGAATACTGTGGAAAGATAATGTGAGCATCATCCAGACACAAGTTTACGCCTTATGATGCTTAATTGATGCCAGCTGCGAGTCAGGCACAATTATTGGCATCTGAATAGTAGGCAGAGCAAGGACTGGTTTGAGCAGTGTTATTATGAGCACTTAACATTCAAAATTTGCATTGATTAAAATACCAGTATTTCTCCCATGTTAAACAGTGAAAATTCAAGAATGGCAAAGGTTCTTGAGAGCCAATCACCTTCAATTGGTAGAGAGATATGAATAGTTATAACTTTCTTGACTGAAGACAGAACCTTTACACTTGAAACAGAATTGAATGCTTCAGCTATCTCATATGATGATGGATATTTTGAGGGGCTGTCTTTGTTTAAGTTGTCTTTTCATGATTGACTAATAATATCTTCAACTTATAGTTAGTTACTGGACAGGGTCATCTGCTAAGCATGATAAACTGAAGTACCAGCAGATGACACACATACACACATCTCCTCACGAGTCACATCTCATCACATCTCATGATGGAACCAGGCAGACAGTGGTCATTTCTCAATCTAACATTCAAATTGATCATGCTTATAGTCATGATGAGTATTGTGTCAATATTATATATGTCTTTGTCTTTTCTTCATTTCCTCTTCTCTCTCCTTTTCGCCGAGCATGGAATGACGTAATAGAAATACCACTTGTGTAAAATACACTAGTCCTGATGGGATTTAGAGGAAGATCAATGCACGGGCCATGCGGAGGCGGCTGGGCTGCTTAGTCACCAGCCTAGGCGGCTCAAACATCTTTTGCCTTTTGCTGGAACAAGTTACAACTCACTCGAGGATTGATCTGAAATGCTCCCGCAAACTGCTTCAAAACGCAGCACACTGTAATCATGGCATCCTCGATATCACAGCAGTCTAACTCGACTTTTCCTCCCGCCGGAAAGATAGACCTCTCAAAAAAGCTCTCAAGACCAGCAGGCAAAGGTCGCCTTCGCGGTCCCCAGTCATCCCAGGAACCCCCGCCTGAGACTCCAGAACTCCCCAAACCAATCAGCCGAAAATCTGTCCAGTACATACATCCAGTATCCCGAATACTATCCCCCGAGGACCATGAAGCATTCCTATCCTCTCCCACATACACCCTAGTCCTCGCATTTATCTTCAACCTGTCCGACAGCGTCAGGTTCAAGCCCATATCCGCTATCGGAAAACTACCCTCTTCGCCCATCGCCCTCAAAATCCTCAATATTCTTTCTTCCATAGAAGCCCTTGTCGAGAAGCACCCATCCCTCGATCAGAATGGCTCCCGATTTGGCAACCCCGCCTTCCGCTCGCTTTTCGATGATGTAGCAGCGCAAAGCCCACATTGGCAGCGGGATATCATCAATACCCTTGATGATAATAATGACGATGATAATGCAGCAGTAGTAGACGAGTTATCGACATATCTAGTGGACTCACTAGGCTCCCGTAGCCGCCTCGACTACGGCTCCGGCCACGAGCTGAATTTCGTCATGTGGCTCCTATGTTTGTACCAGCTGGGTTTACTCGAGCGGGAAGAGTTCCCCATCCTCGTGCTCCGCGTCTTCGTTCGATACATGCACCTCCTGCGCCGGATACAGGCAACTTACTACCTTGAGCCTGCCGGATCACATGGCGTGTGGGGCTTGGACGACTACCATTTCCTTCCTTTCCTGTTTGGCGCTGCCCAGCTCATCGGCCATCCTTACATCACCCCTCTGGGCATCCATAACAAAGCCATCTTGGACGAAGAAGGGGATGACTGGATATACCTGGAACAGGTCCGATGGGTGGACAGCGTGAAAACGGTCAAGGGTCTGCGCTGGCACAGTCCCATGCTCGACGATATCTCCGGCGCCAAGAGTTGGCAAAAGGTCGAGTCGGGTATGAAGAAGATGTTTATCAAGGAGGTTCTGGGGAAGTTGCCGATTATGCAGCATTTCATGTTTGGTGGGCTGATTCCAGCTGTGCCTGGGATGGGGGAGCGGAAGGAGAGTTTGGGACAGTCACTTGGTGATGGGGATGCTCATGGCCATAAGCATGATCACTCAAAAAGGGCAACGGACTACTGGGGTGATTGTTGTGGCATCAAAGTTCCCAGTACAGTTGCTGCTGGGGAAGAAATGCGGAAGAGGATGGGCGGATCTACCCTGCGACCGATCCCCTTTGACTAGAACTAATTTCCCCCTCTGGTTGTTATCCCTTCAGATCTAGACAACCAACCATGTATGGAATTCACGATAATGCCTCTACACAATGGGCACGATCGTTTCATGAATCCTAAAATACCAACCGTCGTATCATCCCAACTGTAAACCATAAAACGTGACCGAAAACTATCCTCAAACCCATACTTGCTCATCCTAATTCCTTGCATATTCAAAGGAGTAAGTGAGTGGCAATAACAAGATCGACTTATTATGTAATCTCCATAGCTCTCAATCCCCGAAACCACCGTTTCTCGAAACCCATCATCATTGTTAGAATGGATCGATCAACTAGCAGCAGTCATCATCAACCCCGCGGATCTTCGCACAGCAAGATTTAAGCTATGTTTCCAGTAGCACGCATACTCGACCGATAGATCCTTGTTTTTTGTACAGCGCACCGCGGACACCTTATAGCCTTACACGGAAAGAAAGATGGCTCCCGTGAGCGAGTACGTCAGCGGCGGTGGGAGGCTGAAGATCAAGGGCGCGCCTGTGCTTGAGGGCCGGGTTGGTAAGAAAGGGACGAAGAAGCGGAGGAAGGAGAAGGAGGGGGAGAGTGGGAGTAATGAAGAGGGGAAGGAGAGGGCGAGGATGAAGGGTGTTGAGGGTGAGGGTGCGGGTCCGGGTGAAGGAGCGAGGATGCCGGCTGGCGATGGCAGTGGTGCTGATGGGAGTGGGAGTGGGAGTGGGAGCAGGAGTGGCAGTAGAAGTCAGAGTCGGGGTGTGAGTGAGGGGGCTGAGAGGGTTGTTGTGGGTAAAACGGAGGCGGAGAGGAGGTATGAGGAGGCGAGGAGGAAGAGGGTATGTTTTATAATACTGTTTCCCCTCGCCCTTCTGTGGTGGTCCGAAATTCATCGTTCTTCGCTCAACATGCTTTCATATTTATATATATGTGTTTTGCTCCCTACGCATTCGAGCTGGTTTTTGCTAACCATCCCTTTCCCAACAGCTCGACGAACGCCTCAAGCGCGAGGGCGTGAAGACACACAAGGAGCGCGTCGAGGAGTTGAATAAGTATCTCAGTAACCTGAGTGAGCATCATGACATGTACGTTCCCTTCAATCCCATTTCCGGAGAACCCCTCTACCTCCACTACACCACCACCACCCAGCGCCTGTGCCATTGACAGCGGTTCTGGCAATCCCGGAGATGTTGTTTCATTTATTTATCCCTGGAACCACTGGCTAACCTACCTAACCCACTCCCTTCGCCACCCACAGGCCCCGAATCGGACCAGGTTAATATCCGTATGTTAGCGGATATATACATCTCTATATACCGCTCTGCCTTCGCATACTCTACAAACAAATCCACCCCTTGCGCTCATACCTGCGAGAAGAGGACGCGCGCGCTTCGGGGGGTGTCCCTTTTCTATCGATCCCGCCCCATCTCATCATCCTCTACGCAGAAACGACTGGGGGTCCTTGTTGTGCTCTCACGACTGGCCTTCTGAACCCCCGCCGCCCACCGGCTCTACCTATCTCCAGCGGTTCACAGCTCAAACCTCCTTCCTTCCCCATCCTACAGCCCGTTGGGGCTTAGCTATTCCTTTTGCTTTCCTGCGCTGTTACGATACGATACGCCCATATTTCATCTTTGTTTTTTGAAGATATTGTGGCTGGCATATATATGTCTTAGGCGTGGAAACTAGAGGTGTTCTTTGGATTTTTATATTTTTGCTGTGCGTGTATTGGGTTTGGTTTGCTGGGGTGTTTTAAATACGTTGTTGTTTATACCGTTTTATTTTATTTTTTTCTGGGCGTGTTGCGAGATGGTCTAGGGTACGTACCTAAAAGGCAGGAAGTTGACAACTCTATGCAACCGGTATCAAATTTCTACATGGTTCTTTCTGTTATATAGGAATGATATAAAAATGGCTCCAAACATGGAGTAGGATGAGATGAATTGGTTTATATAAGATATTTCGTTGTAGTTGGTAGTAAAGATAGCAACAGGGTAGATAAAAGGGCGCAGGTGGCGAATTTCTCGAAGAAGTAGTATGCCAAAACCGAGGGATAATAAAATAATAAAATTAAAATTAAAATTAAAAAAGGGAGAAAAAGGCTTAAATCAAAAATCCTTGAACAGCTACCGTGACGCCATGCATTTGGTTTCGCGCGAGGAAAAAGAGCAAGGGAGCCAGTAAGCAAACAAAAGTGACGGGGCCAGATGGGGGTCATGAGAAGGGGGTAGAGCCTGAAAGCGGTGCCAAGACGGGAATGCGGGAGAGACGGCCTCATCGGTTCAACTCAGCATGGCGAGTAACATGTTTATCGAGGCACAGTAAAGAGACTCAGAAGTACAGGACCGGGGGACACTTCGGTGACATCCTCCAAGAGATTTGTATAGAATAATGCCGCTCCCGTTGGTTCCGTTTGGAAGGTATGTCGTTTTTAAAAAAAAAATTAAGACTTTTCTCTTTTTCTTTTTCTTTTTTTCCCCTTCTTTTTGTTTTTTCTTGCTCTGCAGGCTTCCACCCAACGGGACGTACAAGGCAGACTTGTCACAATTTTTCCTCTTTTAACCACCCCAGGACCACCCTCCTAGCGGACTATTTCAGCGCCCCGGCCAAGACGGGGGGATTACCACAGATCAGGAGAAACTCCAGCCGATTGCAATAGTTAACCCGGTCAAGTAGTAGCGGCCAACAAAGACGAAAGAGGGTATCGTCACCAAAAAGAAAAGTTCGTCATGACCTATATCCATGAACAAAAACTAAAAATCGAAATGGACACCAATGAACCAGAACCCCCAACACCGCTCCCAAGATTATACGCCTTTGATAACTGTGGTTCGTTCCGCATTTAGCCGCTCTGCGTTGCGTTCATGGCTTTCCTTCTTGCAGTCCTCTAGGCCGCTGCAGGCGTGGGATTCGAGCATGCGATGTTTGCCGCAGAAGTGACCGTTGCAGAAACCGCAATCACCGACGATCCGCTGGGCGAGTTCCTTGCAGTCCTTGAAGTTGCAGCGTGGCTTTCTTGGTGGTGCCATTTTGTCTTTTTTGTCTTCTCTTCTTAAGTTACTGTTCCCACGGAACAGTAGCAAGCTAGGTGGCGAAGGAGTCGGTTTCTAGAGAGGTGTTGGCTCGGTTATGGCTGTGTATCTGACTGCGAAATACGGACGGCGTAGTATATTATTTTCTATTCTTTTTAACGAGTGGTTTCTCCTTTGTTGACAGACGAGATAATGACAGTAAGGAGGTTATGAGTATATATATATATATATATATCAGTGTTGAAGCCTTGCAGATCCTGGGAGAGCTATTGGGCGAGATTTTTCATTAGCTGAATTCACTCCTTGGCGTGCAATTTGAAACAGTTTGGCAAAGAAGGATATGTAACATACGTCCGGAAGCTGTAAAACCTAGCCTTTACTTAGGTAGGACAAACTAGCTGGTATAGGGATATCGATTGGAGTTTCAAGAGCTTGAGGCAGCTCCTCGTTCGGATGAGGACGTAGGGAGTTGCGGGAGAGTAGTCTGTGAGAACAAGGAGAGGTAAGGATCAACACAGCGCAGATATATGGCAGCAACCCGGAGTAAGAATAATATAGGAGAGCGAGCAGCAGCTGTCGATATATATCCAGGAAACTGTTTGAGGAGCAAGGGAAGAAGACACAAAGAGAAGAAGATGAAGCTGATGAGCTGGCAGCAGCGGATCGGTTGGCTGTTAAATAGCACGCAAGCCAAGCTCGGAGTGGAGCCACAGTGGCTCAGAAGTTTCGAGACTTGCCCAGGTATTCCCTTCCGGCTGCTGAGTCGCCCCCAAGTACCTGCTCGCCCACGCACCACCAAGGAGATACCTGGAAGTACACGTAGGCCTATCTCGTGATACTTGTTTGGGTGATGTTGGGCGGCGGTACTTTTTTTCGCCGGCTCACGACAGCCACTGGGGAGCAAGGGAGCAGCGAGCATAACCAAAGAAACTCCAAAACCAAAATAGAAAAAGTTCAACAAAGCGGGAAAAAAAAAAAACTCACATGTACCGAAAAACAGACCGTGTGGCAATATGCCCGGTTATGGGTATTGTATTTGCTTTTTGCTCTGGGTTTGGAGGAGACGAGGACCGAAGAGGAAGAAAAAAGGAATAAAACACAGGAAGAGAGAAGGATGGACAGATGGCGAGATCTGTCAGCTATTTTATTATTTCAATCCGGGGAAATGCACTTATTTAATATTCAACTAACTAGTTAACCGGCCAACTCACTCATCGCTCATCACTCAATCACTCACAGGTGGTACTGTGCCTAGTTACATCTTGGCCAGCCCGCCCCCGTTCGTTCATGGCACAACGCCAGGCCCTTCACTACTAGGCTAGGAGCTAGTCGTTGTAACTCTTTATACCAAGTGCCAGTCCCTTCCAATACGTCAGCGGGCATCAAGTCACCGCTTACGGAGTACCGTGATCCTGATCAGTGATCACAAACGACGTTGGACGGGGCGGGCCAGTGAGGCGGCCACCTGGTGGCCATACTATACAGCCTACGGCGCATACCTTTCCCTGGCCAATGGCCGGCAAAGCATTTTAGGCTGGGCTTGAAGAAGTTATTATTATATGGCCATGGTAGGTCGATGTGCCAGTTACTTGTCGATCGTTGTATTTGTAAGATCCTGCATGTACATGTACCTGTTGTACCTGTGCCTGTGCCTGTGCTAGGTTACTACTCTCAACCTTCCTCATATTTCTCTACGGAGTACAGCTTGCGAGAGCGGAATATACTGATGTGGTCGGCAGGCCGCTGCTGGAAAGAAATCCAGGGTGGTGATGACACAGTCTACCTTTCTTCCGCCTTATTTCCCTTTTTTAACATTTGTTTACTCTTCTTTATAATAACTATTATTATTACTCATTTCTACGGAGCAACCAGGGGGAGACAATAATAATTCCTTGCTTTGCTCTCACCGAAAACGTGAACTCTCAAATGAGGCAATGAGGTCACATCAATCGCCCGCAAAAAGAAAAGCCACTGGCCAAGGCTTTAAAAAGCTGATTATTATCGTGCGGAACTCCGCCTTTGCCACCAGCGAAAAATTAAAATACAGCGTAAATGGCTTTGAGGCCCTTGTCTCGAAAATATGCAGGTGATGCAGGCGGATCTTGTTTTAGACTGTAGTTAAAGGCAACTAATTCATTAAGTTAACTAACTAGTTGGCTACTGACTAATTAGCCAATGGTCTCTGCCCATACTTGCTCCTGCTTTTTTGGCTATGAAGCCGAGGTTTTAGGCGCTATTTCGGTGTTTCTTTGGAGGGTTGGGGGGGGATGGGGGATGGGGGATGGGGGATGGGGGATGGGGGATGGGGGATGGGGGATGGGGGATGGGGGGTTGGTTGGTGTGTTTCTTTGAGCGGCCGTTTGATATTCCAAATACTCCATCTCCTTTGTGGTTGAATTTTTTTTTTTCGACGCACAAGTATTGGGAACCTGCACGGCTGCGACGGATAATAGGCATTTTACCTACTTATCTTGATGCAATGTTTGCTCTTGGTTGGTCTCGTCAAAAGAAGCCATACTTTATCATTCGAGCAGAAGGTTCATTCAAACAAAAAGAAACAAGTGACCATGCACCTGTTTTACTTCAGTACAGTTCTAAAATATACCCGGCCTATTTATAAATCCCATGGAAGAGCATGGCTATGGTTTTGGGCGGAGGATAGACATGGACAGCTTTTGAAGGTCAAGAAGGGATGGACTTATTGGCGTGCCATCTCTAGAAATCATAAAACTCTTCTCTTCTCAGTGAGCCCTAAAGCTTTTGGAGTGAGAGATATCAGATCGACCCTGATGCCCTCAGCGTAACCCTCGCCTCAGCGCGTGGTTGTGGATGAGCACGAGGGATGAGTAGATCCATGCAAAGTACTTGGTGTATTCTTCCCCCCCATCACAGACCATGATTAAAGAAGCCAGTAGAGTTAATTACCTAGCTCAATCGCCCTCGTTGCTTCACTGAAATGTATGAGATGCTCGACCTGAGTTTGATAGTGACAATAATATTAATATGAGCAGCAGTGAACAGGGAAAAATTCATCCCCCCTGGCCTCTGCCGCATTCTCACAGAGGGTCACAAGGCTCTGCACTCATTGAACCGTTATGAGTGATATGAGTTGGGTAAATAGAGCACATGCGTGGAAAAGGTAATATCTCATATGTAATGCAGAAGTTAGATATTTATTTACCCAGCGGCGGAGAAGGACTGGTGGAGATCTGCCGGAGAACAACAGCCAGAGATATACACGGATTATGCACCATCAAGCTATATACGCAACCACCCCACACGTACGGCTTTTGCGTTCTTATCAGCACACCAGGCATTTCAGTTCGAGGAAGTCCGACTCCTGTGTTCCATGGCGGCAAACATATGGATTGGTATAAACTCGAAACAAGGCGAACCGTTTCAACAACCCCTAATTGTTTTTTTTTATGGCCCGTCAGAACATTACCCGTAGGGGACCGCAGGACTGATCAATCTGGTCGAAAGTCGATACAACTTTCAATTGCGGTTTGGCATGGAATCGAGATAGTTCAACTTCAAAATCCCGCTGCCGGTGTTGGGGCAATCTCGAGCTTATCTAAGCTCCAGCTCCGCGCCGTGGCGGGATAGATATAGTTATTTATGGATGGATGGATGCAAGGTTCGCATCCACTTCGAATAGGGCTCGCTTGCGCTATATATCCATAGCGATATTATCACCATAATAACTATGTCTCGAAGGCGGGAGTCTTCACTGTCGCCTATTCCTCCTATCTGTTGCTGTAACTCCTAGGTAATCTTCACGCCTCAGGCGCAGCTCTCTCCAAGCTCTTTACTCGGATTCTTCTTAACCCGGTTTCCGAAATGCCTTTGAACCAGGATAAGAAAAATGGGAGTACGAAGACAGACGGGGACGGCCACCCCAAACCGGGTGGAGCAGAGTCCTCCATCTTAGGACTTTTTGCGCATTCACCCGCATGAGAATGATGTGCCTGAGGACAAAAGCCCAAACAACGTGAATTGACCCCCCCGGGCCATAAACACAAGAAAAGGAGCTAATAGGTCTGATCATAATGGAATGCAAAAACCTCTACGAGCCCAGGAGCTCCCATCCGGACATCCCGATAACCCTCACAGCGTTTCCGCACCGATTTCATCTGTGTCGAAGCCAGGTGTTCCTGGTGACGTCCAGGAGGAATATCAATCGGCAACCAATCTGCACGAGAGGAAGGGTGCCACCGACTCCCTGTCCGAAGATGAGTTGAAATACCTCTTTTTTGGAGCACCGCATTTTCTGCTGGAGAAGGGTCACTGCTCATGGTGGTATCCTCATGTCATTTTCCCTTGGGATTATAGCTCGAGAATTCGAAACCTCGCAGACCGAAGGGCACTGCAGCACCCTTCTTTCATGCCCTCGACACTCCATGCCCATATCCCAGTAACTTCAAATGGTGCGGGAATACAAATATATCCGGATGCCCTAACTGAAAGGCATGGTTCCAGACCGCCCTCGTTTGACATTGGCGTGTTCGAAATTCCAAACATGCATTCATCAAGGGCAAAAGAGGCTGGCTGCATTGGATCCCGTAATTTCATTGGAGCTACCGATTGCGTAAGAGCCCAAGATCGCTGCACGGCCGTTTCAACCACGTCCCCTGGATGCACATTTGCAGATCGCACCTGGGCCGCGCGGAAAAGATGATCCATACACCGATTATCGGCCAAATATTACCCTTGAGCGTTTGAAATTAGTCGCGGCAGGCCCTTCGGCATGGAATCGTATTGGGGTGCGCAATTGCTCCATGAAGACCATCACGGAGAGGCTCCAAACGTTATCGGATATGCACGACCAAGTCACGCTCAAGGAGACCGTTGCGGACCTCCATCGTCAACTCTTCAGCACGTTTTTATATCCCCCACCCGATATAGTACATGCGGAACACCATGATAGCTTTCGGTTCCAGATCAGCACGTTGATGCAAGTGCTCAATATTAAGGGTGCCTAGGTAGATTTTAGTTTGACAGAATGGAGAACCCGCGTAGGTCAAATCCTCTGGGAGTTGCCTCCGCACCAGGACGGCGATTGCCTGAATAATAATCCCTTAGATGGGAAGAATCCAGACACATCACTCGAACGGAAGTGGCTTTTAATACAGCTTATTTTATCTGCTGGGGTTTTATTCCGCGCGGATGCCGCCGCGAAAATTGGGATTTACAGCCAGTCTAAGGATTCGCCTATCACTTCACGGGACGTTTACTTGATGAATAGTTTGCGATCAGATATGTTGGACTGGGGGTTAATCTTCAGCCGTCGCATTTTCGAAAATATCTCCTTCCACTATTTTGAATGTAGCTGACAATCAGTTTATTACATTCGCTCGAACCTGCAGCAGTTTGACAGTCCCAGAGCACCACCAATTCGCGCTGGATGGCGGCGTACTATTACACGTTTTATGCTCCAAGCTCTTTGTGATCAACTTCTAGAGAAACCATGTCTTTATCTAGATGAGATGGCTCTCTTCCTATGGGATTAGTTCCACATCTGTGTGCCAAAGTGCAATATTAGCAGGGCTTTAAGATCTGTTGGTTGATCGAAAAAGTTAGCACGGCAAAAAGCAAAAGAGCGCAATCCTGACCTGCGAGATGCACACTTCTCCAGATGGCCATATGGGGCGCCCGTTCCGTTTCATGATCGTCGAGTCCGGCTTCTCCGGGGAATGACGGGCTTCCCGAATTTTCCAATCGGTCTTCGAGTCCACATATCCATGGCTGGCAACATGTGTTTCTTTGGCTAGCATATCTTCATCCTTGAAGCATAGAGTCAGGTGCTCGCCCTTTGGGTCTTTTTGATATTTGCCATCGATTGTGGTTGTTGGGTGAATGCCCGAGCTGACAGTTTATTGAAAGTTAGTGTATGCCTTGATGAAAATTCTTGTCTGCTTGGTCTCAATAATGTCACCGAATGAGGATGGCCTTTGGATATAACTTTTGGTCCGTCGCCGTCTGATATGCGATAGTTATGTATTGTCTGATAGTTTGGGCGCTAGGTTGATTCAAGAAACGAAACTTGACTGCATTCAAGGTCGACATGATGAAGGCGAAGAGTGGAATATCAAGAGCAGTGTCAGGTGAAGTAGGATTTCGCTGCTTGTTGTCCGTATCAGAGGCGACATGGCCTACATAAATATACCCCGACTCACCATCACAACCGGTTCACTGGCACACTTCTTCCCATGGCCCTTGTTCAGTTCCCGCAGTGAACCATGCTATCGATGTTTCCATCTCCAAGCGATGTATCATCAGGCCTACATGCACCGTCACACCTCTTAAGACTCGCATGTAATGATCCATATCCCTGCCTCTGAAGCCTGCCAAAATCTAAGCTCAGGGCGCTTAGGCATTTCTTGAGGCTGCGGGGGTATCATGGATCAATTGGACCTGAGCGCGCACTTGGGTGCATGGCAAATCCTCTGTGCAGCTGATTTCAGTCATCCAGGGACGGACCTGGAGCCCACTAATAAGACGCCTCCACAACATTCACAATAATAATCTGGAAAGTCCCTGCTTGTACTCGGTAGAAAGCAGAGAACCTCTGACATTCCAGCTTTACCTGTTGAAGTATCGGATTATTGTTGTTCCTTGTCGGGTAACTAACTAACTAGTTAACTAGTTAACTACGAACAACCCATCAACTCACCCGTCATCGTCACACATTACCCACGCGACATGGCCAATCGAGCTAGCAACGCTCTTTTGCAATTTCATAGCATTAGACCATTTATACCCGGTTCGCCTTTCCGCCACGCACAGCCCTCCATTTCACCCATACACAGAAGTATGGCAACACGCATGGAACCCAGCAAAGTCCAGTACAGATATGTGGAAGAAGTTGAGCGCTTGGACTATTATGTTCCAGGAGGTTATCATCCAGTCATGATTGGTGATGAACTCTGTGCGGGTCGATATGTTATCGCTCATAAACTCGGGTTCGGTCGGTCTGCCACAACCTGGCTGGCAGAGGATAGAAGGCAAAGCCGACTCGTTGCTCTCAAGATTTCTACTGCAGAATCAGCTGAGCGAACCCATGAGATACAGATTCTTTCACAGTTAGCTAGGGCTAAAACCAAGCTCCCTGGGAAGGCTATTGTACAGAACCTGCTCGATTCTTTCACATTCTCTGGGCCAAATGGTAGGCATCAGTGCTTGGTCATGGACGCTGCTAGAATCAGTATTCATGAAGCGAAGGATGCTGCATATCACCGACTCCTCCATCTTCCTGCCGCCCGAGCCATCGCATCACAGCTGATACTTGGTCTGCAATTTATCCATTCTCAAGGCATTGTTCATGGAGGTATGTCCAATATGCTACAATCCCTTCTTGTTACTTGACCTCAATCTAAACATGGCTGCAGATCTTCACCTTGCAAATATTCTCCTTTGCTTGCCATTTGATATGCAAGACATGACTCTTGAGCAGCTGCATGCTAGAACCGGTGAACCAGCAAAAGAGCAGGTTGTTCGTGAAGATGGTGCTTCTCTTGATCTGGGAGTTCCTTCAGAAGTCATTGTCCCAGTTTGGCTTGGGCTTGGTAGTGATGAGATTTCTCTAGCAGACTCTGCAATTATGATTGTAGACTTTGGAGAAGCATTTGATACTCAAGTGACACAGCAGTTCACTGCTCATACACCACTCTTGCTTGCACCACCAGAAGCACACTTCGCAGAGTCTGTAGAATCAGATGAGCCTCTTTCTTTCCCAGGAGATATATGGACGCTTGCATGCACTATCTGGGATATTTTTGGATCCGGCCCCCCCTTTGAAGCCTTTCCTGTCACATTGGATGAGGTTACAATTGAGCATGTTGAGATGCTTGGTAAGCTTCCTGATCGGTGGTGGAGCAAGTGGGAGAAAAGAAGTAATTGGTTTGATGAAGATGGACACAAAAATGTGAAAGAAACCCTTCGTCAGTGGTACAGCAACAGCACCAGGAACTGGACCCAGCGATACACAGAATATATACAGAACCCAAGAGAGAGGATGAGGTTTGATACCTTTTCAGCAGAGGAGAAAGATGCGTTCTGTGACATGATGAAGTCGATGTTGGTCTTGGAGCCAAGCAAAAGAGCCACAATTGAGAATGTAGTAGGATGTGAGTGGATGCAAAGATGGGGTCTGTTAGAGGTGCAGAGAATGTGGGAGACAACACTAAAGAGCTCTTAAATTGCTGCTTGGTCCTCAAGATACCCCTTTTGTTGATTTAAAAGGAGTTGTGGTTAAAACATTCATCAGAGTTGTAACATTTAATATTTAAAATATACATCCTCACTTGACCTGAATGAAGAATCCCGCTCTGTCCACGGATGGAGGTACATGTAGAGATCACCAGTTATCTTCCATATTCTTCTCAAAGATAGTGTGTTCTCATTCTCCTGGAGTTCCTTCACCACCAAGATAATCAGACTTTTCCTCTTCTGTGTACTTCCTAACGAGGTATCGCTAGCGTCCGTCTGTTCAATATTAACCTATTGGCAGCCATTCTCAATGCCACTCGGGGTACGTACTGTTTTCAACCTAGTGAGAATCTATCTTCTCGACGATGGCACATACTAGAATTGTATTGAGCGTAGAGATATGCCTCACCAATGTACTGTTCTGTCTTACTGAGAGGTTACAATTCAAGATTTTCTAATGCATATAGAAGCTAGTGCATTGGGGATCTCGGTCTCGGAGCGATCTCGGATTGGAACAACCATTCCCCGGGCTTCCCTGCACATATATAAGTTACTGCGTATATCCGGCCTTCCATCGTGCGATCCACCATCATCCATCAGGGGAAAAACAATCAACATCCCCCAAGTGTTTCAGTGTTCAAGTGTGTGTGTGGTGTTTCCTATGTGTTCAATCAAGTGATTATTCTTGTGTGTATTTCTATTCTTGTGGTTCTTATTTGTGTGGTTATTATTATCGTGGTTCGGCTGCTCCTGTTCTTGTGCCGCCAGAAGCACACACCCCCCGTCTCCCATTAACTAGAAGTAGAGAGTGGAAGTGATAGGGGAGGCTGCACGGCGGTAGAGGCGGTGGTGGTGGCAGAGGGGGTAGAGGGTGGTAAGGGGGGTGTAGGGGATGGAAGTGGTAGGGGGGGCTACGGGGCGGTAGAGGCGGTGGTGGTGGTAGAGGTGGAAGGGGTGGAAGGGGTGGAAGGGGTGGAAGGGGTGGTAAGGGGTGGTAAGGGGAGGGTAGGGGTAGGGGGTGGAAGTGGTAGGGGGGGCGGTAGGGGGCGGTAGGGGTAGAGGCCCCGAGGGTGGAAGTGGTAGAGGGGGTTGCGCAAGCAGCAAAGCGAGCGTAAGCGAGCGTTTGATGCTTGTATAATAATAATTATTATATTTACCAATTCTTCTTATAGAATACTTGTGAGCCGGCTATAACAAATGAATATTATAGATTAGGCAGATATTTACCCAGTCCCAATGTCTCGCCAACCCGGTTTTTCGGGTTGAATAACTTTTTTCCTTACCCGAGAACCCAACCCGTTCTTTCAGGCAAACTACCCACCACTTTTTCAACCCAGCCCACGAAAATAACAACACTAGATTTCAGCAGGCATATAATCATTCTTGAGAAGGTGTACAATCTTGTTGATGATGAAATCACTAAGTTGAGGTGGCATATTGATATGTATTGGATGATAATTGAATGATTCTAGAGAAATGTGGTTTTTTTTTTTGATTTTTTTGCAGTGTTTTGCTACGAATTTTCAGGGGGGTGCTGGCACTATTTTGTCCCTTCAACGCTCGCAAGACCCTTTTATTCTCGCACGCCCTCGTAAGGCCATCGCCTCCCTAACTGTCACGCTCACCCCTACCCACTCAGACTCTCCCCAAATATCGCTGGGCAGAAATTACAACGTGTCTTTCATAGCGGCCTCCCACCTCGCGGTTCCATCGCAGGCTCGAGCGTGTCCTGTTCCGAAGCGCATGGTACCCATCACCCTCATCCTCACCATCGCCATCACCACCACCATCGTAACTCGCCTGGTGAACAAGTAAAAGACCACCACCTGGGGTCACAGGAAAATGGGGCCGTAAGGAATGGCAAGCTACCCCACCGCTCCCGCCTCCCAGGCCACCCACTCCATACATTCTCGTTCCCATACAGTTATATCCCAATCCACACATTACCCTCAACTCCTAGCCCGCGAACCATACCAGACCACTAGGGATCCCATGCCTCTTCGTTCCCGACTAACTATCTGCCGCTCGCGAATGACCGCAGCCGAAAGCGGAAGGACACCTATATCATCGACGCGCGGGGCAGTGAACATAAGGAGCTATTTGCTCGTTCGTGATGTGCAATGGTTGGTGTAAATGCAGGAGTGGGCCGAGTTGGTCGGACGTGTATAGCCTGCTCTATTCGAGAGGCGAGGGCGGTAGATGTTCCTGTCGTCATTCGCGTGGGAGCCGTGGCATGAAGTGGTCGGTCGACATTTATCATCATTTGGATATCTGGATTGTGTACGTGGGCTGTTTTTCATACGGTTTCACTAGCATTCTCAGCTCGCTTTTTTCCCGAGCGAACCGACATTTTCCCAGTGAGTGAAAGGTTAAAAGGTAACAAGGGTTAGGTAAGGAAAAGTGAGCGAACTTTTGTATAGTTATATGTGCAATGCATGCCACAATGGTGATGGTGTATCGGGGTTTGGCACAGTCATTCGTGCGGGCTATCGACTCTAGGTATGTTGGTGTTTCTCTTCTTTTATCCCTCTCCACCACATATATTTCTCTCTGCCTTGAACCCATTTGATTCTGTGGGCATACTTTTGGCGTCCATCTATAACAATTGTATTTTATTTGATGGTACAGTATGGGTAGGCTCGCCTACCTGGCGGCTTTTGTAATATATGAAAAGTCGGCGTTCTTTATACTTCTGAATTTTATGGATTATAAGCTCTTATCATTGTTACAAAGAAATGAGACATTATATTAATAGAAACTTGAATGGAAAAAGTTTGAAGCCTTACCGTGGGAAAAGATGTGTGAGCAGAGGAATATTCACGTCATCTTGAATGATGGAGCTACGATAATCCCTTCGGCTACCCACCTCCCCTTGCTACTTCTAGAGTCGAAGGCCCTTGACGTTCTTGTCATACAGGCTAAAAAGTCCAAAGCGTACGTAAAGCAGCTTGGATAGGTTGGAGGCGAATTCTTTCTTCGGCTTTGTGACGAATTTCCTCTTGATTCCAACTTGAGGCGCTAAATTCAATACGTGGTTATCACGACCTTTATATTGAGTGAGGGCCTACGGCATGGAGGCGACGCCGGAATCGATGATGAAGCGAAAAGCGATAAAGGAGTCAAAGAACATACAAATTGATGCGAAGAGCGTAGGCTTGAGCGAGGGCTGGCGCTTTGATACTGATTCGAAATAAAGCTTTGGATTCTGTTTGTTTTCTCATTCACCAAGTTCGTTTCGATGCACGAAGCTGGCTCAACCCAGTATAACAAAGAATGGTAACGAAAAAAAAAAAAATCACAATGGATATCAAGGTGAATGGAATTATCTCCATTACCTCGATTGTTTCAAGTATCTCCTTGAAGAACTACGAAGCTCTCTTTATCATAGACAAAGAGTATCTATTGCTAAACCCATCTACTTAAACACCACAGGATATTCCAAAGGAAGAAGGAAAAAAGGGGGGGAAAGAATATGAATAAAATAAGTAGCAAACTACATACCAAATTCATATACCCCTTTGATGGGGATAAAAAAAAAAGAAAACAACTAACCAAGCTCTGGAAAACCATGGAATCAAATCTTCCCTCAGCGCCCCCTTCATCACCATACAAAAGCGCGCCAATAGAATATCTCCCCACAGAGATCAAAATCGAGATATTAAGTCAGCTCCCCGATCTCGCGTCGCTCCGCGATTTGGTCAAGGCATCTCCCCATTTCCACAGCGTCTACCTGTTTGACCGTAGGCGAATTTTACGCCATTTACTAGCTCGGACGACGCCGCGGCCCATTTTCCTCGAGGTGCTTTCACTAGCGGCATTGCGTCGGGCGGCTGATTGTGATTCTCTGCCGCTGAAGGACGAGGTGGAGATCCTGGGTCTCGCCAAGGGGTTTCTGAATACATATGATGAGTTACGTGGGTTGTCGCAGGAGTTTGTTGAGAATGTTCGTGAGACGACGCAAAAGGTCGGTGCAGATGTGGAAGTTGAGGAAAAGGAGGAAGTAGAGAAAAGGAGCATTAATGGGGTGACCTTCACATATTCAAAGGGTGACGGGTTATCAGCTCAGTTCGCCGCGTTGTTGTTGGATGAACTTCTCGCCGTCGTTCGACAACACTTTATTGTACGCGCGATGACAGAAGACATTGTGCGTTCTTGTCTGAGACTCAACCCTTTTACGGGAAAAAGGCATCGTGGTAAGAGCAATGACCATGAGAGCGGCAGCGGTGGTGGTAGCGATGATGGGATCCTCCCACTCTCCAGAAGCGAAACATGCCGCATTTACCGTGCTTTGTACCGCTTAGAATTACTGGCAGTCATGCACACGCGCTGGGGGGTGCGCTATCCAAACCATCACATCGCATTCCTCAACTTCTTATCGCCGTGGGAGATAGAAGAGATCCACTGTATCAGGAATTACATGTACCAAATATTCCTCACGAGCAGTTCGGAAACGAGCGCCTCTTCCAATAACAGCGTACTCGATTGTCAGGTACGAGTGATAAATAGTAATAAAGCCAGATGTGAAAGGAGAGGAAGAGCCAGTGGCGTTGGTATTGGCATTGGCGGACCAGACGTGGACGACGGTATGTTCTCACAGCCCCTAGTCGTGCATTTCTGAGCTAACGGGAAGGGATTCATTTCTAGATGTCTATTTTGACCTCGCTGTCGACGACCAGCGAGAACAATACCTGGCTCGCGGTCTCGAATTTCTCTGGCGATGGTTCCAAGCATCTGATCAGTATGAATCCAGCCCAGTTACGAAGCACATCACAAGCACAGACGTAAACAACAGTCTAATGGACCCGTCGCAACACCGTAAGATTAATCCCAGCATCTCCGCAATCGAGAGTAACCCAACAAGTGCTTCATTTTTCCTAACTCGGGCCCTGAATCCGAATATTGTGGGGGTTTTCCGCCCTGTCAGAGCGTCAGAGACGTTTACCTCCGATGCAGATTGGTCAAGGCCGAATTTGGGCTGGGCGTGGTTGCACAAGAAGAACTCGAAGTATTTGTGCCAGATGCATAATTGCTATAATAGGAAATGGGGATACGTGTTTTGGGACCAGAAGAGGTTGACGCAGATGGGGATGACGGAGGAGATGAGAATGGAGTATGCGCCGTTTGTTGATTGATAATTTGCTGGTGAGAGTTAACTTGAAGTAGCTAATTTGCTGACCCATTGTTTTTCTGGCGTTGGGCGGTGGGCGTGCAGGGCTTTGTTCTTCTGGTGAGTCAGTTGGGAAGGAATATATCTGTCTATATATATATATGAACAAGCGTGGGTCGGTAGTAATATCTAATGTTTAGATTCATTTTTCAAAAGATGCCAGTTTTCTGGTTCGAATGTAGGCTTTTCCATCACAGCGTTTCCATCTCGGAGTAGGAAGCATTAGCAGCGATTAGCAAAGATGCTTAGTGCTACCCATAGCTATATAGTTCATAATATATAAATAAAGCTCTCGTAGAAGCATTTTGAACAGTCAATTAGAAAAATTAAGCGGATATTTTCGTTTGTCGAGATAATGGCTGGTGCAAGACTCCAGAGCTGCTTTTCGAGGCTACTACCAGGTCACGTAATGAGCTAGGAGAGGTGGCTGTGAGAACGAACCGTTACCTAAGTTATACTTTCGTGAGACGACCCGAAGCCTTGGATGAAATTTCATGAACTGCTAATTGCATGTTGCGGCTGAGAAAACAACATACCACATCCCCTCAAGAAACCAATACCCTACCATACCTAATCCACCCAACTACACCTCCAACTCCTCAGACAGCCTCAATACCGCAATCTTCTCCTTAAGCTCCTCCCACATATCCACTCTTTCGCTCTCTCTTCCCCTACCTCTTTCTGCAAAAGTCCGATCTAGCAACTCCTTCGCACCATACCAAAACCCCTGAGCTCCTTTGCCTTCATGTTGATGCCAATCTGGGATCCCCAGGACGGTCCGACAACCCTCACAGAGGCCAAAAATCCGCGCCCATTCAGCCGCACTCTCACGTAAAGGCATTAGATTGCGACATCGCCGGCAATAGACGGCTTCTCCCCATGAAAACGACAGTGTAATGCCCGGCTCCCATTTGCGGAGACGCAGTGCACAACTGACACAAAAACGTTTTGCGGCATCTGCATGCCCCTTTCCACGGCGTCGGGTCGTTTGTGTGCTAGAGAATGAGTGTATGGGTAGATAGCGGAGACAGCTGTAGCAGGTCAAGCGTTGTGGGGAAGCGGATCGGCCGTCGTCACCGATGCTAATAGAGGGGAATTCTGATGTGGCGCTGGTTGCAGCGTCCACAACTTCTTTCGTCTCGGCGCGCACGAGATCAGCTACATAGTCGCGTCTAATGCGGGCCACCTCTATGTCTGATGGTAGATTGCGGAAATAGCTGTTTGTAGCGCGGAGCATCTGTAGATCGCGAAAGTTGAGCCACGACATGAGCTGTAGATGTATTTCGCTAGGGAGATCGAGAAGGGTGGGGGAACCACGGCCTTCAAGTTCGGGATGTCCCTCTTGCGACTGACCTTGGGCCTGGGGCTGGGTCTGCGCACAGCCGGACTTGCTGGCTACCAGAGCAGCCCTGGAGGGTAAGATATTGTTACGGTTCATATCGCCCTAAATTGATGGCTGGTGGCGCGTCTCTTCGAGAAATATGATGGGCGATAATATATCACTTTTTATCGATGGAGTTTAGAGTACCATGCTTCACATTTCTATCGCAGAAATAGGGAATGCTAGCACTTGTGTCCTCTCGATGATATCCTCAACAGTACCATCAACTCGTGGGAGCATAGTTATTTCAGTATTTAAACAGCTTGTTCCAGATCCAAAGAAAGCGACTACATAAGTAGTTATAAACTCATATCTTTCCAGGAAAACGATCCATATTACACTTGCTGCTCAACGTACGGTCACTCATGCACGAAAGTAAAGATGACGACAGCTGCGGTATTGGTGGTAAGTGAAGGATGAGGTTGAGGCTCACCGGCAAAATGTTTGTGAGTTGCCGAGCCCCAAACCTTATTCGGTGCCACGTGGCCGCTAAACCTGAACAAGTTAAATGATGACAACCTTCCAAGGTGTGTTTCGCTGTATCTAGCTCTACAAAGCCTCATGTTATTATTTAAATAATTTTTAAATCAAATGCCTGTCATCACAAATAATAGGATAGCATATGTGGCAGCTGCAGAACAAACAGCAACAAGAGTCTCATAACCTGTTGGAGAAGGTGACTGGTTGTATAATATTAATATTAATTATCTATCTAGGAGCGGCATTGTGTGTGGGTCACGGGGGTTAGGGCTTGGGTAGGACCTTCAACACTACACCATCCCAGCCGCCACATACGCCATATTTTCGGTTGTTTTTATATCTGTATGTAGGCCATGAACTTCTAAAAAGTAAGACTATAAACATCAATATTTGTATCTCTCAGGGCCAGTTACACGTTTATCCTAACAAATTTATTAGTCATCTCTTGAATGAGCGGCGTCTCTCTCATGACACACAGAGAAATTCTGAGAATTAATAGTTCTCAACTAGATATTATAGCCTCTGACTGTATACATCTATAATTGAAGAAGAAGAATAATAATAATAACATCTTCACTGAGATGGCAGCCACCACAATTATGCAATTGTGTAAAAAAAGAGGCAGAGACAAGAGGGTTTACTGTTGGATTCTAGAACTTTATTCTTCCCTATTCACTTCAGGTCCCCGGATATAGTAATATTGAAAGTATATCGTCAGCCCCTTCATCGTTGGTCGGTTGATGCCGGTTTTGGTCTTGCCTAGTCTCCTATCCCAAGCCACTTGGGGGCTAATCAACAAGGTCTAGGTACCTACCTGTTGTCTTCAATATTAAATAAAAGTATGTGCTCTGTGTGGGAGCATATATTTCAATTCCAATCCCGCCCATTTTATAAGCCCTCCCGTCTCACGGAAGGCGGTGAACATAAGAATAATATCAAACATGTAATCAACCACACAGGCCAGCCTTACCAGCGCCACTATGCACCTAGGCTTTTGCCAAGAGCAGCACATGCTTGCGAAAACGCCTCGCCGGATGCACCGAAGGCCTTTCCCAGACAAGGATTGGGGAAGCCTGGTTGAGGGGAGCACAAAAATGACGCTGCTTATTTGTCACTGGCTCCTCCGATTCTTCTGGTGGGACGCCACCGAATGTTAGAACCTCCAACCCCGGTCTTTGGCCGTCGTTTGTCCATTTTCCAAAGCTTTTCGCGACTTGTTCTATATTATTAATAATTCTCCTGCAATTGCATGAGATGGAGGAGACTTGAAGGAAGAATATTGACTGTTTATCAGAGTAAAAAAAAAGTGGTCTGCAGGGTTAGAAATAACTGAGTTTAAAAGGCCTCGTCAATAATTTGAAATTGGATTCCATTATTAGATATATTTCAGACACCGATGAGTGGAGAATAAAGTGTATTAAGCTCAGCCTGGGATCAAGTAATTAGCATAGACTGTTTAGTCAAATAGAGACCTGTTGTTGACTAGTATTCTTCTTCTTCTCCTTCTATTTCAGTCAGAGCAGAAACTATGCATTAAGAGTGATGAGACTCTCACCAGCATTTTAGTCTAAGAGCAGAATTTAATTATTTTCAATCACTTATCTAATTACTCTCACTGAGATGTATACAGATTTTAAACAGTCTTGTATTAATTATATGATTTTCAAAATCTGATTAAACCTGAGTGAATACAAAGATAATATTTATGTAGTATAATTTAATATTATTCCGTCTATTAATTATATCTATAGGGGAAAATCTAGTGAAAATCATGTTCTTTTAATCTCTTGATTAACTCTAGTCAAGAACTGAAATCATATGATGAAGACAAGATTTGAAGCTGCAACCCTGGTATCTCAGAAGGGTCATTCCTCATAGCCAGTTTCTACTTACCATGGGCCTTGCGCGTTTACCACTATGCTATCCACCTCACCCCGTTGTTGGCTTTTAAGGGCAATCGTCAGTAGATGATTACTAGACATCCAATAATATCATTCATGGGTCGAAGAAAGCCCATATCACTGGCTAGTATCGTCTCGAGAGGTACAGATAAGTAAGTATGGCCCAATGACTGGGTTTATATCCAATATCCTTAGAGTCAATGGATGAAAACGGCAGTGCAGAGCTTACTCTGTAAGTAGAGGCTCTTTCGGATTCCTATATTACCCGGAGCCCGTATTCTGCAATACGGTAACTACCACAGCGTTGTATGGTAGTTATGGGTGGTTGGTTTTAATAATAATATATTCAGCCGGCCCCAAGACCAACCTCTATAGTTTCGATTCACAACCACTATCAAATTGTTGTCTTCAGAACAACTAAATTAGTTCTGTTATTTCCCCATGGGGTGGACCAACTGGCCGCTAAAAACTACATTTCATAGTTGCTCAAGTACAGCTTATGATTCCCAATAATGACAAGATGTGTGGTTGGAACTTTCCACACTGACGCTAGCCGACCTCGGCACCCAGACGGATGGCACAGTGCCTAGGTAGCCTCGCACTGACCAAACATACGGGAGGTGGAAACACGCGTAATAATACTACCGTACCATACCGGGCGATGGGGGAACATTCTCAAGCCTCATCCCCATCCACCGCCACCAGAACTTGTCTCTCCCCGCCCAAACCACCACAACCTCCACCGACCTGGCTCACGAGTTGGAGTCCAAGGTCTTGCGAAGGAACTGCAGCGATTATTCTCGCAACAATTCGTAGCGTGCTACCTGTTTTCAAACTAAAGCCAAGAAAATCGCCGAAGTCCAAGGCTTGCTGCAGCTGGCAAGAGTCGTCCTGCGCTGCGGAGCCCCACATTGCCATAGGCTCTGACTGTCCTGTATAGGCTCGCAGCCAAGACTACAAAAATATAGCGGGAGAAACAGGTTACCGCAAGGAAGAAGACCGCTGTTTCCTGACGTCTCGTGTCCCCGTCGTTGTCTCCATCTCCATCTCTTTTTCATCTTTCTTCACATCAACATCAACTGTTATCGCCCATTCTCTTCGCTAAATCAAGTCGTCGCTGTGAGTTTCACGCGCCCGGACCTCACCGACGACGCAAGCCGGAAGGAATCACAAGGGAACCAGGGCGTTCGGCCATGTCGTCGACGCCCAACCATGAACGAAAGCGTGCGGTCCATGCAGCAGAATATTTGGCTGCTTACTCGTCCATATCTGATCTTTCAACGACCACTGCCACCTCTTCCACCACTGTAACACCGACCGAAGCCACCACTGGTGCTGGTGCTGGTGCTGGTTCTTCGACTACTTGTCTCGATCCCCGAGAGATCACTACTGGCCCATCCGCTGCTTCCTTGACCCCAGTTGAGCGGCAACCGGCCACCTCCGCTGCCAACTTTCACGCAAGTCCCAGATTTGACCTTGCCTCTCCTCCATCCCTTGGGCATGGGAATCTCGCCTCACAGCACAATGAGTCATGGAAAACCTCGTTTGCCGGGGATGGGCCCGGGGAACCGTCCCTCCATGACCGTGTAGTTGGTGGCGGGCTGCTACGAGAATCGGTCTTTCCAGACTGGAGAGATGGCATGCCTGGTGGCGGGTATGAGAATACGGAAGAATTGCAAAAGCAAGATCCACTAGCGACTCAGATATGGAAGCTATACAGCCGGACTAAATCCCAATTACCCAACCAGGAGCGCATGGAAAACTTGACTTGGCGCATGATGGCGATGAACCTGAAGAAGAAGAGAGAACGCGAAGAAGCTAACATGCCTGAAAAAGCAAGCAGTTGGAATAACTCGAGGTTGCCAGAGTAAGTGTTGTTGATGCTGTTCCCCCACGTAGAATCGATCACCTGCCTTGGATAATTCAATTTTAGCTTTGTCTTATATTCCCCCTTGTTTACGTTCACTTTCATTAAATGGTGCTGTCGCTGATTATAAATAATAAAATAGAGATGACAATCAAATGTCAAAGTCTGGTGCTGGGCCCAGTGGTATAGCCAGGCTTCGACAGTCAATCAATGGGAATAACACTCCTCTTGAGTCTGACCCAATGAATATTGACGACTTCATTTTACCGGCGTCCATAGATTCCCCTTCCGGTTTGTCCCCGTCCTCGCCTATTGAGACAGCTGGCTCAGGTCATGCAGTGGCATCGGCTATCCCGATTAAATCACGAAAAGCCGAGCAATCCCCCCCGCCGGACAATTTTATGCCCGCTTCGTTTCCCCACCCACCCCAACATCATCGACAGAATGATGAATTTGGATATGTGCAGCGACGTGTTCGCAAGACTAGTATTGACGAGAGAAATGTACATATTCTTCTACATATGTTTTCCGTGCTTGTTTTCAAGAGTATCCTTCCCGCTGACAGTCCCTCTGAATCAGGCGCGGAAACGACCGGCTGAAGCATCTCCCCAAGTGCCTCCTGTTACAGGTCTCATCATACCGAATGAACCAGATTTCGATACAAGCATGACCGACTACAGTCTCGATCAACCTCACTCCGCCTATCTAGTTAACTACCACCTTCCTACAGGCATCCCTTTCAACTTAGAAACATTTCAGCCCCGTGACGATTCGATTCTTACCTCCGCAAGTCCTTTCCAGCAAAACTACCCATTCTCCCCATCAGACTCTCCAGTGGTGGCTAGTGGGCCTTTCCCAGGAGTTTATTCCCACACTCCAATGGGTTCGTCCCTCAACTCAACCGATTTCTATTCTCCACCACAATCGGGATATCAATCCACTGCTTCAACACCTCAACCAGGCTTTGATAACGAAAATATGATGTATTTCGAGCAGAATAACGTCGACGTGAGATCAAACCGTTCAATAGCCAACTTTCGTGGATCCTCGACCTATACCGGATCGCAATCCCGTCACATATATCACTCAACTAATGAGTCCACTTTTAGCGCAATTAGAAGGGCTGGCCAATCGAACCTGTCATCGCCAGGCTTCCCGATGCAGCACCATCATATGGATCCCAACCAAGTCCTAACGAGTGGTGATTTCGCGTCTGGTCCATCTCAACAGCCCCGAAACCTGAACAATGTAAACATGTTTACCTTTGGTGCAGATTCTGATAATGACGAGGAGGATGGGAATCCCTTCCCCGACAGATCCATGGCAATTCAGTCCGATTATGGTGTTGTTGACGATTCCGCTATTGGTCTACATAATTCGAGTTTACAGTGGGAGTCCCGTTTGGCTGAACAATTTAACTCCGCGCCAAATAGTTTTCAAGGCCATAGAAAGCATGTCACGATCGGTGGAACAGAAATTGCTAACTTCGGGCGAGACTGGGCCAATGGAGGCTTAGGTCGCACCCATGGCTCTGCAGCCTCTGTGAGTGAAATCCGTAACCGAGACCAGGATCCAAGAAGACAAAAGATTCCTCGAACAATTTCAACTCCCAACACCACTCAGCTCCTCCACCAAAGCACGACCAATCAGCCCCATACAACTCCAAATTCTCCGCCAAGATCGGGATTCAGTAGCGCAGCCCCTTCAAGGCCTGCAAGCCCTGGGGGCGCCAGGCAGAGTGAACCTTCTGCTGCACCCACCACTTGCACGAATTGCTTCACACAGACCACCCCATTATGGCGTAGAAACCCTGAGGGCCAGCCGCTTTGTAATGCTTGCGGCTTATTCCTGAAGTTACATGGTGTTGTCCGCCCACTGTCATTGAAAACAGATGTGATCAAAAAACGCAACCGCGGAAGCGGTAATAACCTCCCAGTTGGCGTTGGGTCAGCGCGTTCCGCAAAAAAAGTATCGCGGAAGAACTCCATGCCGCAAACGCAGCCAGCAATGGTCATGTCTAATAAAGGCCCCGGTTCGTCGGAACCCCCACTTTCTACTCCAACGTCGACTGGTGGCTCAACACCAGCAAGCGCTCCGACAAGTTATTCAGGCCCGATAAAGGGCAGTGTTGTGCCAATTGCGGCGGCACCGCCAAAGCCAGCCCCAACCTCCCTAGCCAGCAGTCTTGCCCAAGTGCGAGCACCGGTCCAAGTTACGGGCAAGCGTACTCGCAGGTTCGAAAAGGCGCCTGTCGGATTCCAAGGGTCGCAGGAAGCAGAAATGCGTGATGTTACAGACAACTCTAACAAGCCATTTATCCCGTTGACTCGACCGAAACCACTTGGCCCCCCTACGACCCAACCGCCAGCTGCGACCAATCCAGCCCATCACAGCCTTGCTGCTGGTGCTCGACAAGCCGGGAGCCAGGAATGGGAATGGCTTACCATGAGTCTATGAAAAGCCGCATTTCATGTTGAGGAATCTCGATCCCGCCATCACGGATCATAATATTTTTATTCACCGCTCGTTTTCCGGAACGAATTTGAATACTTCTCACATGAGACTCTGATTTCTGAGTTTCATTGTTTTGGATGGAGAGGCGTTTGTTGGCGGGTGGCCACTCTTTTCTGGGTTCGCTTTTCTGAGGAACGACTGTTCTTTTCGCCACGCCGTTGTTTCTCGCCAATCTCTGTTCAAAAGTAAATATAGATTTCATTTCTTTTACATTCGCTAGCGATTTCGGAGGGAGGGCACTCTGCGTTCCCTATAGAGGCATTGGAGGGTCTCAGTTGTCACAAGGCAAGCAGTGACGTCCTTGTTGCAGCAGCCCTTCTCTCTACTCCGGGGACATTTTCATGGGCCTTTTTGCAACTGCTTCCGCTTCTCATGGGAGGATCTATTTTCAGGCGTTATTTATTCCTATCTACCACCCGTCGGGACGAGATCATCCAATGTACATTACATGCAACGTATACGACCCGCCTGTTTCAGTTCCATCCCGTGCTCTTGACTGGTTGCGCCGTCCTTCGATTGGGGTTCAAATGTCCGGCTGGGAAAAATTTGTTCAGGCTATTCTACCCCGCCGTCCAACAATCTCAGGATGGGCACTTGATTCATCTCCAACTAACATTTTGTGATGTCTTTCAAGCTGTATTCAGCTATTATTGATTTTATGAACTTTTTGTGTTTTTGTGTTTTTCATTTTTTTTTTTGCCCCCTATTTCTATTTTTCTCTTTTCCACTTTTTTTCTCTAATCTCTTTCCGACTCCTCTTTTCCGTCAAGTCCTATTTTGTCGTGGTTGGCTCAATGTGATTTGATATGACTGATACCATCGCGTCTGTTTCCCACTTGCCCAACCAACCAGCTTTTTTTTTCCTCTTCCCTTCTTCTACCATATTTCTGACTTATGTTCCTCGTTTCCTTAATGTTTTCATGTTCTGCGTTTATTTTGCTTTGTGGTTTTTGGTTGGGCAGTGCACAGAAGTGCGCATCTCCATTTTATCTTCTAGTTTACCGCTTTAATCTCCCTTTTTTTTTTTTTTTTTTTTTTTTTTTTTTTTTTTTTTTTTTTTTTTTTTTTTTTTTTCCGGGGTCCCTTCGCATACACTATTCGGTGTTCCCGGCTTCCATTTTTCCCCCGTCCCCTTCCTTTAAGCGCCCTGATATTCCGCTTGTTTCTTCATGTCTTACCCCTCATGTTTCTATGAAGGCGTGAGGGTATGTATATAAACGTGTCTGGTGACTTTGCTCATGGGCCTCTACCAGTTTCCGACCTTGCTCACTCCCAATCTCCTCCGGGTAACTTCTCTACACTATTTTTATACTTGGATTGGTTGCACATTTTCATTTTCTATATACTATTTTTCACATCCTTACTAATTAAGAACCCCTACTTACTTATTGTCCTGATGATACACGATTCACGGACCGTAGGTCAGAGCTCTCATGGTTTCTCTTTTTTATTTTTATTTTTATTTTATTTTTATTTTTCTCTTTTTATTTTTATTTTGTTTCTTTTTTATTTTTTATTTTTTCTTTTCTCCCGTTCTGGGACTTGTCTATTCACTCATACACATGTACATACATTTGATACTTTTCTTCCAATTTTACACACATATATATTGATATCATTTCTTTCCTATCTCTTCATCATAGCGGTAATTGCTGTTCTGTTTTTCAAAGCTTTTGGGATATTGGAGTGTAAAGGCACAGAATTACCTGTGAAAGAATGATAGAGCATAACTAGTACTACATGTCATTGATAGAAGCTGCTTGACTGCTCTGTTTGTGCACGCCTTTCCGACCCCCTTGAGAATTAAGGTGAATTACCCTGTGACATCATGCTATACACTCTAAGAAACTACAACTAAAGAGAGCTAAGCATTGAATACTCTGAGCAGGAAGGAGGATAGGCAGGTGGAGCAGCAAAACCTGCACAACAACCAACTTATACTTGTCTCGCCCATAGGTATAAATGCTGGCAAATTCTGAATTCGTTGGCCTTATTCCGTTTGAGAAGGGTATTTCGACCACACCTCACTATTTAATATGAGCAATAATATCATGCAACCTATGCAGGATGGGCAGAAAGAGGGGGGAGGAGACGGGCTTCCAGATCTCAAACGCTCCTGCCACCTCCCGCTCTTCCACTACATCTTATTCTTATCTTCCAACCCAGTAACAAAGATTATCTACCAGTGTGCGAATGCAAGCAGGCAGAGCGGCGGGGTATGTGCATTGTGGCATCGCGGTCCCTTTCTAAGTTAGGCGCGAGGAGCGAGTGATGCATTGACAAAGGATTCAAACCATGGTCTACCCGCGACCGGCCAGACGGATAACTCAGGGGTGAGTAGGACAGATGGGGGACAAAAGAATGGCAAGACATGGACAGACGGGAAGGGGGGAATGAAACGTACCCGACGGGTATTCATACCTGTGCACCGGAGTTTGGTACGGGGGACGGGAAGGGGATGTGGTTGAGCTGAGTTGGCCCGTGAACCAGTGGGAGGGGGAAGGAAGGACCCACAACCTTAAAAACCTTATGAAACCTTAAGTTACTTGCAACCACCAACGCTCGGTAATAATAGTTCAATTTCATGTAGCTCAACATGCAATGTTCAGGAGACTATGGCCACGCTGATTGATTCAATGGTTACAAGCCGGGCTAATCTCTACCTGCATATCAGAAGAAGTTTAGCAAGCAAATATTTTATCACTATACCCAAGATTTAATAAAATGTTTCTTAAAGATTATAACAGGATGATAAAAACAAGTTACATTCATACTCATACAAGCACGACATATAATCAGAAAAAGAAATCCTCTGGTATTTCAAATTCCCTGTAAATAATCCAATTGTAATCATTTTTTGCCATCCGTTAGCTATAAAAGTCACACGCGCGCCTTATTTTCTTGAGATATATCTACCAGTAACATGTCAATCTAAACAGTATATGCAGAGATCAGAGAGGGAAATACAAGAAGGTTCGGAAAGAAAAGAAAAAAGGGAAAGATAAAAGGGGGAATAAAGTGGAGAGAAAAAGGAGGCCCAACATAAAATATAGGACGGTGGAAGAAGTAAAGTATAAAGATAGAAGGAGATGATGAAGAGGAAAGAGCTGCTAAATCTTCTTTCATATGAGTTCTCCAGTAGGGCCAGCCCAGTAAATGATACTATGTCAACGCGAGGAAGGATATTGTGAATAAAGAAGAATCGGATGTATGTCGCGGAGGGGGAGAGGGGGAGCAGGTGCTGCTTCCAATTGGAGTCTAGCAAAAGGCAATCGGCGTGTGATAATGTCATCAGAGTGGTGATTGAGAGAAGGCGACAGTCGGCTCAAGGAAACAAAACGGAAAGGGGATAGGATATCATAGAAATTGGAAAACGGGGAGGGGAATAAATCAACATTGGAAATTGGTTAGTGCCATCCAATCCATCGCCAGAAAAGAGCAGCATGTGTGTTCGACGAAAACTAGCAAGGTGGAGGCGGCGGCGCGTGTATGATCAATAGAATTTCTCACCAGCTGCTGAGGGGAGATAGTCAGAAGCATCTGGTCATACGCCATATAAGGCCGATATAGGGTACTGCAAAGGGCCTGGAGACACATTGCTTAGGAGAGGTATCTCGCCAGTAAGCCGCACAACGACTATCACAAATTCTCCCTCATAATAGGCTCGGATTCGTAATTGTAATGCCACAAGCGGGAAGCGAAAGGGTATCGGAGTCCAAAGATCGGATGAAGGAATAAAGGACAGTGTTGCGGAATGGAAAGATAATTCTTATTCATCCTCGAGGCTGAAATCGCTGGAGTCATTGAATGTGCCCGCATATCATTAAAATCGTCTGGCGGAAAAAGATTGAACCCAAAAGAAAAGCGGAGAGTCCGCTAGGCAGAATATAAAAACACCTCGTTGGTCGTAATAGGGAACAAGGACAACAAAAGCGACATTCGGAATGTGGGAACCGTTTTGCTCTATCCAGTTAGAAATCTTCGTTTTCATGTCCTTTTACTCCCTATGATATTCGATGTTTTTGCGCCAGCCACTAGAGTATTCCAAAATCGACTACAGAAAGTGCAAAAGTTTGGCGCAAAGTGGCATAATTTCCTAAAAATCCAGCGTAAACAGATCAAGAGCAGGGAAAGGATTCCATCTCCTCTCCCCGATTCTGAGTAGCCTAGGAAGCCATACCACCAGTTTTATGACAGTAAGTCTAGTACGGTGAGTTCTGCTTTCTTTTAGACCTCTGCGTATATATTGTAGCACGGCATCAGACGGTGTTTTGGTCAGGCAGGGTTCACGGATTGTGATATTCATCCTGTTTCATCCTTGCGTACTGCTGGGGGTCAGCTGCGTACCATCCGCCTAGCCCATAGGGTGTTGACCCAATAACTGGTTGATTAGGATTTGCAGGTACTGTTGGTTGCCCCTGGTATGCTTCCCACGAGGAATAGCCTACTGAGGATTGTGTTTGCGTATAAGAAACAGGGGCAGTCGATGATGGTAATTCCGGCACTGAAGTATTCGTTGGGCGGGCATATGTTTCCCCGGGGGCAGTCATTCGACGTTTAAATTCCGGTGGTATTTGTTGCTGATACTGGTTTTGGTACTGTGCCAGATTACCCGAGGCGAGAGTTACGGATCTCGTGGGCTGTGCGGGCCAAACAGAGCTGTCGGTCATACCGAATGCTGTTGGGTCACCGGTTGATGGAAGAATGCCAGGAGTGAGAGGAGTCCCGGGAATGGATGGGGCCGTGGAAAGAGGTGCAACTGGTGGGATATGATTCCACAGGGTATTCGTTGGGGTAGTCATTTGCGACTTCGCCATTGCACTGGGGAGGTTTTGATCAAAATATGAAGAACCGTCCCACGGTACAGGTTGGCTTACAGGTTGGACAGCGCTTAAATCGTGTGTGTTTAGAGGATCTATTAAGAAGTTAATCACTGGGTTAATAAATGCACCGAGCATCGGACGAACCTGGACTGAAATTCGACATGGGGGTCGCGGTGTACGGGCCGGGCTCAAACGGGGAGATATCTTGCCCTGAATTTATCGACATTGGTGCGTACTGGAAGTATGAATCCGTTTGGTCCATAAGTCCTCCGCCTACCAGCGCTGGCGGTGACGAGGTTATCGATGCTTCGGTTGATGTGGTCCCAGCTTTCGACCCTGCGCGAGACCGTTTCGGTTCTACAGGTGGTTGTTGATCCACTGGGAAAAAATGACACTCTTTCTTCAACCGAATGCAGTTTTCGCATCGCGTATCGTCGGAGGCAAGTAAGCATCGAATTTTCCTTCTCCTACAATGTACTGCACCCACAACGGTTAGAAACCAAGTATGAGCATCAGAATCATAAGGGAGAAACAGCAAGTATCGGGTGCATCATGTCAAGACTCTAGTGTGCATAAAATCGGACCCTCCAATATGTATACTGAATGAACGGCTTACCGCATGCAACTGATGTTCTATGGTAGCCCAGTTTATTGCGCTTTTTGTCAGCGGCTGATCCCGCCGTGGCATCCATGGTCAGGCCTTGACTCGTTTCTTTGAAGTGCTGATCAGTAGGCATCCCCATACATAGCTCTCCAGGTTGATAGGGCCCAGTAGTATCACGAATGTTGTAGTCCATCAATTAATCGACTTAAATCGTTGACGAACTGAGAACTCGAAGACTATATGCGGGCGAAGTAGAAAGATATTAGAGTGCTGACTAGGGTCTACTTCCATCCCCAAGAAGTATAAAGCCCGCCTTTCTACGCGCCACAGGATCGCGCCACAGCGAGATTCTCAGGGAGGAGAATGCGCGATTGTGAGCAATAAATGGCTAAACTGCCCGATACATTACCCACGACAGCGTCCTTACCCCGCGGACGATACAGCGAAGGTTACGATGCTCGGAGAAGTCGCGGCGGAGAATCGTGACAAGAAGATTTTAGAGATCGATCTAAAAGGCAAGGATATTAAAAGAGTAAAAAACAAACAACAAGTAGGAAATATATGAGAAGAGACCCTCCCGAACGAATGAGGGGAAGGTCAATGGAACCAGGAGCATGAAAACCCCATCAAAGGATGAATTTAAGTGAAGCTAATCGAGGGGTGAAACGCCCAAGAGTTTTCTGCTCTTGCATAAATGAGGAGCTACCACGTTAAGAACCAAAGTTAGGTCCGTAGCCGGAGAAGAAGAGATGATCAATTCTCAAGCCACCGGATGTATCCACGAAACTGGTCTGCTTTGGCAGCTCCCCACAAAAGTATGAAACCGCGGGACCACCTAGGAAGTCAGGAAATAAATAAGAAAGAAAAGCCAGCAAGGGACACGAGTACCAAGTACGGACTAAAGCGGCAAACGAGGACATTTGAATTATGATACTGCGAGATGAGGAATACTCACTAGTGAGGAGAAAGAGCATTCTGTTCCTCTCCTTTTCGTTGTCGCTTCCCTATTGCCTCTTTTTTCTTTTCTTTTTCTTTTTTTTTTTTCTCGTCCCTCCTCAACTCTCAAACGGACGAAGGCATATCTACAGCCGTTAAAGGGAAACTTTCGTGTAAAGGTGCCCCTGACCACTCCAACTAGAAGTAGTCGTAGTGTCGGATCCGTCAGCGGAGAACCATTTGATCCTAAGAACACTTTCGTGAGCAATGGCAGCAGCCGCAAAAATAAATCCCATCGTTGTTATTCAACAACTGGAGGAGATGGGCATTCTACCTTTTTTAAGTTTTGTAAAAAGAGGCTGCTGATGGGCGTGTCGTATCTGACAGCGCCCGGGCAAGGTGTCCAAACGCAGGAACCTAGTCGATTACGACAATTCGGTACCCAGCCAGCACAATCTCCGTGTGAATCCATTGTCGCTTGAGTGGAGCAGGGCGGTACTAGGCAGGGGTTGAACAAATCCACACCGCGCGTGTTGGTTGTTGGGTTCTGACCCAGCTTCACACTTCGCTGCAGGGCCCTAGCAACAGCTACCTCGGGCCCAGAAAAAGCTTCATAACAAGCCAACGAGGAGAAACCGCCGACAGATCAGACTAGAGGGCTGGAAGGTGCCTGTGGATATGATTATTTCGATGCCGGGACAGCGCGTCTCCATTATCCATTCCACAATCCACAACAAGAATAAGCATGGATCCGACTAATTTCTCAGTCGCAATTGGGTGTTGCTAAGTTTTGAAATCCCATTCGAACACATCTCAAATAACAAGCGAAAACTCAATTCCTGATTGCAAAAGATGCACAACGGGCAATTGCTGACCGCGCGCCAGCTGTCGGCGTCCTATCAGGCTCAGGCATCGAGGTTGAGCTGTTGATCTGTGATGCTTCGGCGGATAAGTCTGTTGTCATGGGTGTATCAATGTTACACGGCCAAGGCCACCACCTGCAAAATTCGCAAGCGCGAGAAGCGTGAACACGCCAAGCACATGCTCAAGGCAAGGTTCTTGTTCTGCGATGGCATTATTGGCCTGCGAGAAGTGCAAAACTCGCGCAGAAGAGGGGTTGTTGTTGGATGATATATTTGTGAAACAAAATTTGCAAACACTCGGCCAATCGCCAATCTCGCTGCGTGGGACAGACTGTAATTATCGCTTAGTTAAGATATCCAGGACTTCCCCAAACCCGAAAATGGAGATACCAAATGTGCATCAAATGCTCTGGATTCCACTAAAAGACGTCCTAAGAGGCTAAGACGCTGGTCTTCCCCCGATAAGGCCTCGTAAATATGCCAAATGGCCAACTGGCCAGACTGGAACAGACTAGCCGGATGATCGACTCGAACAAGGCCAATTCTTCGACTGAAACAAAACCCAATAATAATCTTAATTAATCATGGCAAGCGAGTTCCTTCGAGCAATAATGGCATTCCACTGAAGAGAACGACCGCCGCTCAGCGCAGCAGGTAATCAATTGAGCCAAAATAAGCTGTTCAAACCCAGGATAAATAAATGGCCCTAATGCTTGGAAAACCAGTGCTTGATAACTTCCATTGCAGTCGCGTTGTGGTATCTGCAGGTTCAATCCATGGATCTTCACGAGAATGGAGCTGATCAGAGCTGAGGAACACCATTTGGACCTTTTGCGCATAGTACGCACCGTCCCAGCAACACCCTACGCATCTTCAAGTCTCGAGTGTTAGCACGTTAGCGTCAAGCCACAAGCTCCAACTACCAAGCTTGGGGGAAGCGCAAAACCCCAAAACCTTAGATAGATACGTTGGCCAATTGGGCGCGAGCTTTAAGGCTGCCGCACTGAAACTGACACTACTAGCACCATAATGAGTGAAATATAGGGGTGCTTGAAGCCAACAGCCCCCAACTTTTCTGACCTTGATAATAAAAGCGACAGCTCTCAGAGGAAAGGAGAGGAAAGGATGACAGGTTTGACCCTCATTCATGTTGGCAGTAGGGCGATTGCAATGACATTGTTTTGACCTAGCTTGTTGCTTTTTCTTCGCAATCCAACACACAAAAGATCAATCCGTAGAGCTGTAGCGCTGATGCATCAATGGCTGTATCTGTGAGATGAGAGTTGACCTCGGTTTCCTCGAGAGACCTCCATTCGTTTCTGGTCTACTCCGTACGGAGTAGTTTGCTCGAAATTCCTCTATTTTTGGTGCGACTGGCAAGAAAGTCTCAGATAACACCCAGTCTATCACAAAGGCTGTGAAATGCATGGGGAAGGGGCCTAACCACCATGGCGGCATCCGCACGCCATCCACGGAGGTTGAAGGTTTAATTAAGGATCAGAGCCTCTTTAGCGGCATGCAATGTCGTTCACCACCAGTTTGAGCCATGGGTCCCTGCATCCACCCGGTGGCAACGTAAGCCGAAAGGAAGCCCAAAAACGCGCTAAAGACAAAGGAGAGCAGCTGCAGCCGGTGCTGCAGAAGAGCAAGTCTGGGGCATTTGCATTTTGTTCCTGCTTCATCTTGTGGCAGGAAACATGTTATTCAATTCTGACCCGACATTCACGACCCAAATTGGCCCAGAACTCAAAGATCTGTGGATGAAGGACTCCGACTCGACAGATACCGACCTCTGTCTTTCGAACAAATCTAATCTGTATCGTGGTGTGCCAATTAAAGGTAGAAGCACTGGTCCACAGCCCCGGAAAACAAACAAAACTGATTGTATGTACTGTACATGTACGGAGTACATTCACAGAAGAAATATGAAAGAGTCCGGCAAGCATTCCATTATCCAAAAGAATGCCTTCCACCATTTGATGGACTGCAGCATATTCCAAGCCAGCGCAAAGTTACTCCAAGAGAACTCTAGTACACATGTACGTATTCATATCCAGAAAACTGTTGGATCTGTGATGAACATCGCTAATGTCAACGCTAATGTCAACGCTTTATAGGAGTAAGAGGACATACATGCAGCCCAATAGCAGCATTGAACTCCTAACTGACTGGATTGGGGAAAACAATACACCTAATGTCAAAATCGTATCTTATAATTTGTGCTTTGTGCCGCTAGCTAAAGCTAGCATATTCCTGTTTTGCTTGCATAACAATGAGTGAATCATGGTATTTGTTTTCCGAGTGCAGCGATGAAAAAGTGAGTCTTCGAACCTATCAACTCTGGACACACAAAACGGAAGGGCCAGAACGCCCTTCATAGATTTGCTCTACGAGGAGGGGGGCCTTGCATTGATTATCTATTTTTCTCATATCCTTTTCTCAATCTTCAAAGTTGTCAACGCATCGCATTAACTAGACAAAGCAAGCAGTACAGAAATTGGATGCACCAATTAGTGGTATATGATTCGCTATCAACATTGAAAAGGAACATCCACAAATAACGATGCACGGAGGCAAAGCGTACGCCAGTCCCCAACCCATATCCTTTCGGACCAAATCCTTTACGGAGTCGTGACTTTTACTTTTTAATGGAAAAAAGTAATTAGTGGAGGGTTTTGGAGATAGGGCCATCATGTCAGGTTAGCCTGGGATGGAAGACCAAATACCAGTCACTCAATAGCGTCCAATTTCGGTTTAAAAATGCATCACGAGAGCGACTGATATATGGCATGATTTCTCACCGCAAGAATGCGCATTTCGAATTTACCCCGAGCGTTGCTGTAGGGCTTTCAATTCTCTTGCGGTACCACTCCAGTTCAATTTAAAAGTCAGCACTTTCCCCTGTGGCCAGTCGATCTGCCCTTTCCTCCATATTTCACTCCATGGGCTTTTTCTATCCTAGCCACATTCTAACATTGAAAAGGGAGAGATATGTGCGTTTCTCATTCGATAATCCCGAGGTAACTATACAAGCCAACAGCAACATGCGACATGCAACATGCAGCCCATTATGCCTTTCAGGTTTTGCGAAACGCCGCGCAGGAAAACAGACCAAACACCATCCACGACCCCAGAAACCTGACCCCGGTGGAGAAGCATGAACCCCTGTCTTGTTAGGAGCAACCGGCTGTTAGGCTGGCACACAGGACCATTTAACTGGCTTGCATTCGCGAGCCAGTTATCCAAGGTTATAGCATGGGGGTGTTCCTACTAGCCGCACAGCAACGGGAGAAGTGATCATCATTGAACATGACTCTAGGAGATTGTGATTTTGGAGTAGTGAATTGTATGTCGAGTGGTTTCCGTATGTGAATTGACTGTTTCTCACAGGAACCCCTACACGCCAGGGGGGGGGGGGGGCTTGTTACCCTTGGAGAGCGTATCGCGGAGAGAAATGCTTTGATTATCCTTGTTGAATTTGCTTGACTAGTTGATTGGTAGATGTTCGACTTATCGCCCGAAGTTCTACCCAAATGTCCTTTCCTCTTAAATCCGCAGCCTGAAAGACGGTTGTTTGGACATTAGCAGGCGGTTGGAACGAAGGCCCAAGACCGACGTTGGGCCACTGCGGAATCCTTGTGGAAAGGCTTACGACGACATTGATTTACAGTTATCTGATTGATGCCATTTGTTCTATTCGATCTTATTTAGTCGATTTTATTTATTCTCTTCTTCATTTGGAAAAATGGGGTTGATTCGTTGGGCCTACGCGCAGTAACCCAGACATTTATCCACCAGGTCTTCGAACTCAAATTGCATTACAGCTTTAACTGGATATCCTTTCTACAAAAACCAACCCAGCAGTGAAACATTAAAATAGTTAGTTATATCTCCTCTACCCTTCTGTAACTCGGCAAGTTCAAATTGAGCTCATCCATTCTGATTCAATGTTCATACTAATCCCATCCCCGTCCCGAAAGGCGAGTGAAACAATATAAAAAATCTATGTTTCAAAAGTCGAAGCTGTGGCAATTACCTTCATTGCATTTCAACGTGAATTACATTCGCTAATTATAGCCATTCCATTCAGCATCGGGACACACTTCAAATGACGGAATGAAGGAAAGCAAAGCTGGGGAGCACAATCCGCTTTCAAATTAGGGAATAAAAGAAGATACGAAGCAAGCAAAAAATCAATCAAGGACAGACAAGAAGCTAGGGGAAGGCCGGAGTGGAAATCGACAAGAAATTTGCAAACGATGAACCCATGCCCAGGACATCGGCAGCACCCTCCCTTCCTTTTCATTTTTTTTCCCCGATGTTCCCCGTTCCCCTCCTCTTTTGCCGTTCCTTTCTTTTATGCCTTCGGATGTAAATTTCGATATCAGGGTAAAAAATTCGAACGGGAGCGGGTTTGTTTTGGGTTTGATGGCTGATTATTGAAATTGATATTTGGACAGTTTTAGATTTTAGACGTCGAGTTGACATATTTGTCGGTTGAATTAGCGGTTTTATCCCCCTTCAATAACCTTTTTTCCCATTAAATTGTGTCTTCTTCCCTCATTCTTTTTTTTATTTTTTTTATTTTTTTTATTTTTTTTTTCCCTCTTTGTTCATTTGACAAAAAAAAATTGGAGACGGGATATTAATTTTTCTTCATCTTCTGGAGATGGAAGTAATAAAACTCTCGTCCGTCAACCGAGTATTTGTTTTAAAAGCCAGGCAACCTACATATGCTCGTTGAGGAAGCCCAGCACTGTCTTATATCCATTTTCATACTCCTTTCGAACTTCTGGATTGTCCAAATCTCCTCTGGCCGCCATCCAGCCGTGGATCTGTGTGCTCCACGTCTCGATATGGTTGGGGACCTTGAGGTTATGCTTGAAGGCCTTGACCTCGTCGACGTCCTCGTCCATGGAAGCCAACAATACCATTGGGATAGTGACCTTGGGCGCATCATTTGGATCAAGCATGGCGGGATGGCACTGAACGGCGGCTTTGAAAAGGGTGTTCTCCATCGAAGCCAGAGTGGCGATCTTCCCGCCCCAGCAGTAGCCAAGGATAGCCCAGGCTTTGAATTTTCCTCCGTCGGCGAGCTTGTTGGCTTCTTCGACCACGCCAGGGATTCGTGAGAGTATTCCTGGCGGGGCAGCCTTGATTTGGAAAAAGTCATGCAGGTTCTTCTTGTGTTCTTCGGTTGCGGGAGGGTACCAAGAAATGTCGGCTGGGCTGCCATCGAAGAGATCAGGCATGAAGACGCGGTACTTGCGGTTCGGGTCAGAGGTGGCCATTATATCGGCACCCTGAAGAGTCTGTGAGAAGAAGCCGAAGATGTCTGGGAAAGTTTAAGGCTGTCAACGGCGGGACGGTGTGAATTTGTTTTACGGTGGGGGTTTCAAGTACCGAAAATAACGAGGATGGCTTCTGTAGCATTTTCAGGGCCAGTGACGTCTGTGAACATGTCATTAATATGAAGATCAGGCAAGGGTGAGGAGTTCAGGCTAGTTCATAAGAGAATATAGGGGATTTACAAGACGGAGGACTTACATGTTTTCATGCCATTTATGGTAATATACTTTCCCTTCTCCTCGTAGCCTTTCGAGACAATGGGAGGGATTCTACAGGGCACCAATGCGATTAGTAAAGCTTTGTACCAACGGCCAATGGACACAGCACTTCACTTACGAGCAGCAGGCCTTGCTATATTTCGACATATCTGCGGCGGAGCGGGAATATCGATTTCCTCTAAATGGAGTGTAATAGGAAAGCTTTGGTGACAGCACTGGAGCTCTAGACAGAGGGGTTCGAAGGAGAGCTAGAAATGGCTGTGGTCTCATGAAAAAAAAAAAAAAAAAAAAAAAAAAGGGCAAACTGCAAAATAACAGGAGTGGTTTCTTAACACGTGGTAGTGTTTTTGATGTTGATGCTTTCGATTGTGCCTGAACTAACTTAAGTAGTAGTGGGGTGTTTTTTGCGCTCCCGCCTCGGAAGTTGTTGCGTGGCGCGGAAACAAGAAACCTTGGGGGTTCTTTGTTTGTTGATATCAAACGCTACACGTTTCCTTCTTTGGTGACCCCAAACCTGAAGTGTTCCCTATTTCGAAATTGTCTCTTGTGTCCGGTCCTCGCGCCGTGTGCTATACATATATTCCTCCTCAGAGTGAAACGTGCTATCCCCCGACTATGCACAAGGGTCTTGGGGCATGGCTTCATCTCTCCTAATGCTACCTCACCCTCACTCCAGTGGCTTTGCGTTCCGTTCGGCCGGTGCTCGGTATTGTTGGACTAAGCCCGTGCGGGTTCGAATTAATGCAGAACCTCCTTGCGCACTGCCTAAAGCATCCCACATTTCACATTTCACCGTTGAAACACTGACTACCGGCCCTTTATGCCGGCAAGGGAAAGGTAGATTCGGACCACGTTTTTTGAAAGTGTTATCCGTGCACAGCGGCTCTAGACTCAGCCCGGGATATGACATATATACCACATCCCCAAGGAGGTTCCAAGGAGGAATTCATGAAACTTGAAAGGAGAACGTGTCGATACGCAAACAGTTCCAAACCGGAGAATTCTATTCTCAAAATATTCAAAGTTATGTTCTTCATTTGCATGAACATGAAGTTCCCATTAGCATGGCATGGCAATGAGTATGCAGTGTATGCATGCTCCCTTGATCTCCTATTCCATCCAGCCCCCGCCTCTCTGGGAATGAAGCTATTTCGGCCTCACACCCCCTGGCATCTTTAAACCTACATGAAAAACGCTATGATTGCTTCTGACCCGTAAATCAGTGGATTGACAGCATGATCGTTTTAAAAAAGGCTCATCCGACAAATTGGGTATTATAGTAAGAGTATTCCGAACAAAAGCCAACCAAATAAAGCTCAAAGGATTTGTTGCTTAATACACATATGATATTTGTGTGTGTGAGTCGGCCGCTAAGACCACGAGATTTAAAATATAAATTTCTGGCTATCAGCCTCACTTATCATATCTTCTGTAACTCCATCACCCGCTCAGAATGATTACACCAATTCCATCTGGCGCCTGGAACAGATTCCATCATTCTCGAATAAGGATATGCCTAATTCGAGGGTTCAAAAACTCGCGAATCGGCAACGTGTAAAAGTGCAACATATCCAATTGCCGGTGTCGGAGAGCCTTCAGAGAGGAGAGCTTCTTTCGATTTGATAAGGTTCGCCTCCTTCCCTCCGAGCTATCCCAAGGTTTGGGAATAAATCACCGTTCAAAGCATTTGTCAACGATAACTGCTGTCCTGTCCTGGATGATCGAACTTTTCCGGGCGGGAGGTGATTATCAAGCGACTGCCGAACCTCTCAGGTCCACGTTCTCCTCGGAACTTTTCCTATGCTCATCACCACTCCCTTCGCCAAACTTTGGAATCTGTACTCAGGACAAGCTTTGAGGCTTGTCTTTCCCTCCCTAGCTAGATCATGACCAACGTCCTCTGGCAAGGCTTGGATCCGTTGCCCAAGCTCCAGGATCTAAACCCTCGACAAGCCCATCTGTTCATGCGCTAGGGCGGAAGTAAATATGGCTCAATGTGAGCCCAGGATGGGAAGGTAAGTTGCCCCTTAAACCTATCAGATGGAATAAAGTCAGGATTGGTCCACCCGATCCTTAGGTCCAGGGTGAGAAGGAGCTTCATTCCTTCATCCTGGACCAAAACTCGTGAAACAGCAAACGAGGGGCCTTCATGGATAGTTACGCTATTGGTTGTGGTGTGTTTGTTGTTGAACGACTCTTTTGACGGCATCTACGGAATATCGAGAACTCTCGTTTCAATCATGATGGTACTGTATTGAGAGAAAATGGCAGTTCTGGGCCTCATCCCTCTCATATATATATACAAGAATATGTATGCTGACTTTTTAAACCAGACTGATAACGGTGGTATTTGATTCAGGTTACGTTCCGAGAAAATTATGTATTTGACTTTCCCCAAGGCCTCTGATCTACTTGGTTGCAAGGACTCGCCCCTGAACAGCTACTCCTACCAAAGTTATTATTACTCAGACTGCAGCCATCAAAGACACACAAGTGAACACAAGCCTTGAGCTGGAGCGTGCTCGGAGTGTCTTTTGTCGAGTGGTGCAGATAACTGTTGAATCCACGGTTGAAATTGGTCGCGGAACCTGTGTGCCCCGAAGTTGTGTTCGCAGAAGATCATATATCAATCGATATTTGATATCCAAGGATATATCGATGAAGGGCTCTCTACCTGGAAAATGTTATACTGTATGATTGCAATTAGTTTGGTTTACTGTTGTTACTGGGGAAGAAAAGGCTTCTGGCAACCAGCTTCGAAGTTGAACTGTTGATCTGACGAACAACGCATCTGCACTGGTGAGATCCAGCTGGCTTATAGATCTGGTTCGCTTCATCTGAAAATTCACTTCACATCTCCGTATGTTGTCTTTCCTCGGAATATTTACTCTGATGTAGACTGCTGATCAACCATATTATATGGAAGTTATCTCCATGTTAAGGTCAGCTTATTTAGAGCCTGTATCCACCTGGGTCATGTAATTGGTACTGATTCCTGTCGAGCCTTCCCTAAATAGTTGAACTATCTACTATCCGTTAGCAAAGGCAGTCGAGAGTCGGTATCTAACACAGGTAGTGGTTGTGAATCAGATACAATTTCGTGCATGCCTCATTTTAGTATTACTTCCTACGGAAGTCACCTTTCTACCCGGTACTACCCAGCTGTTATGAGTAATGCCAACTCCAACCCTTGCGATTGATCGCACAGCATATGGCCAAACTTGACCCCCAAAGCTTCACCCCTTCTACTAGCTCAGCTATTTTGATCTGGTTAATTACGACATGCGAACAAGATGTCTGTTATATATAGTAGTGGTACTTCCGCTGTTTTTGAGGTCAAAATCATTGATAATTTAACTCGCTCAATGATAGATAGGTGTATCACCCTACATGCCGTTGCGCTAGCTCCGTCGGGGTAATGAATCACTTGGTGGGCTTTCCTTCCGCCACCTCATAAAGCTAGAGGCACCAAAAACAATCACAGGCAGCTAAAGAACACGACAAGTCCGGATGACAACAGGTGCGGATACACATGGCGTGAGTTGGCTTTCCTCTTGAGGAATAATGCAAGGGAATTCCTGATTGGATTGGAATTTGCTGGCCGAGTTCCTACATGGACATTCAATGGGATTCTGCGAACTGACATTGTGCTACCAATGTCTCACAACAAATGATATGTGGAGGAGGTACCTGACCATTCTCCCGAGACTAACTTGTAACGAGGTCGACGCATGGATATCAGAATGTCATGTATTTTCCTCCCCAAAAATAGAAGCAAAGGTTAAAACAACCGCCGTTGTTCCAGTTGAAAGTTTGCCATGATGCGGCTGAAAAGCTTTAATTTTCTTCAACGAAGAATTTAGGAACATTCCTGCCCCCCTATTACCAAGATAAACCTTCACATTGGATGCCCCTCCAAGCCAGCCTCTCGAGGCGCCAATGCCACATTCTTCGGTAGGTTTGGAAACCCATCACCAATGAGACAGAAACACGAACTCGTGGCTTTAAAACCCAGTGAGACAGTCTCAATGAGGTATTCCGATTAGGCCTTCATCGAGCAGGCGCACTCCATACCTACAGCCCTTGTACGGATCCTCCAGTTTAATGCAGTCTATCAGATCTTCCCGAAGCAGGGACAGTGAGCTGGTAGATCAATCGAATACCAACATGGGGATGCGGGAGCCTAAGATCAGCCCCAGCCACAAGTGCATGCCGAAGTGCCATTCTCATTTGCACATCGTTTCCGCGCCTTGTGCGACGCTTGCATCCTCTTCCTGTCTCATCTACATATCAGCATGATCACTTGATTGATGAGGAAACAAAAAAGCAAAGCAAAGAAAAGAAAAGGAAACAAAAAATCGACAGGCTGAGCAACATGCATGTCTGCCCAGAGCTGAACAGAACATGTGGACCGCAGAGCCTCAATCCCTAAGAGGAAATGAAAGGCGAGATTTGAATGGGCAAGCTTTTGAAGCCTGGTTCGAATTGTAGAACTCGGTGGGCATCGCTGAAAAGCGCATGGCACTATTCATTCCGCATACGGATTTAAGAACACCGGCGGCGGTGAGACAACGGCACGCCAAAACTTTGGCTGGATATTACGGGGTAACTAGTTGGTACAAGGAACAAGCTCCTCTGTACTCCGTACCGAGTACAGAGTAGTTTGTCAGGAACAAGCTCCAACGACCTAGGTTATATTTAGTACAGAACCATGCAGAGGCAAACTAAGTTAAGGTGGCTAACAACTCTTTTTGAAAGACTTTCCCACGACGTGGTTCAGATCATCAGGGGCGTCGGAAAAATACCAGAAGTTAAAGCAAGAGGGCCAGTAGCACAAAGGTCAAAAACGCTCGAAAACCTCGTACGCAGTACAGGTGATAGGTTTTGCCATTTGAGGAAAAAAGGGTTGGGTCCTCGATAGATACGGGTTGTCGGTGGACGACTTAACATGAACCACATACCCCTGTAGATCTGGGGGAGCATCTTGCGAAGGATTGATATTTACACCCGGGCTATTTACGCCTCGGCCAAGAGACACTACTTTTTTATAGGTTTAGTGTTTACATGGTATTACATATAAAATAAGTAGCTTTTGAATGTAGTTGTCAAAGTGTCTCTCTTCCTAGCTAGTCTGTACTCTGTGTACTCCGTACAGGGTACTCCGTACAGTGTCTGCAGTTCTTTGAATAGATTATAAGACAGTTGGCTTCTGTCAGTCATATCTGACACTCATCTATACTAGTAACTAAGTGTGACTTACTTATTTACTTCAGTTTCTGAATCTCTCTGAACATCTCTTATAGGTCACATGGGTGTTTTATACTAGGTAGCATTACAATCAGCACACATTGATTGTATTAGTAATCAAGGCTGAGAAACTGTATGGGGCAAAAGAGCTCAATCACCACCAGCGCACTGCTGGTAGAAGGGCCGATAAACCGCGGGACCCCCAACAGAAAGAAACATTCATAAGAATTTAAGTTGTAACTCTGTTGTATACTGGCATAAATATTTCCATTTCTAATAAGGGGGTTAAAATGCCTGTGGCGCCTATAAACAGCTAGTTACAGCTTGACTAAATCTAGTCTAAATCTCAGGGTCTTGAGAATGAGAAATGGTATCAGTATTAACTACAGCTTAAATTCTTAGTGCTCATCAAAACTTTTGAGAGGAATCCTCTGTACCTCCGTACTCTGTATAGGCTGTAATAATATTATTATTAATAGAGTTCTTCTGGACTGCAAGATCTGCTTAGAAACACTAGTAATTCTTGATGTAAGACTGTGTATACACTAAACCTATAAAAAGTAGTGGTTTTTTTCTTAGTGTAAATAGCCGGCTCTGGGTGTAAATATCAGTCCTTATCTCAAAACCGAGACGAAAGGTTCTCTAATAACAGTGATAATCTGGTCATGCTGAATCTGCCTGCTGATATCTAATGAAACTTTTGGTTTGACAGATGGGGTGGGAAAATTAACGGTGGTATACTCCGTAGTCGAAAAGGAGAGGCTGGAATTCAACACGTGGGATCACAGCATAAGAAGCCCAAGCCATTATGCGGTAAATTAAGGAGAGGTTGCATGCATTATTGGGGGAAAACAGGATCAGAAAAAACAAAGCTGATAGATTCGACATGCCGTCAGTTCTTTGCGATACAGTTAAGGAACTTGGTGTTGCTTTTTGTCATCCTCTATATAGATTAGTTCTCTCTAGATTTTCTTTCCAAGTCAACATTTGCTTTTTCTCAGGGGAGCCCAAATGTTCACAGGGACGTTAACTTCTTCAATATTATTGGAACTGAATAAATGCAAATTAAGACCATTGGCTTCGTAACGGGGTCGATTTTGTCTGGGTGTTTTATTTCCAAAGTCAGGCTTGAGTTCTGCATTGTGTGAACGAATAGCAGCATCGTTTTAGCGAGCCCAAGAGCCAAAGGGTGGTCACTAAAAAAAAAAAAAAAGTAAAAGCAACAGCAGGGGGAAAAAAGAAAAAAGAAAAAGAAAAAGAAATAGAAAAAAAAGAAATGAGATCCGTCAACGGGACCGCAGCCTGCAGCTCAACCTTTCGGAACATTCACCCCCCTTTCCTTTTTCTTTGTTATTTACTCCTCACATTTCCTCTGGTTCGCCCACCATCTCTCGCGGAGGCGGAAGATGGAGTCGAACCTTGGACAGCTATCCTTGAGTTTGCCCTTTACCCAGTCGGCTAGCGCAGAGTAGTTACGGCTGCGAAGAATGAAAATTATCAACTTCTGGTGCAAGGAGACTCTGTAGAAGTCCGCGTGCTCTGGACACATGGAAAATGGTCGTCAATGCGTTTCAGTTCAGCAAATGATAGTATAGTCAAGTCAACACAAACAAAAGTGCATGTAAAAGCAAGCAGAGCGATTGCCTTCACTGCATGCAGACTACTGCATGGGGATGTGGTTAACTTCTGGACTCAAGACATATGGGATCGATATGATAGGTCAAAAGCAGGATCATCAGGAGGTCCACAGGGATGATTTGATGCCAATGTTTGCCTCTAAGTCTGTTTTAACATTTCGCTGAACTGATGGAGTTATGAGGCAAATCTGCCCCGGGCAGGTTTCTCAGCATGCTTTGCAGATGCATGCTCGAACAATATGGCTACTTCAGTGGATAAAACAGACCAAGAACTCAACTCTTGCAATGATGATAACCAGTTTCAAGGGGTTCTCTGGGGCCAAGTCTACAGTAATAATACCATTATTTATTGTAGGTATTTTTCCTCCTTGGGCCCCTCAACCCCGCTTATTGTGTACAGCCTACAATGCTTCACCTGTATTGGACCTTACACCCCTCAAATGCGGCGAGATCGGAAGCCTCAGATATTTCCTTGTGTTCTCCCGCAAATTCTCAGACCCAGGAAACTGGTCTGGTATCTCTTTGGCTCGCCAGGTACGAGCAAGCCAATGGGGAACGGAAATGCTTAAACCAAGCCTGCTGGATTAGGCGAACAGAAAAGCTGGATTGCGGTGAAGAAAGCGGAGATCGATATTTATTAGCTTCCTTGTGTCAGTGGCCACAGACGAGGGAGGCCACACCCGCAATTTTCTCCGCACATGTGGCGAGCGGTTAGAAGCCACATCGGCCAGAAGCTTTCCTTGATGGAGGTAGACGGGAGCAATAGTTTCTCCACACTGATGAATTCCCCACGCCAGCCCTGGACTTGGGGATTTGCCTTCGCAAGTTCGTATCGACAGCCTGGAATGCTCCAGGCAAATGAAATTCTGAGAACGCCGGTTTCGAGTCGCCACATCGTTCAACTAGAAGGGGAATCAAAGCCCGGACGGAGATTGACAGATCTCCGCCAAGGGAGGGTTTCTTCTTTTTTTCTCCAACTCTTGACCTCATTCGCTGTAATAACGAATGCTTGCTCGCCCAATGTTATTAGTGCCAAATTAAGTTCTTCCGTCGCATGTGAAGGGGAGCCGAAACAAGGTTTAATCGAGAACCCAGACGGTTACGCAGTAATTCGAAATATCACTCGGCTAGCACCGAGGCAACCAATTCCATGAGATGAATTGAAAGCTCCATGCGCTTTTTTGTTTGACCCTCGCTTTTTTTTTTTTTTTTTTTTTTTTTTTTTTTTTTTTTTTTTTAACTTTTGGGGGCTATGTGAAGGGCAACAATGTGAGGTATAAAAGTGGTATGGTATGTCACTGTGGCCGCTCAAGGAGCTGGTCAAATTTGTGTGGGATGCTGAGCCGAACCAGGGAGGTTGATACTGGTTCAACGCTTCATCAATTGCAATTTGCAAGTCAGTTACTTGACCTTCAGCATTGCAAGAACTATTTCAGTAAGCGAATAGGAGTTGGACCAATCAACCACACCCGGCACAAGCGATGTGAAAACAAGCTCATCCGCCCCCAGCAATCGACATGGACTGCCATCTCTCCCGACCGATACCATCCTGGCTTAACGTATTGAATTACGGGGAAAGGACTGGAGGGTTCCTATTGTCAAACTTGACCATTCATACAGTAGTTATCCGTACACCTGGGTTTGAGATTACTGAAAAAGTTCCGCTAGCCTGTTTTTTGGTCTCGCAGACAGCAATAAGAAAAGACACTGGAAGCACATCTCTGAAACAGAGACCCTATAATTGCCTTTCATTGGGCGTCCCTTTTGGTGCATACTTTATTATTCAAGGGGAGGAAGTACACAGTATGCACAACGTAGTACGTGAAAAACAAATGAATACTGCATGTTTGTGTGGGGTTGGGGAGGAACTGGTCACACTGCTGAAATCGCGTCGAATTCTTTGTTTGAGCACTTGCTGACGAGATCTAGATACAATAAAAGTAAAAAAAATAAAATAAAAAGAATAACACGTACCAAATTAGGGCGTGTTAAACGGGGATCCTAAGTAATAAGGAAAGCCCATATTTAGGACATGAAGTTCACCTCAGAAGTAGACAGAGGAAAAAACCAGCACGAGTTTTTGAGGTTGAAACCTGTCAGGCCGAGCCAATAATGGTGAGCAGGAATGTCAGTATAGGCATATGAATGGAGGGACAATAAACACGCGCGCTGATTTCCACAGATAATTGCATCCGCCTAAAGCTACCGGATTATACACCCCAAGTCAATTGGCATGGAGCCAGACTCTACCAATTGCCCAAAGAAATGTTGAAGAAGTGGATGCCAGCTAATTTGCTACCTATCCAAGTCTGGGCCGTAAAAGCAGTCTTCCTTTGGTAGCTACTCAGCGAACTGTAACGTGAACTTTCCGTCGGCTTGGTATGATTATCTAGTTCGAAGCGGGGTGATTTCTTCCATTATTATTATATATTATCATGCTTCATTGAACTAGCAAACTCAATCGGATCGTCTTTGTCTGCCATGACGAATGGGTTGCTGAAGGGGTGCAAGAAACGCAAAATGGGTATTGATCACACTGCTGGGAGCTGTTGTCGTCATTCTGGAACCCGAGAAGATGGATAGGTCCGCTCCTCATCAGTCTTCTCCCAATATCAAATTGCGGCGGACTTTGGTGGAGGCCATCGCATCGCATGGCAAGCAGGGATTGTTATTAGTTCGTCTTAGTTCGGGATGTTCCCCTTGGACTAACGCTGCGCGCTGCTCTCTGTTCGCACGCAGGAGGAAGGGCAGACGATGCAGGCTAGGCCGAACGTATCACCCTGCCCAGGTGTCCACCTACTAGTGTACATACATGAGTTAGCAAATAATGAATACATTCGCGCACATAGAGGGCTGGATGAGGCGCAACCTTAACCTGGAAGTCTGCCACCAACGTCAAGTGAGCGCCAACCCCAGTTCCGGTAATCGATTCACTGTCCTGGGCTTGTTCGCAATAGAACAATGCGTCCACACGACGCCTGAAACACCACTCAGAATCGTGGTTAAAAATAATACACTTGAGAGATCATGTCTTGGGTGGAGGTTTGATGGTGAGTGTGCAGAGACATCACAAGCCCCAACCGCAAGCCCTAGCCCTATTTTCATCCATTAACGGCGAACAGAACCACACCCTTTGAGCCTCAACGACTTTATTTCCACCTCATCTGACTGTAAACTCTGTACTGACCTACACCGACACACTCTGCGGCCGTGGTCCCTCCTGTTTCAATGATTCCTCATATCTGGTTTTTGACCCATGCAGCTTTGCCAGCAGGACATAATTCGTATTTGTTTTTTGTGGTTGGTCTCCCCGGCTGACTGGAACGAAAACTACCAAAGCTTAAATGCTCCAAGCGCGGGCAGCAGCCGGTCGACAGAGCTGATGGTCCGCCTGTCACCCAGTGCTTTTCGCACCAGATCGATCCACAACCCTTGAAGGCAATGTCAAATTCCGCTAACACATGCAGGACTAACCCAGGTGAAATTTCAAGGCTATTGATAAATGCTATCCCTTTTTTGTCCCAAGTCTGGCTCCATATGTCTGGAAAGAGGATCGCGTCCTGGCTGCTTTTGACGGGCTGCTTGTGACGGGCGCTGTCACTGGCGAGAGAGGATAGGATGGCTCTTTACAACAATAATACTTATCAAGGTTTCTGAACTCTGGACCATGGGTCGACCCTTGGCATAAGCCTAATCGGACTTATTAGCTTGACACCCTGAACCCTGTCCAGCAGCCCACTCTGCAGTAGACAGAGCCTCTGCTTCAGCCAAACAGAACTTGCCTCAGCTCACAATAATACGAGCATCCTCGAATGGACCAAATGTTGTCCCACTTTGAACTAGTTGCAGATTGCAGCCGCACCGTGCGGGCTCGTGTCAGCATTCGGGCCAACGAGAATTGAGTCTGATCCGTCAAATATTTTATCCTTTTTGCTTGCTGCTTTGGGGACTGTTAGCTGCGGCCCCAATTTTCTCCAATTCCCACCATTTGAGAGGCTAGCCAAGGGACAAGACGCTTGTCAAGGTTCATCGCGTGTTGGTCCGCTTGCTGGTGCCTTCCCGATGTCTTTCGATTTGGCGAGAGGCCCATCCAGCCTCTCCCGTGACCCCAAAATCCCTCCATGACGGGTCATCTGGAGAGGGGCACGTTAGTGCGATGGTCAAAAGATTTTTGCCCATGTCTGCTCGCTGGATTGCTCTGGATCTGATCTCAGGAACTTGGTCTTGAGCGCCGGAGCTTTGATTGGAAAAAAAAAAATAATGGATTATGATTGAGAACCCCAGATCCCAAAGCTTGACAAAGAGGAGATCGCCCAACTTTTGCAGTCAAGGTTCCAATAATCATTGAAGCCTTAACCAACGGCTCTGGCCATCTTGGAGTTAAGGTATTTATTATTACCTTTTATTATTGTTGTGATTATTTGCCGCTTAAGCTTTATTTGTTTGATTACTACATCCGTCCTCCATAATAATAACTAATAAATCACCCTCGCTTTCTTCCACTTGGGGTTCCGGCCGGGTTGCGCATTTCCCCGGAATTATTTGAAAAATAGAAAACCACCTTGACACCCCTTTCCTCCTTCCTCTTTTTTCTTGTCTCTCTTCCGCTTCTAATTTCTCTTGATATCTGGCTGTGACACTCTATCCTGCATCGTTTGCCATTTCCCCCTTTTCACCTTCATAGACTCGATCTTCCTTACACACGCGCCAGGCTTGTACAACATATGCGACGCGAGAGCTTGACAGCGAAAGGAAAAGGGACAATAAACAATTCGAACGGAACCGGGCAGACGAGAAAAGTTTAGTCGCAGGGCCGGAAGAAAAACAGAATCATTTTTTGCGGCGGGTATTATTTTTGATCTCTCTGATCACTGAGCTTATTCCCCTTTGCGCCGCCCGACAGGGAGATACCTGCCCGGACTTCCAGGGGCCGCCCGAGCTACCTCAAGTGATCGTCGTCCCTCTGCTCCACATCCCTCTATCAAGATCACCAACATATTTATCTTCATATTTTTAAATTATTTTGGCGCCGATCCAGAGGGGATAGTACTTCCCGAGTGAAATTCCTTAGCTTCATTGTCGACTTAACTCAGCTCATTGTGACAATAAGTGGAGGCCCATCTTTCTGCCTGACGGTTCAATTTCATCCGGTTTTTTCCATCGAGTGGCGACTGTTTCCATCCAGCGCGATTCGAGCCATCTCCAAGATCTTATTTTTGAGTAGGTACAGGCATGTGCATTTAGCTCGCACCACATCTACCTTATTTTATTTCCCATTGCTGTTGCAAATCTACTGTGAATGCGAACCTTGCTGGCGCATCTAACTTCCCATGCTTTTGCTGCATCAGCCCATCCCTCGGTCGCCCATTCTTTTCGGGACGAGATTGACATTTTGGCTCACTTGGAGACATTGTGTTAATGCTAACTTGCCTTTAGGATGCGATCAAGTAAACTATTACTCGAATTCATAGCGTCCACCCTTCCATCGCCGTATTCAGCCCATTCTCAATTGTTGCTCTAATTAACGACATTTCTACGCCCCTCCTTACCTGCACCTCCGGTACCTGCAGCTTGACACCTCCCGCGGGGTCGCAAAATTGCACCCAATCGACTACTAAGTCTTATCTTGCACTTGGAGCCTCGTTCCCATCAATATCGACTTGCACCAGTACGAGTTGCTATTGAGAGCGCCGCGTCCAATCCAAAGTGTAGTGCAGTATTACCTCCGATTTTCTATCCTCAGCTGAGCAGTAAACTGCCCTCCGTGGATACTTCTGGTATTTCTGGAGGTCGATATTGGCCTAACAGTGACTATTCCATACTCCAACCGGGGCAAGTACCCCTCACCACTGCTCCCCCAACACCCACCCCAGACTCCGAATTTTCAAGGCAGCCAGGCACGTCGCGAAACCTTTCCGTCAACGTGGCGGCCCTCGCTGTTCAGCCGCCCGGAATGGGGACGGCGCTTGATGCTCTGAATTCACATCAGTCACTGACGTCTCGACGACCAGCTGCAAACAATTTGCCTGGCTTCGAGCTTCTCCATCCTCAAGTTTCGCAATCACAAAAGTATTCACACCCTTCAAGCACTAACGCGCAACAGCCCTCGAGAGTCGGCAGTTTATTAACCCCTCCATCAAACACTTCATCAGACGCCAGTTCGATTTCCGCGTACGTGAGCCATAGTTCTGTTTCGTCCAGCCAAACAGCTCCTTCGTATTCTCAGGGCTACTGGCCACAGTCAAATAGTTTTGGTACTGGTATGATCAACCAGCCCTGGCCCCAGTCCTTTCCTTCCAGGAGCGGGTTTTCACCACCCTCATCATATGCAGGTCGAAACAATTCGAACTCTCCTACAACTGCGGACACTTTAACGCCCTCATACGATATAAACCAGCGTGCCTATTTCCAAACGCCAATTCCCGGTGCATCAACATCGTCTGGCCCATCCCCAACAACACAGCAACCCCAACAGGCTATGGCGCACGTTCTGATGAATGCGCAGGCCACCACTGCGACGGTGCCGCCCACTCCACCAGCGCAGAACAACGTTGATGCGTATGGGCAGAAATTACCATCTACCCCACTTTATAGTGGATCACATCAAAGTACCCCACAGCAAGCCACGTTCCCGCCATATCAGAGTAGTGGCAGTTCAGCCATTCACCACTCTGGCACCAATGGACCGTCGTCAAGGATCTCGCCGATCCAAGCTCAGATGCAGGGTGAAGGCCAACATCAGTTAACCCAGTACAGTAGCCGGCCATATCCATCTTACTCCCTGCCTGCGATGAGCGGACCAATTATGACGAACGTACATCATCCGAATTCTCAGCTAGCGCTTATGGGATCTATACAACCAAACCTCCTACCAGCTTTCAACAGTGGCCACGCAGCGGCTATGAGTAGCGTGTTTAGTGGACACCCAAATCACATACACGGACTTATGCAACATCCACCACCCGATGATCGACCGTATCGATGCGACCAATGTACACAAAGTTTCAGGCGAAACCACGACTTGAAAAGGCATAAGCGCATTCATTTGGCAGTTAAGCCCTATCCCTGTGATCACTGTGCCAAGAGCTTTTCACGCAAGGACGCATTAAAGGTATAAATTGCTCTCTAATCATTATATCTCATCCCCAAGCTTCTTTACTAACGTATACATAGCGACATATTCTTGTCAAGGGCTGCGATAAGGACAAGGATTCCCAGTCTGATAAAAATAGCACAACGGCTAGCTCCCCGGTACTAACGCGCACGGACAATGGCACTGGTAACTCTGCCAGTGGCCGAACTCACAATATACAGGGAAACCATGCCTTGAAGTCGCATACATGAAGCTCATTTCTGCATTCTGTAATACATTCCGTTTGATATAATCCGGGTGGATAACGTACTTTATTATTCATACTGGTTACCCGGGTAGTTCGTGTTCTATGTCAATTTTTGCCGGCTTACCCATAATTGAGAAAATCAGGCCCCGGTTTTTCGTCCTTTTTGGGATTATTATTTCCGCTATTGTTTGTTTTTTGGGGGGAACAGCACATACTTCCTCGTACTTCCTCATACTTGCTCTTTCTCACGTTGTTTTGGCATTTTCTTGGAAATATGGGCAATAGGGTAGAGTTGAGGTGTCCTTGGGTCTAATTTATCGGAAATATTTTTACCTTAACCGATCTTTTTTTTTCTTTTTTGCTCTTTGACTGTTTGTGGTCTGGCCCCTTTGTATTTCTGGGGGAGAAATGTTTGCTTACCATAATGCTACCTTTTACCTTTTATTCATCATATTTAGGCGTTCCATCCTCTTCGTCCCCTTCTTGAGCAATAACTTTTTGCCCATTCACTCAGCACATTTTATCTTGCTTTGAAACCCTGTCTGTTTTTGATCAAATGCTCTCACCTTATTCTACCATAGGATTTTCCTATTGGTTGTTGAAGCAAGTTATTTGTTTGTCCTCATATTCACCATCATATTATTTTTCAACACTTGTCACCTTTTTGGCATCTTAGCAACGTTTCCTTTTGATTGACCTCACTTTTACTCCCTTGTATGTACATGTATAAGTATTTATGTGTCATGTTTATAAATCCTGGCTGAACCATACTGAACTGAATGAAAGCACCAAGAAGTAAACAATAACCCCTGAAAAGCTAAAAGTGTGCTGTCAACACCTTCATGTCATTCATAGTGAACACTCTACTAGATTTTACCTCAGTGAAGTTTACTCTATCTGAATTGATAATTCAGAGCAAAGGGCATTCAAATCATTGAATAGTCTGTGTTTACCACTGTCTCATATCACTTTATTTCTCAAGCGGCAGCAACCAGGACGCACGTTTCATACATTTAGCACGAACAACAAATCTTCCCGACTCCACAAAAATATGTACGTTTTCAAGACCCTTCCCTCTACTCCTCCGACTCGCTTCATTCGAAGCTAGAGTCATACCGCACATTTTCCATGCGCGCGGCAAGGGGACTTTGACGCCAGCCCTGTATGTAATAACAACGCCATCTTGATAAATTATGCATAGCCATGCATTAGCACAAATTCCGGACAAAACTTTGCACTTTCTCCAGAACGATCCTACGGCAAACTCCATGAAATTTTCGTTCGGAAACGGCCAGAGTATCAGGAGACAGTCATCCAAGCGGCTTCTAAGAAGTGTAAACATGTCATACAGTGATCCGCACTGAGGAGGGGGGTGCTTATCACATGTAGCACACGCCTGTATACTTAATTTATTCCGCATAAATCTGGGCAAGTCTCACAGTAGAATCGACTGGGGCAGCCGCAGAACTTAGAGCTTTCCTGAATCTTGCGAACCACCAGCCCCACCTTCGTCCTTCCTGCGCCAGAAGCCCGGAACCTCATCAATGTTCTGGCAAGACCAGTAGGGTGGCCTCTCGTAATGTAATTTCCATTTCTCCTGGCCGTGGAGCTTGTCATAGAATTCAAAACAAGAAAGAACGTAGATATACCTCCAGCTGACATCCTCCTTTTCGTCCGCAGTCTTCCCGTCCTCAACATTTGGGTGGACAGTATAGTCCCTCTCCTGAACAAAGAGCGGATCCCATTCCCTGCAAAGCAACTTGATCACAGGTTCGGGCATATGCTTCATAGATTCAAGCGAGATATCATCAACAAAGAGACAGAAGTTGTACCGGGTTGCGCTGGCAATATGCTTGCGAAGCAGCTCTTCCTCCTCACGTTCAGACTGGGGTAGCTTAGGTAGCTTATCCATTTCGTTTTGAACGAAGCGATTGAAGTGGTCACGAACAACATGCGATGAAGCGCCGTCTAGTTGAGTCCTGTCATCCATGACAATTAACTCGTGGCGGCTCCAGAATTCTTCCCCGCCCTCCATCATCAGGTAGCCCTCCATATGGCTACAGATGAGATCGAGCATTTCCTCCCATGCATCCTGATCACTATACGTACACCGGAACACGACGAAGCCCCAGGTTTTGTCTTTCTTCAGCTTGTCATCTTTGAGAGACTCTTCAATCGCCACGACTGGTTGGGACTCGTCGTCCCACAAAACCCCAAACCCATATTCAGGTTTATCTGCCCATCTCGCAGTGTGAGTTTGGTTCGGTATTCTTTCCTCGGAGTAAAGAAGCTTTGTAGAATAGGACAACTGCTGCTTTTGCTCTTTTTTCGCTCGTTGTATTTTGTAATGTGCTTGAGCATTGGGCCTAGGTTTCCTGGTATTAAGGAGGCACGATGACAAACTCCTTATGTACGTGCCGGAGATTCGCAGTCTAGCCAAGCTAGCAATAGATCTCCAGTGCATGGTGAATGTATACTATTTTCTTGTCTGCATTCTATCTCAATGGCGCGTCATGATTTCAAGTTGTTGCATGAGCTCGTAGGGCTGCGTTTATGGAAGGAACACCAGCTTAGTCAGCACATAGTTGCATTGCAGACAAATAGAAGGTATACATTGTCTACTCAATTATGTGAGATATATTTTTAGACTTTATAGACATATATCTTACTATTGTCCATCGAAATAGTTTGGGCGCAATTGGAAGCTATGACACTCAGGGGGTAGGTAGCCACTTGGAAGTTGGAACGCGCTGGGCAGTAAGGACGTTAGAAAGCCAGCTAGCTATATTTGCTCTAAAAAAGCATAACTAAGTATAGATGTGTAGAATATTAATATTCATTTCGTCATCGTTTCCTTTTCCTTTCTGCATTATATCATCTCTCATTATCCTCCGTAATATGTCATCAAACTGCTTACGGATCGAATCGAATTTTATCTATCGCCTTCTTTAGTAGATTAGCCTGAGCAATCAAGGCGACTGCTGCAGGGTTGCTCATCGTGTTTTTGTCGTAGAATTTGCTGTTAATTCGACCGACGCTGTCGAGCACGAAAGCGGTACCAACAGCCACCATTTCCGCGTATAAATCGGTTTCAAATTCTTTCCATATGCTGGATAAAGGCTCAAGGCCAGGCATGAATTGACCAATAATCGCAATTTCCTTTGCGAGGTCTCTCCTTGCTTTATCGAGGCCGCCCCTGAGAACTCCATCATTCAAGTAGTTGAATATGCCAATTGTCTATGGGAGTTAGCAATCGATCCACGCTATAGAAACATAGGACTGACTTTCTGAAGTTTGCCAGCAACAAGCTTTGCAGCTTCCATATCTCCCTTCGCCACATCTCTCAGAGCTGTGTTAAAGGTTGAAATCGCCATTGGTTGAGCACCGCCTACGAGGTTCTTCTTGATGTAGTTCATATCACGTGGGAGTATAGACATGCCAGTGCGGTAAGCATAGGATCCAATGATCTCAAATACACGATCATTTGGTGTCAATGGAGGCGTCCAGTCAGGTTTGTCGGATACTATAGCTCCGATTCGCGGTAACGTGACATCGTACAGCTTATTCCAGCCATCAAGGAGCTTCTGCGGATCAATGGTAACTGACTTCATCTTTGCCCCAGATGGTAGATAACCAGTTACCGCAGTCTGGAGGAATCTTTTGACCATTTGGATCTGCTAAGTCATGAGCAGCTAAATATTTCCACCTACGCGAATGCGATGTCAGGAGCTATGACCTACCTCTTGGAGGTGCTCCGCGTGGAAACCCTTCATTGGAAGATCAGAAAGCTTGACGTATTGCACCGCTGTACTTCCGCAAACGTCTTTTAACATTCTAGTTGTAGAGAGAAAGTAAAGGTAAGCGTCTGGTCCTCAAAAGAAAATAAGGTGATGGGGGTTGCGATTACCTAAAGCCTCCTCGCAGAGGCAAGGTGGACGCTCCATCGCCCGAAGCCACTGAAAGCCCTGGTTTATAAGGTCGGCTTACCATCTTGAGTGCGCCATAAACATTGGTGCCCAGTAGTTTGGGTATATCTAGAAACATGGTACGGGGACTCCCAGGCCTTGGGGGTACTAGGATTAGTTCTGGAAGCCCTGATTCACCATAGCTCCACAGTGTTCTTCCCTGACCGTCCTGGTAGGAACGCTTATATAGGACATCGCTACTGTCCGGAAGGCCCGATTCATCATCACACGCCTCATTATCAGTGCATGTGTCAACATCACATTTGAGTGTCTTGAGAACATCGAGATTAGGGGTGCAGCACAGTGACTTTTCACGATACCCTTGCAGGCTATTAGTATATCTCCTGAAATGCAAACGGAGGAAACCTACAACTGCACCCAATGTAACTGTCACCGCGAGAATCAGCTTCAAGAGTCACCTCATTCTCATTGCAGGTATTATCAGCGCAATCGCCTTCGCCCACCCAATGACAGTTCTTGTAGGGCATGGGCTGGCTCTTAGGGCAGCAGAAATGATTTCCATGTTTAAACACAGTTCCCCATCCGGTGCGGTCCCACATATAGGCTAGACTCTCCTCATCTTCCTTGCACGAGCTGCCGCTGGGTAGGGTTAGGATCCACTAGGTTATGAAGCATTCTCGGGGGCAGATAACATACACTCCAGAACTCCAGTAGCAGTTTTCGTTGAAATCGTCGAACATCCCCATTTTACAGCACAGAGCCTTTCCACCTCTTGAACATCTCCCAGTTCCGGACTGACCGGGGGTGCCACCCCAACTCGAGCTCGCAATGTGGACTTCACCAGCGTGGCATCTGCCATTGCAATCACCTCCAGAACCGCGCCATTGACAGTCTTTAAGCCCGCTATTCATAGGACAACATATGGGTTTGCCGCACTCGCCCTAGGGATTAAGTTAGATAGCCTCATTGTGTAATTATTGAGTCAAGCATACTTTGATTGTTCACTTACATCCTTACCTTTGCAGCCCGCCTTGTCATAGCCCATCTTGACATATGGCGAACAGCTCGCCACCTGAGGGTTCTCTAGGTCCACCGTATCTTTGAACTTGAAGCATCTTCGTCCAAGGAAATCATTGAGGTCATCTACAAGAGGCTTTTGCGCTTGATCTCTCCGGAAGCTTCGTGCGGTCACCAGCTTACTATTTCCTGTTAAAGCTTTGTGTGCAGTCAAGTCGTAGTCATCTACTAAATGTTAGGCTTTCCAGGATTCCGGACAACGCAAGAGAATTTCTATCAAACCTAGATCCGATGCCCATATTAAGGAGCCAGAGAAGCCCACTTCATCAGCCCAGTCAACTTTCTGCTTAAAAGTATCCTCATCATCATATGAGATCCACTGATTGGAGTCCCATGAAAAGTATTTGACTGCCGCCTCCTTGTCGTGAGTGACACTTGTTGTACTCCTTTTTGAGTTGCTGTTTTTGTTTAGAATATCTCTGATTTCATATTGAGAAAGATCTACAATATATCAGCTGTCGGAATTCTTTGAGGGACAATTTGAAAGGGTGAACACTAACATCCACTTTGGCCTGTGCAAACTCCAGGTTTAGCGCCCGCGCTGAAAGGGCATCCAGGTTCGCCGCAGCTGGGATTTTGAAGCGTGAAAGCACGGCCGTAGAAACCGAACCCAATCACGATTTTGGAAGGAGGCACCTTTACCCTCCAGAGAAGTTCCACGGCGGTTTTTATTTCAGTTAGATTTGTATGTCCTTGAACGATGGAGCCACTGTCAAGTTGCCTTATTAGTTGAGGGTGGAGAATTGACTTTTTGGAACATAGGGCTTACATGGGATTATCCCTATCCCAGACACCGTGTAGATCATACGACATCTAGAATAATTCAGCCCCAGGGTAGCTGCGGAAAATCATTTTCTTTTTGACTCACGAGGTTCATCCAGTCTGAATATTTGAGCAATCCGGGCAGGTCAAACCATCGCATATACCAGTATGAGGATGGGCCTGTGAAAGTGATGCCTAGTTTTCGTCCCGACTTATCGAATGTTTCACGTATTTTTTTCATTAAAAGTACAAAATTCTCCGTGTCTTCCTCCTTCCCACCTCTGTCGGGGGCACCTGGATATTCCCTTCACGGAAATCAGCGATCTTGTGGTGAGCAGGTGATTAAAATATCTCACCAATCAATGTCAACTCCATCAAAGCCATATTGGTTTAAGAAGCTGAGGATGTTGTCTGCAAATTTTCGTCGATTTGCAGGTGATCTCGCGATGTTGCCGAAAATGGGCTGAGTGATGGTATTGTTATCGGAGAAAGTCCAGCCACCGATACTGACATATAGTTGGAGGGAGGGCTTGACAATTTTGAGGGCCGCTACTTCATCAAAAAGAGAAATCGGTGTTGCGGCGTCCATGGTAGTAATCTCAAAGCTTGTAGGATCGATGTATGCAAAAGCATAATTGAGGTGCGTGAGGCCACCGACTAAAATGAAGGTAAGCGTGTATGCGTTTGTACGTTTACTATGAATAGACTTACCCGGAAGATCTAGGGGCGACGCTTTGTGACATTTAGATCGAGCATTCCATGCTTCATAATAGCCAATGACTAGTCCCGGTTACCATCTAGAAGATGTGTACGCTTTCGGTGATGCCTACCTCTGGACAATGTCTTGCCCTTCGCTGAGCCGCCCGGGGGCTTTGGGTGTAGAACACAGTGAGATTGACATCCTTTCCCACAGAATTCTATGCAGAGTACGTGTTAGTCAGGGTAGTTGAAGGATAGGAAGGGAGACATGCCTTCAGTTATGCCACAGAAGCCATATTGTGAGCAACTGGAGGAAACCATGATTAGCAAGACATTTTAGAGATTACGCTTATTGGTCTTTATATAATATATACCAGGTATTCAGAGGACATGTCTTGTTCACCGGCTTCGCGAACTCCCCACATTCGGCACCAGCATCGCAATTGCTAACGCAACCTTCGCCACAATAATCGGGGCCATACCCGCAGTACCCACCAGCTACAATCATCAATTCAGTATCCTCGATAGGGGGCATTAACACACTCACAGCCACAGCATGCACCATTACTACACAGTTCTGGGAAGGAAATGAGGATTGTCAGTAAAGGTAGAATATTCCATTGAACTCTGGATACATACTGCTTGGGCCGCAGGAATAATCATCCCAACGCAGCAGAGATGTGTTTAACTCTCGCAGAGGTGGCTGAACCAAGTTAGACGCATGTCGCCTGTGTCGCCCGATTGGAACCGCATCTAGAGGTGGTTTGAGGAAATGTATCCCAACCCCCTGGTAAAGAGAAGCAGATACAAAGGACAAGAACAAGTAGAACAAGAGCAACATGCTGATAAGGCTGACAGTTGATCAATGAAACAGGCCTTATCTCAAACTATTACGGATTGATTCATGAAAGGGGTGCTCTGGGATCAAAGTAAACGACGTCGCCTGGTTGGAATGAAGTCGTCCGCAGAGACTCTGTCTGTGGGAAGATGAAGTCTCTTCTTGCGCTCAAAAGAGCAGAGCCTCAACCCCTTTTGGGAAATCCGCAAAACCATTGACATATTCTCTATGCTCCGATGAACAATAGCAGACATCAAAGGGTATATGACATTTATGGAAAGTAGAACAATATTTATAGGCCTTTGATATAATTTCACTGACAATCTACTGCCGTCCACTCTGTCAAGGTGGAAAAAACACAAAGACTTCAAAGCCCAGGTCGGGGAACTGCTATTCCGGGCTGGAACGATACAGAGTAGAACAGGTAAGATCCCATATTCCAGATTATGGTGGCTGAGAATATGACCCTTAAGCTTAAAACTGTACATATTGACCGTTGTTCAGGAATATAGCCCTTGGTCATTGATATGATGTCCTGCAAAAATAGTTGATTGGCCTGGCGCTTAGTCAGCGCACATGATCAACCCCTTTTTTCTGAACACGCGTTCCGGCAGGAAGCTGCTGTATATGAGCTCTGGAGAATAAAGTCAGCCATAAGGGATATCGCCCTGACAGATATTTTAAATACTTTCCGCCATTGCTTCGGAACCCGGAAGATCTCCATGTTTTGAGCACTGCGCGCTAGAGAAGGGCTTGTCTGAACTCCGCGTCCCAGTGCATCCAAAGCTCCCAATTCGATACCTAACTCTACAGCCAGTACGGAGTATTAGTATTGACTACTAATTCCCAGGGTAGAAAAGTTTGCGTTGGAGCAAATAATTGACTTTTCAACAGTACCAGGGAGACAGTTACACGCACGCTTCGCTCCTTACCTATCCCGAGAGGCATAAGTATCGGTTAGGCGGCATGTCTCACAAACTAATTCTTTCTCCAATTGTCCTGGTGCTGGTTCTCTTGGCTCCAACTATATGGAGCCAACAGCTTGAAGGCTATATACTACCATTTGAAGAGCTGGGGTTGAGTGCTTCCTGCTTTGTTGCTCTCAACACCACATTGAGCTCATGCCCTGCTTGGCTCGGGAGTTATTCCGGCATGGCGTAAGTAGAGTGCATACCCCTGAGGCCATATTCATTGTATTGTATGTTAACCCGGTAGATAGGCAGGCGAGTTTTGAAATACTTCCAAAGGAGCAACTCGAACTTCTCTGCGGAACTTCGTGTCGCAAGGATCTGGACAATCTTCGAAATTCGATTATGGACGCGTGCAAAGGCCCAAGTGATGTGATTGTTCCTGGTGGAAGCATAGCATACCCAGGTATGAATGAAGCCTGAGTGTTTTTGTGTTCTCTTCTGCTGATCGTAATCATTGAGCAACCTATCTCGTGGACCGGTTTCTCTATGCCGCCAGCCTATCCTGTCTGGAGGACCGGTAAGTGGCAGTGGTAGATTTAGGCGGGAGCAGTTTGTCAAGGTTATAATTGACAACTTCGTTAGATCAACGGGCCAGTACTGTGACCTCATTGCCGCCAGTTGGAACGGGACCTCCGCGCCGGCTCGGGATTGTTCGTTTTGTGAACTTGGCCTGCAAAAGCTTCAACTCTCATCACCCTTTGGTTATTCCGAAGAGGGAGCAGCAGACTTCTCATCCCTAACATCAAGTTGTAACGCTGATGGTTACGACTATTCTACCCCTGCATCGTATGCTCTCAACTCAACAACAGCTCCACCAGCACCAACCTGTGCTAAGCAATACGTAATCAAGGAGGGCGACACTTGTGTGACGATTTCTCGAGATAATAATGTCTCGACATATAGGCTGATTATAGAGAATTCCATCGATATCAACTGTAGTCTCTTGCCCGCAGCAGGAAAGTCCCTTTGCTTACCAAGGGAATGCGAAACCCGCCAATTACAACTGGCTGACACATGCCAGACATTGGTGCGCGACTTGAACATAACAATGGCACAACTCCTAGCCTGGAATCCTCATATCAACAGCGGTTGCTCTAATCTGGCTGCATATACCGGCTGGTATTTCTGTGCAAGGCGAGAAGTAACCATCATCTTGCTAGGATTCCAATATAAATTAACTAACAAGGCCGCCGCAGTTCCCCAACGCCAACCGTTCCAGTGAGAGAAGGGGGGAATATGATTACAGCAGTGCCAGTGCCCCCCAACGCCCAAGGACAATCAAACACCAACTGCAACCGTTGGTATATGGTACTTCGCCCTCTTTCTGGTCAATCCACAAGTGTGGAAGAAAAGGGAGGAAAAGGGAAAAGCAGCAAAGCAAGGGATCCGAGCTAACAGAACTCGCGACAGATCGAAGATGGCGATTATTGCTCCATGATTTCGCTGAGGTTTGGCATATCCCTCAAGGACTTTTATTTCCTTAACCCCCAGGTTGACGACAACTGCACCAACCTATGGAGAAATACGTCGTACTGTGTGCAACCTGTCGGAAACATTGCAACATATAGTGGATATCCCGTTGAAGCACCTTCAGCCACATTCACCCACCCTCCTGCAGAGTCGTTTGTTCCAAGCCCAATCGAATTCCCTCCGCTGAAGCCTGCAGCGCCAGGAACGCTCAAGGATTGCCTCATATACGAAGACGCCTTCAGCGAACACGCAGGGTTCGGCGATGACTTGAAGACGATGAACCGCTGTCAAAACTGGGCATGGGTGGCTGACGTGACAGTCGATGACTTGCTAGAGTGGAACCCAAGTCTTTCACGGGAGGATTGCTTTTTCCAGGTTGAATATAGCTACTGTATTCGACTCTGGGAGCAACGACGTAAGTATTTTGGATCCGACCTGGACCATTTTTCCACTCCCACGTTGTTCAACAAGAAACTAATGGATTTCCTTTTGCAGCCATCTATACCGGCCCACAAGACCATTGTATGGCGCCAAATACAAATTTAATACCGCCGACATCTGTCCAGCCATCGGACTGTGATTGCTATGTCCAGTTTCGAGCAGCTGATAAGGGTAAACGGCGTCCTTGATCCTCATATTGAAAGAGATTGAATTCTGACCGGAAACTAACTCAAATTTACCTAGCAATCTTCAAATGCTCGATGTTCTCCGATTTGTTCGGTGTCGATGTAGCAAGAGTTGCGTCTCTTAACCCCTGGATCGGCTCAGACTGCGACACGGGCCTGTGGAGTGAGCTGTCACCGGATGGCTTCGTTCAACTTTGCGTAGGCAAACACAGTTCCCCTTCGCCACCGGCTTGAGCACTGAGGACAGAAATTGAGCCGGACTATTTATAATTGCGCTCTACGAGGAAGGGCAGGCTGGACTTTGAGGGGGAGTCTATCAATTTGAACTAAAATGAGGACGTTGAGTAGACTAAGATGATGTATGGGTTATCCTGAGCAAACATACTGTGTGGACCTTGTAGTACTCCGTATGCAAAACTAATCACTTCAACCTTTTAAGTTCGAATGGACTTTTACAGAGTATGACGTGGATTAAAAGTACTTGAACTTTCTAACTATCTTACAATCGATTCCACTGTTATATAAATTAATTTTTTTTTTTCTTTTTGCCACCTTTCGACCAAGCTGTCTTGGGTAACTTAAGGAATAAATCGAGCCCAAGCCAAAGTGTCTTGTCTCAAACATATTTTAGCGTTGAAAACTCTCAGCAACTTCTGCCACAATTTCTATATAGATCTGATATTCTCTGATTGCAATATATTATCCATCTCCTCTACTAAATGAAGCTATACTCATTTCATAATTTGGAAATTTTGGCTGTATATATATCATTGTGCCTTCTAAACAAAATTTGACCACGAAAGACACCCCTTCCACACCTACCTACCAGCTCTATTGCTAAATTCAGAAATCAGCACAGCTTCATTCAACAGAGCAGGCAGGATAATAAATCATTATCAAAACATACCAGATTTGTATAGAAATTGCAGCAGAAGATGATGAGAATTGATTGGACTCCAATCTAATGGACTCCAACCTAGGAGCTACCTCGAGTGCTATCACTAGTTAACCAACGCAACCGATTTAACCCAGGAAACGAGACGAAGCAAAAACAACCTCTTTCAATACCTAGGTACCTACCTATATTGACTTCGTTTCCAAATTTTATGGTTTACATGGTAAATAACAGCCAATTACTTAGTAGAGAAAAGAGGTTTCGGAGGTGAAAAGTCAATGACGATGACGTCCAGACAGGGAGGGTAATTACGTCACTCCCGACGCATCTAACATACATTCCAGGCCAGTCAGTTCCTTGAAATATAAAATGTGAAACATGACGGACTACATCTACGTGTAGGAATATAGGCCAAGAAAGCTTCGTGAACAGTAATAAAAAATAGGATAGGGATTGTTTAAATCGCTGGAATCCGCCGCTATCTCGACCCCGGATATTGTTGATCTACATTGAGGAAATCAAGTTGTGACACCAAAACCGCAAAAATGAGCCTTGCATCGCATGTAAGTGGGATTCCGCATAGGGGTTGTTCGTCGTCGAAGGCTAGAACAGCCAATGATCAACGGAGAGGGCTATGTCTATACACAAACTGCGTTGCCAAGCTCCATGCATTTTAGAGGCTTCCTCTTTTTTTCTGGGAATTATCAACCCATATGCTCGTTACGTCATGTTGTCTTGCTATAACTATTTTAAATGATTATCTGCTGACTTATACCGGTATTTCCACGAGTGCAGGTTGACGCCAACCAGCTGGTCGAGGAACTCCGCAAGGATCCGGGGCGTAGAAAAAGTGAACGCATATGGACTGAGAATGTCGCTGGGTCCATGACTCCGTATTCCACACGGTATGCTAGTCGTGAGGAAATTCCTAAGTTCCAGATACCCCAGAAGGGCGCTCCGGCAGAGGCAGTGCGTCGGATGTTGAAGGATGACTTGAATTTGGATGGGATTCCAAATTTGAACCTGGCAAGGTTTGTAATATATCTTCTGAAGCCCTGGGCAGCTTTTGCGAATTCACTTGGGAAAAAAAGAATATGACCCAAAGGGGGCTTTGGCAAATGTTATGTTAACGAAAATGCTTGAATGTTCATAGTTTCGTCGGTACTTACATGGAGCGCGAAGCTGAAGAACTTCTATCCGAGAATATCAGCAAGAATTTGGCTGATGCTGATGAATATCCGGCCTTGATGGAAATGCATGCTCATTGCGTCTCAATGATATCGAATCTCTGGCACGCGCAACCGGGAGAGCAGGCTACTGGATCTGCGACCACCGGGTCTTCAGAAGCTATCCACCTAGGTGGATTAGCAATGAAAAAACGTTGGCAGGAGAGAAGGAAAAAGGAGGGGAAAGACAGCTCGAAACCAAACATCATCATGGGTGCGAATGCACAGGTCGCACTGCTTAAATTCGCTAGGTACTTTGATGTCGAGGCGCGAATTTTAGACGTTTCTCAGAAGAGCCAGTTTAGGCTTGACCCAGAGCTTGTCAGAAAGAATGTAGACGAGAACACGATCGGCGTCTTTGTCATTCTAGGAAGTACATACACGGGCCACTACGAACCAGTGGAAGAGATCTCGAAAATTCTCGATGAATTCGAAGCGAAGACAGGGATAGATGTGCCTATCCATGTTGATGCTGCAAGCGGGGGATTTGTTGCTCCGTTCACATATGCCCAAGCTGGGGGTCCAAAATGGTAATAACCTCAGGCAATCCAAAAAAAAAAAAAAAAAAAAAAAAAAAAAAAAAAAAAAGGCAAGCTAACAAACATAATATAGGGACTTTTCACTTCCTCGCGTAAAATCCATCAATGTGTCGGGCCACAAATTCGGCTTGGTATACGCCGGTCTTGGCTGGATCATTTGGCGGGATAGAGAGTATCTGCCAAGCGACCTTATCTTTGAGCTCCATTATCTTGGTGGAACCGAAGAGACGTTCACCTTAAATTTCTCCCGGCCTGGAATGCAGGTGATAGGACAGTATTACAATCTTGTTCGCCTGGGCTTCAATGGGTACCGCGAAATCATGGAAAATTGCCTAGCAAATGCCCGGTTGCTAAGCACCGCGCTTGAAAACACGGGCTGGTTCATTTGCGTCAGCGACATCCATCGGAAGAAAGGGACTTTCAAGTTTCAGCAGGTCGAAGGCCTGTCGAAATATCATGGAGGCGAGACATCGGCGGATTATAATGCCGGCTTGCCTGTAGTGTCTTTTAGGTTCTCTGATGAGTTTCAGAAAGAGTACCCAGACGTGAAGCAGGACAGCGTCAGTTTGTTGCTGCGTGCGAAACAGTATATCATCCCAAGTATGTCACTCCATATTCTCCGGCTCGCTTTGCTACGTTGCAATTATCATAAACTGCGAGAGATATTGGAGCGCGCAGAAGCTAACCAAGGGAACCACAACATAGACTACCCACTTCCACCATCGGAGGACAAGACTGAGATACTGCGGATAGTCGTGCGTGAAAGTATGTCTGCAGATCTCATTGATCGACTTGTAGCGGACATCGTGGCTGTGACTGAGAGGCTTATGGCCACAGAGCCCATGGATATGGCAGCGTTTCAAACAGGCCCTACCTCGGTCGCCAGGCGACGTATGATCTCGAGACATGGCCATGCAGAGAAGGAAACGGGTTTAAAATGGAAAGGCAAAAAGCATCATCACAAGGGAATCCATCGAGGCGTCTGTTAGTATAAAATGTAGCGGTTTTCACAGGACACAAATCGATGACGAAGCGCATTAGGCCATTTGGATCATGGTATTTTCGGCGTTTCCTTTGTCAATACCCGTAGCCGATGGAAAATATAGGTATATAATAGTTGGGTGGTAGATGTAATAACGGGGTTCCTTGAAATATGTGTGTGTTCTTTAACTTTGTTACTTAATTTCGCAATTACGACTCGAACAAAACATCGAAGCAAAGAACAATTCTTAACCTAACTGCTTTTTGGACTTCGTGTATAAGGTTCGGAACCGGAGTGGCGCATTCCTCTAGAGCAACACATAAGCACTCTCCGCGACCCTTTCTGAGTGGAAACCAATGTTAGGCGTGAAACTGAAGAGTTGGGGATAGGATAGAGCCTTCAGTGGTAGAAGTTCGTTGAGGTTCGTTGAGCAGCTGTAACTAGTAGATGAGTCTCGCTAAACTCCTTTCAGTCTAGCGCAATATCAGCATCCCCCGATATTCCTCTCTGCTGCTCTCTCGACCTCAACGTCAACGAAGGATATTGTCGCAAATGCTTGGTTCGTTTCACAACATTGTTGATACACAGTAGCATGTCAGCTGGTGGGGGTTAGTTCCATGCCATTGCCACTAAAGCAGCTACTGAAGCCGTTCTTCCCTTTTGAAACTATTTCATTTCGATTACTAGAGTGTGCCGTCTTCCTCCTTGAGCCGCTGATTTTCAAATAGCATAGAGGTACCATTTCAATTCTCGAGATAACAAAGATGAATATTCTTCAGCGCCTTTAGAATTACTCTGAGGACACCGCCCAAGCTAGAAACCCAAGAATAACCATCGCTAGGCGTGAATTGTCTGTAAAGGGCACAACTTCGGAATAATGGAGCTCTATTCAGGTACCACTGCTCTAACAATATTGGCTTTGTATTGACTCCTTCAGACGAAGTTAAGACTCAGTCGGGAATCTCGATCTGTGTGATCTTGATCGAACACACCGTGATTTGCATCCTACGACGCTCTAGACCCAGGGGCACAACTAATCAAGAAATCATTGGCACGGTAAGCTAATAAATCTCCCCTTGTCCCCATTCGCCGGGGGATGCTGGCCATCCTTCGCAGCGAGTCGGGTGGCAGGAATCTGGCGCCAAAACTACGCAAGATGGCCGGAGGTTGGAGCACATGACAGGTCGCTCATTACAACGTACGCGCAATGATGTGTTCGCTACCCTATCGGTCTGTACGGTATTATTATTACATGTTTCGCCATAACATCTCGGCCTGCGGCAAGTCATATATTCGCCTTTTTATCTTCCAATTTCTTGTCTCCTCTTCATCAGTCACCGTCGTCCACATCGGTGTCTCACTCTGGGTTTCTACGCTTATCTCTTACCGTATATTAATATTCTGCTTCCAACTTGGGGTGGACTGCGCTGTTGGAAAACAAAAACCTCTTGACTCTGCATTGCCATTTTTATTTCGATTTGTCCTAGCCTTGGTTTTCATCCCCGCATTGGCTTCGCTTTCTTGTGTGCGAGAGTCAGGGCTGGCGTCAGCTTTATGACTGTCATCTCCAACCTCATTGCGCTGAGATCACCTTTCGATCTTATTCTCTCATAAACCTTTGTTTTCAATTCTGTTTATCAACTCCAACGTTGTGTTTTTTGAGATCATTTATTTTACCCTCTTCCGCTGATTCATCATTCTTTCCTTGGGATTCTATCGATTCTCTGTTTTGATTTTGATTATCGGCCATATTTGTTCTGCTTATTCCTGATGTCTGTTTAATCGTTGCTGCTGTCGTGATCTATCTCGATCTGAGGTGGGAGTGCAACTTTGGAGAAAGCTTATTTCCCAATTCGGCATGGAAACTGGTCAAAGCCCGCATGCCATATCGTCTACTGGCGCTGTACAACCCAAGGGGTGTATTCGCACTCAAGGGTCACAAAGTCCGCCAGTAGTTTCATCTAGAGTGGCTCCAGCTTCTCAGCCTGGTAAACAATCCGCGGGTAAGCCACCTAGCCATGCTGCGGGCGGCGTTAACAAACCCAAACAGTCGAAAAGCCGAAATGGTATGGGTTTTCATTCATTCAACATTATAAGGATCCTCAACAGGGATCAAAGTAAATTTAAGTGGGCCGGCAGGAGCAGCTGACCTTTGTGTGAGTGATTGATCAGGGTGTGTGACGTGCAAAACCAAGAGGCTCAAGTGCGATGAGACGAAGCCGACATGCCAGCAATGTCATAAACGAAATGTTACCTGTGGAGGGTATAAAAAGGACTTTAAGTGGAGACCATTCAAGGAGACCAGTTTTACGAACAAATCTGCTCCTAAAGGGAAAAAAGGTTATATAATTTACCGAACATATATAAACAGACATTTATACTAACTTTGCGCGTGGATAGTTCCCCTTAGTGCACCACCCCCTTCTCCCACAGTACCTGCTCATAAGCCAATCCGCTTAACACTGAGCCCACTAACTCCTCATAGTTCAAATTCACCTGAGGAAGATACCGTGGAAGAGTACCAGAGCCCGTACCTTTCTCTTGAGGGTGTTACATCCTTTCCTGCATATGATATTTACCCGCATTATCTATTTCCGTCGCTTTTAAGCCTACAGGATCACTATTTGGATGATTACTGTGCAGAAATTATCCCTGACTCATCATATATCTCCTTAACTCAATCTCCGAAATTAGCAGAAAGTCTCCTGGCGAATGATACCACAGGCCAGCTGGAATGCCCTTCTGAATGGCTAGCATCGGCCCCACCGCCCACCCCAGATCTTATAGATCTCGAAGATGAAGATGTGGAAGAAATAGTCCGACAGTCCAACCCGGAAGTGAGCTTGCCATCGTGTTGGAATGCTTCGTCTGCATCAGTGGATTGCTTCAAGAACCTGCTAAAAAGGTCTATATCTTACGGGCCATCTTTGCATCCGGAATCTCCAGCAATGCTCCTCTCTCGGTACGACCGGCAGACCTGTGGTATTCTGTCTGTAAAGGACGGGATATCTGAAAACCCCTGGCGTACCTTGGTGTGGCCCCTGGCAGCAGATTGCCCCGCGCTCTTCCATGCAATATGCTGCCTGTCCGCATTTCACTGTGTCAAAGAAAATCCTCGCCTGAGAGTCCATGGTATGGATCATATGCATCAGAGTATGAGTATGCTTGCCACTGGGATTGAAACTATGAAAATGGATGAGGCATTGACTACAACCCTAGCTCTTGTATTTGCAGAGTCCTGGGACCGACACATATCCACTGGCATGCAGCATCGCCGAGGTGCACGGGTTCTGCTGAATCAGGCTCTGGCGCAGCATCGTCAACGTACCAATCCGCCAGCAAAGGATATAGCACGCCTACATTTCTTGTACAATACTTGGCTATACACAGATGTTGTCGCGAGACTCATCTCACTAGAAGACGGCGAAGTTGACGAAGCTTTATTACTCCAGGATTTGAATCCCTATCTTCCACGCTCGCCTATCCACGAGGTTGATCCGCTGATGGGATGTGCAACGACTCTATTTCCACTAATAAGCCGGGTTGCCAGTTTGGTTCAGAAAGTCCGCAAGTCCAAAAGTAACTCTATTCCGCTCATATCACAAGCTTTGGAGCTTAAAACTCTCATTGAAGAATGGGAAGTTCCAAAGTACTTCCAACCTCCAGAGGATCCAACTTCCAATGTTCAACATAGTTTCCAAACCGCCCAAGCGTATCGTTGGGCGATTCTACTCTATCTACACCAAGCCGTTCCCGAAGTTCCATCTGAATCGGGTGCTGAACTCGCCAAACGCGTTCTTGTGCTATTAGCTACTGTTCCACCAAGTTCCAGAGCAACAATTGTCCACATATATCCCCTATTCGCCGCGAGCTGCGAGGTGGAAAGTGAAGAGGATCGAAACTGGGTCAAGGAGCGGTGGGCTGCGATGCAGTCGAGGCTAATGATTGGAAACATCGATCGGTGCCTTGAGGTCGTTCGGGAGGTATGGCGTCGTAGGGACTCGTTCAATGAAAGGAATAAGAATTCTCCACAAGCATCTTTCGCGCAACCTGTCGATACGACTCAACGGAAAAGCATTTACGGGGTTAGTAAACCTCCCACCGTGGATAATGACGAGAATATGGAGGAAAGTTCTGCGACATTCGAGCTTTCGGACGGGTCCAAAAGCAACCCGGCTATCGCAGGTAAAGGAAAAAAAATTAAAACATATCGTTCCCTCTCATCGCCAGTTAGTCCTATTAGAAGAGGCTCTTTTATTCCCTGGTTGGATGATAGGGACATCGAGAGTACAGTGCGGGGAAGATTGCATTGGGTTGGCGTCATGAGGGATTGGGGTTGGGAAGGTATTTACAGCCCTTACCATCTCAATTTGATTTGATGACATCGCATTATCGAAAATATACATACTAACGTTTGCATCACACAGTCCTCCTTGGCTAATGCACCAACTAGCCGAAAACGTCGCGGATATGGTTGTGCTGTTGCCGCCGTTACTTCATCCTTCGTTTCCATTTCTCTTGCATACAATGTTTGCGACCCACCATAACGACTTTCACTTCTCGCAGTTCACGGATTCCTTTTACTATACTTCAAATATTTAATCCCACGACTTTGTAACGATAATACACTTTACCCCATAATGTATCGCACCGTTCTACGAACCGATAATCGACAGCCTATTTCTTCCATTGCTCACTACAAGCGGGCTCGAATATCAGACCCATACACCTAATATCGAACATATCAGCCCTCGAGAAATACAAGCGGCGCAACTGAACACATAGCCATTTGTTACAACGATTTCTCTCCCTTCCTTATCCTGAACGAGCTTCTTTTCAACCCTATGCTATTATTAATCACCCCCAAGAGTTAAAGAAGATTCTACCTGATTCCCTTTGAATAAATAATCGCGCTCTGTCGATTTCGCTTAGAGACCAAATGTAGCAGAGCACAAATGAGACAAAAAAATCTCGAATATACCTAGGTATATTCCCGTTCAGAGATTTTACTCACCTTGTCCTCGTTCCCCCTCCGCCGGGATCTCCTATTTCTAATCTATAATTGCTATTTACGATGAAATGAATGAAAAAATGCCATCAATGTCTTGGGGCTTTCCGCTTTTTATGGATTGAATTGTTTGCACCCCATTTTTATTTCTTACTTTTTTCTTCCAGTTAGTTTTTTGTTGTTGTATTCAAGGTGTTTCCGTTTTGGCTTCATTGTTGGGGCTCTTTTTCCTGATGTTTATCTTTTCGCGCAATCGTATACCGGATGGGATGAGGGCGTTGGTAAAGGAACAAAAAGAGCAAAGGCAAATTGGCGCGGATTTTGATTTCGATTTGGACTTGGATGGATTTTGACTTTTTTGATTTTCTTTTTTTCTTTGCTGTTGTGGTTACTTCTTTTCTTCAGTGTTAGGCCCATCTCCCCCTGTTCCATTTGATCCTTTAGCGGTTCAGCTAATTTACTACTTTTGCGCAGTTTCACGTTCCCTGATAAACGAAAATGGCCGAGTGTCTACATCTTATCCCTTCCAGCCATTTGGTTACTTGGTTATCCTCTCGCCGGTTCCCAAATACTCTCGGCTTACGTTCATCCACCCCTGCCTAGCACTCGCTGGTTGGGAAAGCTTTATTTCCATTCCATGGCATTGATGGAAGAGAGGGCTGGTGCGTATATAATCTGTTCTTAGATCAATGCACACAATTAGATGTTCTCGAATTCTCACCCTATTGCACCATGTAACTTATTTCGCACACCCAGCAAGGGTTCCAACTCGTCTGGTTAGCATCCCAGCAGCAGACATGTCCGGCTTCATATGATGTGGGCGAAGAGTCGGATATGCAATGTAGTAGAGCCCCTTCAAATAGCCACAACAGGAATTGCAAACGGCTATCGAGTGGTAGAGACACGAAGTGAGAACGAAGGGCGCGAAAGGAATGCTTCCTTGACGGCAGACGTAGAGGGAAGTCGACGCCGTTTGCAAGCTTGCCTGTCTGACCTTTGTGTCTTCCGCCTGGGTCATTTGGACTGTTGACCGACGTGGCCATATAACGGGCTAATGAAGTGGTATTTGGTCTTATGTATACGCATAACACGCAGGCCGAGACCGGTGACATTATCATTTGCATCCTCGAGCCTTAGGACTGAGATTTCTCCCTTCACGCAAACTGCATTTAAGGTTCAATTAGAGCAACACCCAGACGTGCAAAGTACTAATCTCAATCATACAACGCAACTAAGTGAATAATAGTCACATTTCCATTCAAGCGAAGGGTTGCCGAAGCCGAGGGGTTTGCTTGTAGCTGTTTAACGACCGGGGGGACGCGTGACTCGATGGTTTGTCGTTGGGAGTAAGTCCAGCCCTGAGCTTACCCTCTACTTTCGGACCTCTTTTTCCTATTCCTTTAGTGCCAGTAATGGTGTGAAATGGCGTTCGTTCGCAAGTCAACATCATTCAGAACTCCGTAGGACTTCCCATATTGACGCCTGAATTTTAACCGGGCGGAGTTTACGGTCAGCGTTCGCAGGGTCGCCATTTTGGACAAGTCTTTATCTTTCTGGATGGCCAGGCCGAGAAATAGGTACACAGGAGTCGAGGTATTCAGGAAGTGTAGTGTTTTGAGTTTGTTTGAGCCTGCTCCTCAGCTTAGATCTGAGATCGTTCAGCTAACTAGCTCTCGTAGTTGCTGCTCATGCACAAGGCGCCAGCGCAACTCCTGTACCTGCTGGCACGACGAGCTACTCCATTCTGTTTGCTGTTGGCAAAATGGAGGTTGGCTGCCAGGCAGAAATACCCTGGCTGTATTTAATAGAGGGATCTGTAGGATGGTTAATCTCTTGTATTCGTGTGGGAGGAGCTAGCTATGTTATAAAATGTTTTTGTAGCACACAAGCCTTGGTGTGCTAATTATTGCAGAGCAGCAGAACTAGTTCACATTAGAAAACAGTGATTCTACAGACAGACTGCAGTATAGTAGAATTGAATATTTTCATCATTATCATCATTCTTCTCTGTGAATCATTAGTTTAATTGCTCTGTAATAATTAATTTCCAAAAAAAAAAAAAAAAAAAAAAAAAAAAAAAATCTGCTGTCTACATGACTCACAAGATATCTAATTATTTTTAAGAAATTCAACAGTTATTTTTCAAGAGACACTGAATATGATTCAATTTTCTCTGAAAAGAGATGTTCTTACAGACTACAGTGCAGACATTCAATCTCAATATTTTTGATATTAAATAACTCAATGCTATCATTTCTGATCTGATATTTGATAAAACAGGCTGAGACTAAAGCTGTAACAGCAGCAGTGAATCATTTACAGAAAAGAAAATTCTATTTAATAACTGTGATAAGTTTTTTTTTCTTCTTTTTTTTCTTGAAATTAATGATGCAGTTATCTAATTATATACAAGCATCAAATGCTCGCTTACGCTCGCTTTTCTGCTGC